ACCTGTTCCTCCTCGCCAACTTTCCAATACTCCCCATCTTCCTTATCATCATACTCGCACTCGACACAGTCGAGCTCAAACTGATATTATCCGTCGACATATTCTTCATCCTAAACATGCTCCTCTTTCCCTTCTTTCCATCTTCCCCACCGATCGTCGCTGTCCGTTCCGTCTCTGCCAGGCTGAGCTCGCTGCTCGAAGCCGCGGGGTTGAGCGCAAAGGGCGCGTTGGGCGCTGCGAGCGGTTCGGATTGGGGCGGCGTGATGGGCGGTGTACCGGAGCGCGTCGAGCTTTCCGACGGCGACTCGAATGCCTGAGGGGGCACCGACCTCTTCGCAGGCGTGCCCGCCTTCTTTTGCTCTTTCGCTTCCTTCTCCGCACCTTTGAACAACCTGCTTTTGAACCCCTTCTGGAGCTTCTCCTCCACCGTAGTCGAGTTGGACAGCGGGGAAGGCCGGGCGTTGGTAGCGTTCGTAATCGGCCCAGGGTAGAGCGGTGTTGGCGCCCGCGTCGTAGGCGGTCGCGAAGCAGGCGACGAAGCCCTCGACACCGGGCTATTCTCCCGATCTGACCTCTCGCTCGCATTCGAATTGCGCCGCATCTCCGTATTCAGCCTCGGCGGTGGTACAAAGGTTGCTGCCGACGGGTCGAGCTCGGAGCGTATTGGTTCGGCAGAAGGAACGGTCGGGGGGTTCAGGGTGCTGGGGGTGGAGATGGGGTAGGGTTGGTCGTCGAGACCTTTCGGGGCGGAGGTTGAGCGGGGGAGGGATGAGGGGGATGGGTCGGTCTTTGTGGGCATAGATGCGGAGCGAGGGACATTGTCTGAAGTCACCTTTGCAGGACCGCGCTTGTACGGGTGAAAGCCTGCTTGGCGTTTCACCTGGTTCTTGGGTTGTTCAAGCTGCCCCTGCGGCGCAGCGTATCCACCCTCAAAGTATTCACCCGCCTGCTTCTCAGAACCATTCCCGTTGGGCCCGTTAGGATACTCGGAAGGCGACGGGGTATGCTGTCCAGCCATCATGACCATATGCTGATACGCATTCGCCCACGCCGCAAAGTCTGCCTGAGACTGCTGAGCCTGGTACCCCTGCGGATACTGCCCCGCGTACTGGTTCCACTGCTGCTGCTGCTGCTGGTGGTGGTACGCGCCGCCAGAAGGGGACCAAGCCTGGTTGGGATAGTACTGTCCTTGCTGCGGCGGTGGCTGGGGAAGGTACGAGTTGGAGTACGGCTGATTGTAGGGCGAGGCTTCGGAGGCGCTTGAGCCTGGCCGGCTGGAGGGGTGGTCGTAGGGGGAGCTGAAAGGTGGGGTGGAGCGGGCGCGGGCCTGGTCGAGGGAGGGGGTACGGTCCATGGAGGGGCGGTGGACGGGACTGGGCATGTGGAGGGCGGCAGCCATAGTGCTGCACCGGGCGTCAGCGGTGTACAAGGTTGCCGTCGCGGTGAGCTTACTGGGAGGCGAGTCGCGTCTAGCAGGTCATCAACTCGTCAGGGACGGCGAGACGGAATGACAGCTGGGAAAGTTGTCAGCAAATGAATGAGAAGAGAAGGGTTGTTTGGAAAAAAGATGTTGTGGAGAGTGGGGACAACGGAGGTGGTGGTCCGTGAGCCCGTCGAGCTCGACATCAGAGATCGCTCGAGATCTGCCCAGCCCTCCTTTCCCAGCGCCAGCGAAGTGGAGTGGGAGCGGTGGAAGGGGGAGGGGGAAGACATGGCGGAAGAGGACTCACTGATGTTGTACAAGGGTCGTTCGGTGGCCAGAGGGCAGTTACAAATGTTGCGGTAGAAGACAGAGACGGTGGTGGGCGACTGATGGGGCTAGCGCTGTGGACGCAATGGGTCTAGGAGGGGTTAGTCATGGCGACGAGGGAAGAATGGAAGAGAAGAATGAGGAGATAGGGGCAGGGCGGACGGGGGGCGGAAGCAGGGCGGCAGGGGTGAGGGGGTGTGTGTCTGCGATGTGTGCGCTGTTCACCATGCACAACAACAGACCGCGTGAAGTCCCCCGTATCCCCTTGCAGCCCCCGCCAGCCGCATAGAACGCGCAGAGTCCATAGCATACCTCTGCTAAAGCCGCACAGACCCCGCCGAGCAACGATGCGCTATGCACTGCCAAGTCCCAGCTGATTCGACAATCACCCGCCGCTGGGAACACGCTGCGGCACCCGAGACCATCATCACGCCCACCCGCAGACCCAATCAAGGGCAGCTTCTCGTGGACAATGCGCCAAAGACAACCACGTCTCTCGCGTAGACAACGTGACTCTACACTCACCAGCTTGTCTCTTCAGCGGACCTGTATTCCTTTTCCTTCTCTTTTGTCTCTCCAGTGGCGATGCTTGTGATCCTCTTCAAAAAAACTCCACTCGTTCTCCTTCTTTCACAGCTGCCGATCTAGCCGTGTTTTCCTGCCCGCGTCGTGGCGCCGGACGAGCAGATGGCGAGACGAGCAAAAAGATGCGCGACGTGGCGGAGGGGAGGTAGGGGGGAAGCGCAGTCGAGATTAGGTCGTACACCTAGCAACTGATGATTATAGTCGGACGGGAGGCATGAGACGGAGAGACGCAGAAAGAGGTTGTCAAGACACTCGGTAGACACTGTGCTGTGACTGGGTTGCTCCCCTTCTCCCGTCCCTGAGGCGCTTGCTTTTTGGTCAAGTGGACCGCGCGTTTCATGGTCCAAAAACAAAAACAAGCTCATGCACTGCCCCCTTACCCTTACCCTTCTTCTCTCTGTCCCATGCATCTGTCTCTCCTCTGCATCCACTGCAGTAGGGGGGGAGTATGGGGGCATGTCTGATAAGCCCTCATGCATGGCCACCGACCGCTGCAAGGAACGCCCCCCTCTTACCCCGCCCCGTGCTCCCCCGTGTCTTGCCCCTTCGGCTCTGGCGACCGAATGACGTTCCGGCGCCGGCCGCCGCAGAAGACGCGTCGACTTTTTATGCCGCAAGGGGAAAAAACAAAAGTCAAAAGACGGCTGCGAGCCTTTCATCGCATGATGCGGTATGCCGGTGCGAGGTCCAGCCAGGTATCATGGTCGATGCTCGGAGGGGCTCGGGGGTCGATGGCATCGCTGGTAGCTGGTATGCAAGGCCTGGACAGAGGGAAGGGGATCAGGTACATGGGGATCTGGAGATTGGGGTACTCAAAGGTATTGACAGAAGGTTGAGTGACGCGTTTGCATAGCATAGATAAGAGAGTGATGATCATCAGGCATATGCCATTTCGTCTATGCAAGTGAATGATACCTCCCGGGTCTTCTTAGGCATTGTCAATTCGTGTATCAACCCTTTCCCTGGTCTCTTCTCATGAGGATCCTCCAAATCGCGTGAAAAGAGCCACGCATCTCTTGGTACGTCTATCATCGAGGCACTTGTAGATTCTTCCGATCCGCCCGACTTTCACTTTCTCTGCATCTTCTTCAAGCAATTTTTGCATGGTCCCCTTCCTGTTTGGTCATCAGCGCAAAGCCACAAAAGCGATCTTTGCAAATCGCTTATCGCGAACAAGTTGAACAACAAAGTCGCGCAAGAGTTGATGTTGGAACCTTCGTTCATTTGATGCCGTTCCCATCAACATCCGCCATCATGTCCCCTCGTCCTTTCTTGCCGCAACATCCTGATCTCTGCCTTTCATCACTATGTACTCTTTCTTTCCCTCTACTCCCCCGCGGCCACATCAGCAATCTCGCGACCTTGACGGATGTTCTCATCTACGCCCCACCCCCCGATCGACCCAAACGTATCCTATGCTCGCTCATCGAGCTCAACTGGACCCCCATGGCTCGTCATCTTCCCGACATCGCCAAAAAAAGTTCCCACGACAAGAAAACCACCCAGTACGCGCACATGAAAACAGTCTTCCAGACGATATACTACCTCACTATCTGCTTTCGAGTCTTCGGTTGTCGTACGGCGCTTGAACGGGCGAACGAAATTTGCACTCACATGGTCAATATCACTAACGACGCTGGAGAAGATTGTCATCTGACCATGCAATGGTTCAAGCTACGCCCGACGCTGTTTTTGAGAGCGAGATCGTCTTTCCCAGATTATGGTATGAGCGCAAAAGACTTTTACGAGATGATGGGTATATTGAAAGCACCCAAATCCCTGATCGAAGATTACAAGAAATGGCATCGCGATAAAGAAGGTGAAACGGCGTTTGGACGCGACGATTTGCATGACGGTTGCTATTGCCACCCATCCGTTGGAAACAGACCTCATCGTGGCCTAGATTCTCTTGCACCATCCCCCCATCTTCAAGAACCTCGCCAGACGACTTTCCTGACGCCGGAGGAGATATTTGTCTTGCTGGCGCGGGCTGCAAAGTACGGGCGGGGTGTGGTGTCGAAGATGGAGTAGGGCTCTGTGAAAGATGTCATGAAGCATTTGAGTGCATGTGCACGTGTACAGTACGAGTACAAGCTTTGACAGACCGTCGCGACAAGGAGGCGAACCAAACAAAACCCCGCCGCCGGGCTCTGCACTGACATCACTTCCGCCGCGCTTACCCCACGTGGCTCGCGAGATCCCATGAGTCATTCGCTCGTGCCTGTGCGTGGTTGTGGTTTTCGCAATTCGCGTGCATTTTTTTATTCCCCGTGCCGCGTGCCCCTCTCGGTGATCTATGAGATGGTGTGCTTATCAGCCCCTGGAGTTTCCCTGGGATCTCTTGGGTCCTGGATCTTCGGCCCCGGGGTTCGTGCGCGCCCGAAATGCTTTTTGGTTGGCGGCGGCGTCCACGAACGGTCTACGGGGGTGTTAGAGGGGGTGAAGGGGTGTGTATACACTGAAAGCGCAGTTGGAGAAGGAGTACGAGAGCATGCACACGCCCGCGCAGTAGGATCTCCCGCCCAGACGCCCAGTCAAAGCTCCAATCCGACATGCACATTCCTGCGGACGCAGTGGAGGGATGATGCAATCCAGTGACTACTGGGCCCCCGCGCTACTCACCACTTGTCCCTTTTTCACCCTTTCGCTATTCTCCTGAACACATCCTTTGATCACATCTCCATGACGTTTGCACACAGCAATAAAATCTGAACCCCACGCACACCACCAGCGTCACCGCGCCACCTTGCGAAGACATATATAGCCAGCAAACGTTTTCACGTTGCCTCCCTCTTCTCCAACACAAAGAAGAAAGACTTCTCGGTACTTATACCCATTCGAACTTGCCCTTACTGCAGCACTACTACCCTACGTTTTTATCACCATGTCCCAGCCCGAAGCCCAGACCAAGAACCGGTATGTCCCCCTCCTCACCCCCACCTCATGTTGAAGGTCGGCATCTGACCTTGATGTAGCGAAGAAGACCAGACCGAAACTCCTCAGGAGGAAAAGACCTCTGGCAACGACGCTCCCTCCGAATCCCCCTCCGACGACAAGCCTGAAGAGTCTGAAGACAAGTCTGACGACAAGCCTCAACAACAACAACAACAGTCTGGCGAGGAGGGCGGTTCCCCCGTGGACGCTGCTACCAAGCCCGTCGAGCAGACTGCCGACACTGCCCAGGACGTCGCCAAGGGCGCCACCGACCAGATTGGTAACGTTGCCGAGACCGCTTCTGGCTTGACCGAGGGCGCCACCGAGCCCGTTGGCCAGGTCGCCGACACTGCCCAAGGTTTGACCAAGGGCGCTACCGAGCCTGTCAACCAGGTCGCCGACACTGCCAAGGGTACCCTCGGCAACGTTGGCAAGTCCCTCGGCGGTGTCACCGGCGGTGGTGGTGGTGGAGATGAGAAGAAGGGAGACCAGGCTTTGGGACCTTTGAAGAGCAGGAGAAAGCCTTTGGCCAACGAGCTTGCCGACACGCCCCCCGAGCAGCAGCCTGGTGGTGGAAAGAAGGACGAGGAGAAGGGGTCGCTTAGGATCAACATCTCGCTGGATCTGGATGTCGAGGTGCATCTGACGGCGAGGGTGAAGGGTGACATTACGATTGGTCTTCTATAAGCTACGTGAAGGGGGAATGATCTTGGAATGATCTTGGAAAGAAGTTTACTGTATCGTTTAGAACCACCAAATTAGTTGTGTATAGATTTTGTTATTAGAGCTCCATGAACAATCTAATCGTCTTGCCTCTTGCCGCATTTGTTGTTCTTTGTTGTGTCCATTGCCGCATTTGTTGGTGCAAAATTTGACAAGGCCTTACGATAAAAGATAACAGCATGCTCACGGCAGGACGGGTAACTAGATAAAGCCAACTCTGTTTTCACAGCAACAACTGCATACTCTCTCTGATAACCCAAATTTCTCGTCGCACGTCGTCTCGCAAGAACGGCAAGCCATCCGTTTCCCATGCTTCCCGAGAGGTTCTTTTTCTCTGCAAGAGGAGGGCGGCGCACGAGGAGAGTCGATGTGGGCCGGGTTCCAGCGATCGAGTATGCTTCTCGGTGACGTAACGGCGACTCACCCCCCTTTCGATTGCATTACGTCACTCATCAGGCTTCTTCCTTCGTGCGCTGTGTGGTTCCTCGAATTTGATCCCGTCCATCTCCACTGTGGACAGCATCTTGTCATTGTCTCAGACTCAGAGTATTAACTTTTTTTCGTTATCGTAATACCGTCTTCCGCCTTCCGTAGAGGCCGTAGAATCGTTCATCGGCTGGTTTACCAAATCCCGACACTGTCCACCCGAGAGACGAGAGACGAAAATATTCCACAGTCATCTCTGGCGCCACTCCTCGCCCTCCCACTCCGACCCCATCACCTCTCCTACCTCTCCACAATGCCATTCGGCCTCCTCACGGCAATTGCCGCCTGCCCCGCCATCATCGGCACCACCGAAGCCATTCAGCAAGGCCAAAAAACCAACGCCCGCGAACAACATCGCGGTAAAAAAGTAAACTTGACCGTCAAGCTGCATGGGGCGGACATGTATCGGGAAAAGTTTGAGGGGGCGTTGGTTGTGCTGAAAGATAACAAGGTGTGTACATTTCTGGCAGGGGGATAGAAGGAAACTGACGGAGGAATCAGCTCTGGGTCGAACACAGCGACTGTATAGAACTGGACGGCTCCCACCCCTTCTCCGGCTACTACCTCCCCCACCCACAACACCAATCCCGGTGGAAAGGCGCAGGCTTCAAAGGCGAAGGCCTCGTCACCACCACCAACGCCCAAAACATGCTCAACTGGGTCTACGTCGATAAAGACACGTATGAGCTGAAACATGGGATCCGGGTGCAAGCGCAGGACCACCTGACGGGGCCTTGGGACTGTACCCAGATAGATAGACGGATGACGTTTGAAGGGTGGGAGGGGTTTGTGGTGGTGCAGGTGGATGAGGAGCGGGACTTGTGGGGATTGTTTTTTGATAGGGATGATAATGGGCTTAGCGGACCGGGGCAGATCGGGGAGGTGAAGGAAGGGGAGAAGAGAAAGAGGATGTTGCAGGTAGAGTTGGTGAGGAGTGAGATGGAGAAGACGAGGTATGATGCGTTCGAGGAGAGGAGGGAGAGGCTTAAGGCGTTGGCGATCAAGCAGAAACAGGCCGAGGGGGCAGCGTAGAGTGCGTTCTTTTTCTCTCGTCGTGGGCTTTCGCTGACTCGAGTAGGAAGCAGTACGGACAATCACTTGCATGGGACTATAGCATAGAAGCATTAGACTGTAGATAACGACATCTGTACGAATAGCATCTGTAATGAAAGCAATTCATGAATTTTGATGACAACTCTTACAACTCTACTAGAACGCCTGTCACTCTACGCCCAGATGTTGGCAAAGGGATCCCTGTCATCCTTCTTGGCCAGAGGTTGCGCCTGCGCCGCCCCAGACCCAGCACCAAAGAACCCTGCCCCGCCGCCAGAAGAGTTACTAGCCCACGGGTCGCTCGCCCCGCCCGCCTGTGTCCAGGGGTTTGCCGAAACGTTTTGCTGAGCCTGTTGCGGCTGGGCATACAAAGGCGGTTGCATCTGCACCTGCTGCTGCTGGGGGGCGGCAGACTGGGGCGCACCCCAAGCCGCTTGGTCGTTGAACCCACCCCAGACATTACTTTGAGTCGGTACAGGCGCCTGTGTCGGGTTTTGCTGTACAGGCGGCGCAGAGCTCGTGACACCCCCGCCCCAGTTGGCATACTGGCTCTGCCCCTGTACACCTCCTGGAGGCGCAAAGAACCCGCCAGCTACATTCGGTCCTGCAGAAGCAGAAGCGGAAGCGGAAGGAGAAGGGGTGGAAAAGAGGGACATGATGTCTGCTTTGGCTGATCTGGGTGCGGGGGCGGAGGATGTGGGGGAGGTGGTAAATGATGGGGTGGCGGAGGGGGCACGGAAGTCGAGGTCGAATATCGAGCTGCCCGTCGGTGCCGCCGCTGGGGCAGGGGAAGTAGCCGCAGGTGCTTGGGTAGGGGCTGGGGCAGCAGCAGTGGTAGCTGCAGGAGCCTCGTCGTCTCCAAAGAGGTCGATGATGGGCGCTTTGGCAGCTGGTGTAGGCTTGGAAGGGGAGGCCTTGTTGGCAGCGACGGACCGCGATAAGAGAGGGTGGGTCTTGGGGAGATGGGCGGGGACGGGAGGTGCGGCTGTGGTTGTAGGTGTTGGGGCCGAGGATGTGGGGCGGGATGCCGGAGCGGGGGTAGGGGCAGAGGCAGAGGGGGTGTCAGAGTCGAGGGTCTCTGGGGCTGGGGGTGGACCGTCCATTGCCCAGCGGCGGGACTCGTACTTTGAGCGAATGAAAGATTCTATCTTGCTGCACTATCATCAGATCCTGGTTGTCAACTGTTGCTGAAGGGGACTCACTGATCAGGAGGAACATGGCCAGCCTTCAAATGTCTTTCCCAGTACCTGTTCGCCCTCGTGTTGCCCCATCTTTGGATATTCTGCCCACCCCCATCAGCACGTGTCTGACAACAAGGAGGCAAGACTCACCTCCATCTGCTCAGGCGTCCAGATATCCAAGTCAATACTCTTCACCTTGCTGATATGCGTCCCCATCGACCGATGGATACCCGAGCACCGGATGCACAGATACAGTCCCAAGTTCCACGATGCCCATCGTGTGTCTTTTCTTCTTCATCAGCTTGGCACATGACAGAGGGAGGAGGGAACGGACCGTTGCGTTTGCAGTCGGCACAAGACTTGTTCTCGGGCTGTTTGACGAGGTCACGGAGGATACGGGCGTTGCGCTCTGTGGTAGCTTTGTCTGCAGGGCCCAGTTGTCAGCTTGCCTCCTGTGGTTTTGGTTGGAGAGGGGGCTTACCTTGCCTAGACATGGTGCGCAAGATTGTACAAGAAAGAGAGACGTGTAGAAACAAGACGACAGCGCGATGAAAGAGGACATAGAGCGCGGGTTGTTTTCTTAGGCGCGCCTCGTGCACTTGCGGGCCTATCCACCTCAGAAGGACGCGACGCGATTACTTCAAGTTTGCTTCAAGTAGGTGATCGAACTGTTTCGAACATGCATCAGAGTCATGGCTATGGGTGCTCCTGTGACAATCTATCTTATGAGACGGGACCATGGCTCGGAGGAAGACCTCGGACGTTGCTGCTACGACCACTCGTCATCTATCACCCCCCTCTCTGCCCGTGGTCCCGCAGGCCGGGAGGGAGGTTATAGATGACGATCACTGCTACTGTTGGAGTATCACGATCCATGAGTGATACTGCAGTCTTACAGACCATCTATATATTACGGGAGACCCATCTCTCATGATGGCATGCCCAAATCTACATCTAAGTCTTCGTACCCATCTATGGCCACGCCTGGCTCTTTGCCCACGTCCGACATCGCCCTCACATCGTCTGACCAGACTATTACACCATACTAGACTCGCCCCCATGCAATGTATTGCTCCCCCTTGTGCATAAGTTGCAGCGTTTCAGATTAAAAGTCGTCGTTCTCCGGGACGTAGTAGTACCCTTCGATAGAGTAGAGGAAAGCAAAGATGATAAAGGCGACCGCGCCGATAAGGGTGACTGTCGGTCGAGTCAGCTCCAATGTACATGTTTGGAAGAAGGGGGACGTACTGTGCTTGACAGAGATCTTTGTGGAGAGATAACGTCCGCCAAGAACAGCTCCGCATGTGCATAAACCGTGTCCGACAATGGTTCCGAACGCGATCACAGCAACGCTCTGCATCCATCATCAGCGATATCCACATGTCATCATAAAGCAGACTTACGTGGGCACCGGCCATGGCGATGGTGGTGATCTGACTTCGGTCTCCCCACTCTCCCAAAAATGTCAAGACAAACGCCTGAGCGAAAACGGGGTTCGTGACCATCTGCAGTGTTTCTCTGATCCTCTCCTTGATCATCACTGTCCAGTGCTTGCCCTTCTCCAAAGGCCCCACGCCGCCCCCCGCGCTGTTGGAAAGAGGAAAGTTGATACTGGGTCCCTGCCTGCTCGGCCTCGGGCTGGCAGATCGGTCCATGAGCGAAGATCCTTGACCAGAAGTTCTAGCAGGTCGGCCTTCTTCAACACTTTCGAGAGGGATCGCGGCACCGCGGGCGTTGTGGGTATCGTGAGAGGCAGAGTCTTCTTCGAGCTCTTCTTCGACTTCACGCATTTCTTCTTGGATGTGCGAGTTGCCGCCAGACATCGAGTGGGCTTCTTGGAGCATTTTGACGCCAAATACGGCAAAGAGAAGGGCGGCGGCCCAAAGGGTCCAGACCTGTGCTTATCGTGAGCTTTCGACTTATTGCGCAGAAGGATACGTACTTTTGGTATCAGACCGAGGATGACTCGGCCCAGCGCAGCACTCAGGATACTCATCACCACCAAACTGGCAAACGCTCCTCCGAATACCGTCGCCCTGGCATGTCGAGTAGCCATAATGGCCGCGATAAGAAAAGTCTTGTCGCCAATCTCTGACACGACAATCATGACGAATGCCTGAAAGAAACCATCTACAAACGCTCCGTTAGCTCTGTTGTCCATTGACACGGGGCGTTCAAGTGGGCATACTGAGGGTGCTATCCGAAGCTGGTACTTCAGCCATTTTGGAAGTGAGGGTGGGATGTGAGGAAGGGGATATAGACGAGACGGAATTGGACGAGCGCGTCGTGGAGCAAAGAAAAAACAATTGGACGTTTCGGGCATCGCCGCAAGAGATCTGGGGAGGACGGAAATTCAAGATCCGGGCACGACCTGGTATGCATGGGGGCTGATGTTTCTTGCAGAGCCGACATGGAGGCGCAGGACTGGACATATGTGTTTATGCATGTGTATCTGTTCAGGACGCCGCTTCAGCATGCCTCAAAGTATGGCGGTCACCAAACGTGCAAGGCTGAGTTTGATCCCGGGCAGCCGACGCCGCGGTTCTCTGACTTTTGAGTGCAACCTCCGACCTCTATGAACCAATACTTCGAAATCCCAACCCTAACAAAAGATGGCGTCAAGACCCGCTAGCTACACTCTCCGGATAGCTTCAGCCCCTAGGGCTGTCCGAGCTGTCCCAGCGCTCCATCCTCGCTTCACCAGACCATCCTCTACCTCGTCCCCCAAGCCCACCGCGCCGACAAAAGGAAAGGGCAATGTCGACAATGTGGCCGAGTCCATTTCCAACAAGAGCGATATCCCTCCGCTTCAAAGACCGCTGGGTATTCCCGAGCATCCGACGGCTGTGAACAAGACGTGGAAGCAGAAGCGTAGAGATATGCTGGATGACGACCGAGCAAAGGAGAAGACGAAGGTCTTGTGCGTATTCTCCGATCACGCTTTGGAGCTCTTTGATCACGCTTTGGAGCTCTTTGATCACGCTTTGGAGCTCTTTGAACACGCTTTGGAGCTCTTTGAACACGCTTTGGAGCTCTTTGGCTGATGTGTATATTTATAGACTGGCCGAAGCCAAGCAGGGTTACTTTCATGATTACAACAGAGCTCGAAAAGGCGGTGGTGGTAAACTGTGGATAGCTCCCAGTGTCCTTATTCGAGAAGATGTATGTCTCTCCCTCAAACCTTTGCAGAGAGGCGCTGACACATACTTTTAGAGGGCAAATTACTTTCCCGACATCTCGGGCAAAAACCTCCTCGGAACCAACGTCCACACTACCGACCTCTTTGCCGGCAAAGCCACCCTCGTCTCCATCATTTCTACCCGCTTATCAGAAGAACATGTGCAAACATTCTCCCAGCCGGTACTGGAAGATCTAGAAGGGCATCCTCGTTTCCAATCCGTCACTGTGCGTATCGCGGTTTAGAGACAGGGCGGAGCTGATCTGGAGAGAAGATCAATCATCAGCCGAACTCGCTCAAGACGTGGATTGTGAGCATGTTCACTTCGTCTCTGAAACGAACGATACCGAAGGAGTACTGGGGCAATTACATCTACGCCACAAGCTCCTGGTCTGAACTCGATGTATGTCCTCAATCTCGCTTTCCCGCTCGCCGACTGACATCTCCTATGTAGATACTCCAACCACTCAACCTCGACAACCACCTGCTAGGCTACACTTTCCTTGTCGATCACAACTGTAAAGTCCGCTGGGCTGGGTGTGGTGAGGCGACGGAAGAAGAGAGGCAGAACCTGAGGCGTGCGGCCGCCGTGCTTGTTGGGAGGATGAAGGGTGGATCGATAAAGGCGGAGGGTGAGGCTTCTGCTTGAGGCCCATCACAGTAGCATCAGAAGTCATGCATTGCTTCAATAAGCCCTTCTTAGTAGCTTCTTACTTCCTACCTCGACTGTTCTCGGCCCTTACGTAAAGCGTCGGATGACCCCGGCGGGCATCATCATGAACCATGCGTCCAAGTAGCGCACCCTGACGAGCCCTCGTTTCTTTCCATCTCTTATCTTTTTCTTCTTTCTCATTCCTCCACCCCCAGCAAACTACAGAAACATGTCCTTCACTCCCAAGTTTCAGGCCGAGGGCTCTCCCGTCGACAGGGATCCCGCCACCCTCTCCAACTACCAGCAGATCGTTACCAAGCACCTCGATATTTCCTGGTCCATTGATTGGGAGAAGCGTATCTTTGGCGGATCCGCCACTCTCCAGCTCGAATCTGTCATCGACGATCTGAAAGAAGTCGTGCTTGACGCCAGCTATCTCGACGTCAAGAAGGTCGAGGTGGACGGCAAGACCGCCGAATGGAAGTTTGGCGAGCAGATCGAGATCATGGGTACCGGTCTCTACATCACCCTTCCCTCCGCCCTCTCTGCCGGCACCAAGACCTCCATCAAGATTACCTACACCACTACTCCCGAATGCACCGCCGTCGGTTGGCTCGAGCCCAACCAGACCAAATCCGGCAAGCACCCATACCTCTACTCCCAGTCCCAGGCTATCCATGCTAGGAGCTTGCTGCCGTGCCAGGACACGCCGGCAGTGAAGGCTACTTATGGAGCAAGGGTCAAGTCTGGGAGCGGACTGGAGGTGCTGTTGAGTGCACTGAGGAAGGAGGTGGTGGATCATGGAGATGGGGTCCGAGAGTTTGTTTACGAGCAACCTGTCGGAATCCCCTCTTATTTGATCGCCATCGGCGCGGGAGAGCTTGTCTACAAGCCCTTTGAGAAGCTCAAAGGTCGAGACTGGCAGACTGGGTGCTGGACTGAGGTGCGCTACATTCCTTTTATGTGTTTGATAGAATACTGATCATGTATCAGCCCGACACCATGGACGCTGCCTTCTGGGAGTTCCACAAAGACACTGCCAAGTAGGTCCGTCTACTATGACCCGATCTTTGTCTAATTAAATTGTCTAGCTTTGTCGCTACAGCCGAAGACCTTGCCTCTCCCTACAAGTTCGGCGTCTACGATGTTCTCTTCCTCCCCGACTCCTTCCCCTACGGTGGTATGGAGAATGCGTGCTTGACCTTTGCGACTCCTACCATCATCGCTGGGGATAGGAGTCAGGTGGATGTTGTGGCCCACGAAATCAGTCATGTAAGTCATCATTGTGCAGACTTGTATGGACACTGATCTCGTCTTGTAGTCGTGGTTCGGTAATGGTATCGGCTGTGCTTCTTGGAGGCACTTCTGGCTCAACGAGGTGCGTCTATGCTGCCATACATCGAGAAGAAGCTGACATGAGACTAGGGATGGACCACCTACCTCGAACGTCTCATCGTCCGCGCCACGCACGGCGAACAAGCCCGCCAGCTCTCCTACATCATCGGCCGCCGCGCTCTCGTCGACGACCTTTCCAGGCTCGAACCTCGTTTCCAACGCCTCGTCACCGAATACAAAGACTATGAAGACCCCGACGAGGGCTATTCCCAAGTCCCCTACGAGAAGGGCGCCAACTTTTTGTACTATCTCGAACAAACTGTGGGAGGGTTGGAGTTGTTTGTGCCCTACATGAAGGACTATGTGAAGACCTTTGAGGGGTATGCGATCACGACGGAGCAGTGGAGGGAGCATTTGTTCCACTACTTTGGGAGCTTGAAGGATGGGGATGAAGTGCTGAGGAAGCTGGGCAAGGTTGACTGGGATGAGTGGCTGCACGGTGACGGTGAGGATCTTTGCGTGGACGTCAAGTACGATGACACCCTTTCCAAGGCTGTAAGTACACTCTGATCGTACGGAGAAGCATAGCTCATGTGTCTAGGTGTACGACCTTGCTGCCAAGTGGGACAAGGCCAGGGAGACTAACGACTTCTCCGGCTTCTCCCACAAAGACATCGATTCATTCTCTACCACCCAGCTCAGTAAGCTTTCTCCTTCCCCTCTCCTGTTCCAAATTGACAACCCGTCCAGTCGTGCTCCTCGACAAGCTCGAAACCTACCCCTCCTTCCCCAAGAGCGCCATCAAAAAGCTCGACTCTGCCTACGCCTTTGGTACTTCCGGCAACGCCGAGATCCGTCTTCGTTTCTATGAGAACGCTCTCAAGACTGGCCCCGAATACGCGGTAGACGCTAGCAAGTGGGTCGTCACGAAGGGGAGGATGAAGTTCAACAGGCCGGTGTTTAGGCTTTTGAATGAGCAGGCGCCAGAGTTGGCGAGAAAGACGTTTGAGGAGCATAAGGGGTTCTATCACCCGATTGCTAGGAAGATGATTGCGAAGGATCTTGGGGTGAAGGAGTAGGGTTTGAGGCAGTATGCATTCGTATGATTCAGCCGGGTATCGTGGGTATGCCATGTAACGTTTTTGTCCGGGGCCGATCTCAAAGTCGATCAATAGACTCCAGCTGTTTAGCGCTGAATCTGGCGCAATGCGTGTCTGAAATGTGCAGATGTTCTTTCGCTTTTGGACCAGGGACCCTGGGGTGGCAAACCCGGTAAAGCCCTAGCATACTGCAGACCACCAGTTGCCAATCATTCGTTCTGCTCTTGAGGTCGGTCCATGACCTCGTGCTGAACATGTACGAGTATGTACTCTCCTGCCCTTCTCATTATGTACAAAGCTGCATGTCTATACTTCTCTGTTGAGCTTCTACCGGTGTACTATCTTCAGATTGCAAATCTAGAACTCTCTCCCAAAGACCCTGCTTAGAAGCACCCCTCTAAGCACCTCAGCCCCCGGCGTATGGGTAATAACCAAGGGTAGATTCTTCGTCTTCTCAATGGTCTCGCCCATCCTCCCCGTTCCCTCATCCTTCTCAGGCAGCTCATCCTTCCCCAAACCCTGCGACTTGATCTTCTCATCCTTACTCCTATCCACGCCAGTCTCTCCTGTCCCTCGGCGATCCACCACACACATGCCTCTTGTCAACTCGCCATTTCGCTCGATCAAGAATTCTCTCGGCTTGAGACGCCAGCCAGCTGCGGGAGCGGAGCCTCGCTTCTGAGAAGCATGCGCGAGGGCAAACCAGACAGCGACGGGATCGTGCATCTCCATCGAGTCTGGCAAACCAAAGCTCGCCTGGAGACCGCGTACTCTTACGAGCATGGCACTGGTGAAGCTCTCCAAAGGCGTGGGTTCGCCCTTGACCGGCACCTTTCCAGTCTCGTTGGCGATGGGAACGACGCTGGGGTGGATGAGGTCGTAGAAGGGGATAGCGTGAGGGGTGGTGATATCGAGAGGGGCGAGGATGAGCTCGATCTTACCGGCCTTGGTAGCGTCGAGGATGGCGGCGGCAGCGTAGGGATCGGCAAAGCAGTTGAACTCGGCAACGGGCGAGGTGTTGCCAGGGGACTCGAAAGCACCACCCATCCAGACGACACGAGATACTTTTTGGAAAGTCTCGGGCTCGGCGCGGAGGGCGTGGGCGAGGTTGGTCACTGTACATTAGTCAGCGGTGGATCACAATGGAGGCGAGATAACGCACGAGGACCGAGCGCAACGATAGTGACAGTGTCTTCTGGCTCTTTTAGGAGAAGGTCGAGGATAGCCTGATATGAAGGTTTGGAGGTGATTTCGAGGTGCTCGTGGCCCTCGCCGTGGGCAATCTCGGGAGGCGTCAAGTGAGGGTGGGTCTCGCTGATATTTGACAATCCGTCTGGGCCGTGCTATCCAAACTGTCAGCACACGACCGTGTGAGGATCCTTTATCCATGCCTTCTCCTCCTGGAAGACACTCCGACGATCAACTCACAAAGTAGGCAGCTACAGCCTTCTCTCCACCGATCGGTCCATCCTCGCCCAATGCAAGGACAGTCTTCTCCTGCCCCCTCAGCCTCTCGTACCTCGCTTCCGCTCCCGGGACTACTGCAATCTCCTTGGCGAGCTGGTGGTAAATCTTGATCAGGTTTTTGTGCGCGACGGGGGCGTGGGTGTTGCCGAAGACAATAGAGACGAGGGCAAGGTCGACTTCGGGCGATGCGAGGGCGAGGAGGATGGCGAGGACGTCGTCCACTCCGGGGTCTGTGTCGAGAACGATCTTCTGGGGCATGGTGGGTATGTATAGCTGGAGAAAGGTAGAAAGAGAATGAAGATAGAGATAAGAATGCAAGATCGTCTTCGGCACGGTTCCGGCCACTTCGGACCTCCACCACGCCTCCACATCATCACTTCTGCATACTCTATTGCACGCAAGCTTGCACGCCGCTTTTCAGACTTTTGTCAGGTCACATTGCAGCCGTATCCATCAACTAAATGCCCCCAGCAAAGCCAGACTCCAGTATACTGAATCCCATTTTCGACAATACGCAAGTACCGCATCAAGCGCTGCTAGTAGTCAGGGATCCGGTGTCGTTTTCCGGGCGGCCTGTTTTTAGAGAGATCATCCGGCGGGCTCTGGCCAGGTGCGTTTGCGGAGACCCTCCCTTCAAGATTGACATGCTGATGTGTGCCCAGAGGTGAGACGATCACTGTCATTGGCATCCTGAATCCACCAGAGGACTACTTGCCGCTTCATGCTTCTGGGGTCAACAAGCTGGACTTGACGGGATCTGTCCCAGGATATTCCTCGACTAGCACTGCATCTGATATCAAAAAACAAATTCTTTCGACATGTGGGTCTTGGAAATTGACTCTATTCTGAAGCATGACTGACTACTCTGCCAGACCAAAGTGGACAAATCTTTATTGATGCTTTGGACGTCCTCGCCGAAGACTACTCTGCTGCAAGTGTTGTCAGTCTCTTGAGGTCTTTGTTGGAAACGATAAAATTACTCAAAGGTAAACCTCTCTCCAAAAGCATTACCATGTATACAACTAATCCAACACAGCCCCATCCAGACTCGTCCTCCTCCTTCCCAGTTTGTCTGTCCTGTCCCACATCACCCCACCCACCTTCCACCCCACTCTCACCCTCTTGACGCCCCATCCCCCTCCTCTCTTGACATACCTCTCCAAACTCTACCTCTCTCCCATATCGTCATCGCCCTCAGCAAATTACTGGATGATCTTGGAGAATGCTACGAAGCGGGAGACTGGGAAGGAGCTGGCTTTGAGGGGAGAAGAGGGGCTTGAAGTGAGCACGGGAAGCAGCTGGGGTGTTGGATCTGGATGCGTTCAAGTACTCGTGAGGAAGGCTACGGGCGGGATGAAAGGCATCTCCCGATCCCTCGAAGCTCTTTCGCCCACATCCTCCCAATCCCTCTCAACCGTACCCCTCTCTTCACTCGTCCCCTTGAACCCTCTTCGCCACTCTTCAACTGGCCCTCCACCTACTGCCAATAATCCATCGACATCTACGGCGCAAACACATGCGGAGCTGGATCTGCCGTTCAACCTCAGCTTGACAGATTCGCAGAGACGGCAGAGGGATAGTGTGCCTATACCTTATGCGCATGAAGGCGAGGGAGCGAGTGGCGACTTGGTGTGGGGAGATGAGGAAGAGACGGACGACGAGGAGATATGAGGCAACAAGGGCAGGATTAAGGTCTGAGGACAAGTACCCGGGAGTAGGGCGTTATTGTATAGTGACACTGGCATGATGCAGAGAAGCCGCTGCAACTATGAGCACAGTGGACTTCAGATGGTGTAAGGATGTCCATGCTGTCTTGATCGTTAGCGCTTGATGGACTGGGATTGTCAGTGCTTGACAGGCATTGCATGCAGCGTAGGTCATCTGCCCTATCCACCTTTGAGAATCATGATTGCGATATTTTGAGCAGCATGTGCGATGGTCAGTCGAGCTATATAGTGCATAGCATGACTTTCTTGGCAGTGCATTTGATATCAGAGAACAGTAGGATGAAGATTAAGCGCCGACGAAGATTACGCAAGAGATAGGCCCGATAGAGACGTGTTTCGGACCGCCGCATGAACGAGAGAGCTGTGCACTACTTATCTTTCTTCATCCGCGGGCGGCGCTTGTGTATCCCACGTTCCCTTCCCGTATCATAGAGCCTGAAAAATGATACAAGGAACAATTCATATTTCAAGGCGATACCTCTGTGACCTCACTATCATATCGCCGCGCGCTTATCTCGATGCTGGAACCAACCAGTGGGCTCCTCGGGCCTCGAGGAGGATCGCCGTGGATGGTATCGTAAAGGCTTAGACTCAAAGACAAGATCATTCTTGTGATGTGATGCGATGCACCCCTCGACTGGGTTGATGAGATATAAAAGAGGAAGGATTAACCAGCAAACCCCATATCCTCAAACCGAACTTCAATCGTTCAACAAACCTCTCTCCAAGCCACTTTTACATCACAACATTCATACAAAGATGCTTCACTATCTTCGCTTTGCCTGCATCGTGAGCCCTCTTTCAATTGCAAAACCCTGCGATCACATTCTGACCCTCGCCCCAGGCCCCCCATGCCTTCTTTGTCATCTTCCTCATTGCTTTTTCTGCCCGGGCTACCGGCTCCACTTGGAATTTGATCACCCACATTGTGTCTTGTATTATCTTTGGCATCTATCTTCCCGCCGCCCTCATCTTTGCGTTCGCCAGACGTCACTCGGGCAAGCACACCTTCTTTGACGCCGCTTGGGGAGAGGCGGCGTACATTGTTGCGCAAATGATACTGGCTCTGTGTGAGTTTTCCTTTTTCGCCATCTTGCCACTCGTCAGACGCTGAACTGCTCCTAACAGTGAGCATGATCTTCTCCATTATCAAATACGTGCACTACCCACCCTTCCACTGGGAAGGTGCCGACACCTCTCGCAAGACCAACTTGATTCCAGTTGCCGTCCTCAGCGCCGTCAACTGTGCGGTCTTGTTTGCCTGGTTGGTGGTTGTCCTCCTTTTCGTTCAGAGAGCCAAGAGGAACGGCACTGGGGACTGGGGGAAGGGGATCACTTGGATGCAGCAGGACGAGGCTGAGAGGCAGAAGGTGGGAGATGCTGAGCGACTTAGGAAGGTGCAGAGCTATGATGCCTAATGATGGTCCCCCTTTATGACATAGTATCTAGCTGAAAGAGTTAGCGACGGCTGTGTAGTCTAGTGTATGAATATTCAGAGGTTCTGTTCCCTACAGCTTTCTAGGTCTCAAGTCACGTTGACGGATGGCGTGAGCCGTGGCACGCACCGCCACCATCGAGCCTTCGACTATCGTCTCGACTGATCACCTACTTCTGAGCAGAATGCATAGCTTCACTTCCATGATTATTACCACTCCACTCACCCGCAGACCTCCCTTCTCGCTGTATGTACGATAATCGGACGTGATTTGTATACTGGATCTCGCGGTGGAGTTCCCGAGCGGACAAGGCCGCCAACAATTGGCCTTCGGCGATGGCACCACCTCAGCCACCACCTGCGAATCTGCGATCTGCCTGCGCTCATCATCGTCCACTTTTCTCAGGTTTTCCCTACTCGCTCTTGTTTTTCAACCATTACAAGCCGCTCTCCACTACGACTCCCAGCTTTCCATCTCTCACATCGATCCACAATCCCAGCCATGTCTCGGCAAGAAGCTCAGCCCTACGACCACGCCCTCGACGTCCGCGATCTCACATATTCTTGGAAAGAGGGAGATGATCCCGTCCTCCAAGGGGTGGAGATACAGCTGAAGAAAGGGGAGAGATGTCTGCTTCTCGGCGCGAATGGAGGTATGTCGCGTCTACAGGGGATGGTCCACTGTCGATCGATGTCATCTGCTGGATCCGATATGGGGCATGGGCTACAGCAGCGGATCTGGATGGAGCCTCAATCGTGTCTATATGAGTATAGGATGCTAATAGTAGTATGCCATGTTAGCCGGAAAGTCGACACTGCTCAGAATTCTGGCCGGTAAACGCTTGACCAAGACGAAGCACTGCCGGATCCTCGGACAAGATGTCTTTATGAACCCTCCCGGTGTATGTTTCCCATGCCCTCTTATTGTTGAACTAATCACTAACGCAAGTCTACAGGGCGTGGTCTATCTGGGCACAGAATGGTCTACCAACCCCGTCGTGCGCTCCGATATCGTCGTTTCTCATTTCCTCGACTCTGTCGGTGGTTATCGTCACAAAGCGCGACGAGACCGTCTATTAGCGCTCCTGGATGTCGACTTGGACTGGTCAGACCTCCCGCGCTTCCTATGGAAAGAAGAGCTAATCAAGATGCAGGCACATGCACCAGATCTCTGACGGCGAGCGAAGACGTGTGCAGCTCTGTATGGGGCTCATGGGCGAGTGGGACGTCCTTCTTTTGGACGAAGTTACCGTCGACCTGGATGTACTCGTGAGGGCAGACTTGATCGACTTTTTGATTTCGGAAAGTGAGGAGCGGGGAGCCACTATCGTCTGTGAGTTCTCAACCTGCTGCGAGACTGGGAGATGAAGCTGACGGGAAGTTAGATGCGACGCATATCTTTGACGGTCTCAAGAAGTTCCCCAACAAGATCTGCCACATGCAGCTCGGTGGCACCCCTCGCGGTCTCATCCCATGGCCCCCTCTCCACGCCGACAAAGATGTCGGACAAGAGGATCTGTTCACGTTGGCGCTGGGATGGTTGAGGGAAGACAGAGATCTTAGGAGGGAGGCGGAGAAGGCCAAGGGGAAGGTGAGGGGGCCGAAGACTGATGTGAGTGCATTCGTAATTGCTTCGAGCGTTGACATACTGACTTGATTGTAGACGAAGGATAGAGTGGCTTTCTACGAGAAGTACGATTACTCCCACTAGAGTCTGCAGACTATAGACATCTCTGTCACCTGCTGTAGACAACATAATTCAACATCATGTTCAATTATCTCTGTTGTTTGTGCATCAACTGCATGGTCCCTTATTATGGCACCAATCTACTGCTGCATCATCTTCCAACTGCCAAGCCGCACGAACGTGACTGCCATGCTTAATATTCTCATACTCCCTGAAGCTCTGCCATCACAAGCCGCTCTCTGTGCTCGACTGCAGAGTGCCTCGACGTGAAAGCCGAAAGCAAGAGGAGATGTGCGCAGGAACCAAACGGTCAGGGTCCGGCAGAGTCACGTCATAATGGTCCAAGGCACACCCGTCTTTCACAAGCTCGTATTTTTTCGAGGATTCAGCCGCGCTCGAGCTGTCGAAGGGGTGTTGACGAGGGAGGTATGCATGGAGGGCGAGTATGGCAGAGGCTGGGGGGATGGCGAGGAGGGGTCAGCGACCCACGCGATGTATTGTTTGGTTACATGCTTTACGGAATCTACGCAGTTCAGGTCGGCTCAAGCGCAGGGACAGTAAACAAGCACCAGCGGACATCGACGCTTTCTCTTCCTGATCTCATCCTTTTTATCCCTCCCCCGTCCCCCTTCTCTCCCTATATCTTTGCCCCCCTCCTCGATCTCCCCCCCTCCACCCTTCGGGACCGAGAACAGCGGTGAGACGATCAGGACTAACCGTCCGGCTTCGTCATCTCCCATCAACCGAACACAGTCCCGCTCTGTCTCTCCTGTCGCCCCACTGTCTCCCAGCACGCAACAACAAAAGTCTTTTTCACTCGTTTCATTCTTCCGCCCCATCAAAGCAATACATCGCATCTGTATACACGCCTATACTACCCCTGTACCACATATACGTACCCCGACATACGGGTGTTCACTGTAGATATTAGATCGCTAGCCAGCAACGTGGGAACCCATCACCACGCCCGTCACCCCTACCGCCCGTATACATAAACGTAAGCTGGGCCGTACACTTCGCCGGGGTTCCCTTCGCCACCCGACGTGATTTTACCATATAGCACAGCTAACGCCTGTCCCTAGCCTGTCCCTGCCCATCACCCGCACTCATACAACGCACCACACCGCGTTCCTCTCTTATACCTTGCGTATATCCCCGCGTAACTTCGCCACTGCCGTGCTTAGGGAGATCGACCTCGCGACCCTCGCAGCTCTGATATATAATCGCTAGGGTTTCAAGGTAATCCCCAGAGAAGCGCATTTCCATCTCTCGACTACTGCACGGACTCGTATCACTCCACCTCAAAGATCCGCAGCGGCGGGTGTTGCCTAGCTCGGGCCGTTGCGCCATCTCCATTGCCTGCGTGGTCAATATCAAAGGTGAGTTTGAATTCTACGCTCGCAGCATCACTTTGATGTACCATCTCCTTTATTCACCTCGTTCATCTCGACGTGACCGAGGATATTCCAAGATCTCGTTTTCCTTCTCCTTTCTTTCAACTCTTGTTCGTGTGCTTCAGCACATGAACCAACACTCCTCCCCACCTTCGGCCCCTGCCTTTACTCCACTCCATCCCTTTGTCAACCCACCAGGCTCCTTCCTGCGACTGTTGGAGGTTGCCCTAAAGGTACGGAAGTGCTGACTCTACCCCGCCAGGCTCCAAAGACGCCAAGTAATCTCCCCTGCCAAACCGAGCGGGTGTAGAAGTCTGAGATCCTTTCTCTTTGAGGTCAGTCTGGTTTGAAGGGAAAGGATATAGGAAAGAAGAACGAGTCGCTGACGACCCCCAAAGCTCGATTGATCTCATCTCTATCTGGCTTTGTGATTGCGAGTCAAAGTGAAAGAGGACTTGCCGTACGTCCACGCTACAACTTCTTTGCATATAGCTGACATGCCAGGCAGACGATGGACTCTCTCTTCTCATCTCTCCCCCGGCCGATGTCCCTTTACGTCTCCAACGACCCCCGCTCCATCTCCCTCCTCGACACCTCTTCCTACTCTCCCTTCCCCACCTTCCCCGGCTCCCAAAAGACTGCCGACCCGTACAACCTCAACAACTTTCTGTTACACCCCGCCGACAAGCTCTGGGACTATGTCGACCCCATACCAGACCCTCAAGCGCACGCTGGGTACGGGTCGGGGTCGGATTCGGAAGGTGAAGAGCCAGGGGCAGGTACAGGGCCGAAGAGGGCGGTGAGGAAGCAAAAATCGTTGGGCGTGATGAAGCCGAGTCCGCTCTCGCAACCGCCGATAGCGGCGTTGGAAGTGGACGAGCCGGTATACCAAAAAGCTGCGCTCGTGCGCAAGAGGAGCAAGTCGTTTGGCGGGAATGACTTGGTTGCGAGCAAGGCCCAAGATGACTTTGTCGAGTCTCTAAGAGAAGCGCCGCAGGTCAAGGAAGAAAAGCCAAAAAAGAAGGGGATCAAGCGGGCTTTTACGCTAGGGAAGAAGGGACGTACGTCGGAGCCCGTTGTGATTCCACCGGTGCCCCCTGTGCCATCGTTGTCCTTCCCCGACGCCCTTCCTCCGCCTATACCCCTCACGACCCGAACCCCATCCTCCAACTCTACCCTCTCTTCCGCTTCCTCGACATCTTCCTCGGAAGGGATCAAGACCCCCGCCGAAGGGCAGGCTATCGGAGCGATGATTGAAAGCGAGCAGTTGGCGAATGCTCTGCAGAAGGGCAAGAAGAAGGGACGGATGTGGGGCTGGTTCGGAGGCAAGAAAAAGGGCGAGCTGTTGTCTGCTTCTAGCTCGGCGAAGACAACGCCCGACAGCAGCACCACCGACCTCCTCTCCATTCCTTCTTCTTCACCTCAAAACTCGCAATCTTTTTCCCCCATCCAACTCCCCTCGGAGCAGTTTGCCATTGAGCATACGTATCTCACGAATCAGCTACGGTCTTCGTCCATGCGCAAGATCACGCAACTCAAAGCCCCGTCACCGCATCCTTTCGCGTTGGCCTTGATGCGGGGAAACCGCAAGTTGCCTGACGAAGTCGCAATGTCGATACAGAACGGACAGAGGGTCTTCCCAAAGAGTGTCAATGCCTGGACCGGGTCGGGGGGGCTGAGCCCTGCTCAAGGCGGGCTCCGTCTAGGTCTGGCGGTGAGGGATGTGATGATCAAGCTCGACCGGGGCGAACAGCCGCAGGGTACCATCATGGCCCGTCGTCCGTCGAAAAAGTCTCTTGTCCCGCGCCCTCGAGGTGTCTCGGACTTTATCAATCGCCCGCCTTTTGAGCAGCGTAATCTCGTTTTCCTCCCCTCTGGTATCTGCACGCACGTCTCCATGGCCCGTCCGGGTTATGGCGTGTGGGAACTCGACTTTTCCCGATACATCCTCGGTCTTTCCGAGGTCGACGAGGGCTCGTCCATCTTGGGTTCACCGAGGGTCTCGCAAGTGCCCGGTATCGGGGCTGGGGAGAGGGAAGCGAAGGAAGTGAAGGCGATGGAAGAAGAGGTGAACAGGAGGGAAAAGATGGAAGGTGTCGAGGCGGCGCTCAAGGCGTTGACTGCGAATGAGGGAAAGAACAGTCCGCCTTTGACTTCAAACCCTCTTCTTGGTTCCGAGGCTCCACTACCTGTACCGGCTGTGGCTTCGACGAGACCGTTCTCTTCCATTCGCCCCAATGCTGCTCGTTCCAACACGCAAAGCAGTGAAGAGGAGGAGCACGAGGATGATGTACCTTTGAGCCGCCGTCGCTCGCAGCTTTCGTTGAGAGCACAATCCTCTTCTGGCAATGTTCGCGCTCGTACCCAATCTCAACCTCACCATTACGCTTCTGCGTCTCGTTTCTCCCAGGTCCCCACTGCTTCTCGTAGCCCCGATGAAGCTTTGCGCGAAGTCCAAGCTGCAAGGGAAAGGCGCGCGGGAAACACGAAGGGCGAGAATGAGCGTCGGGCAGAGATGGACCGGGTGAGGGAAGATAGGAAGGTGAAGGACCGCCAGAGCAAGGTGCTGTCGAGGGGCTTTAGCATGACCGACGTCAAGTCTGTTGACGGCGGGGAGAAGAGACGAAGCCAGATGACGGGGCTGGGTATCGGGACGGGACTGCAGCACAAGAGGTCGTCGAGTAGCAGCAACATGCTCGACTTGAACAGGACGAGCCCACCTCGCCCCGACCGTGAGAGGAGGACAAGCACCTTGTCGTTCTACTCTCAAGCTTCTTCTTCCTCCCACCAACCCCCTGCTTTCCCCAACTACCACGCCAAACGCCCTTCAAACCACCGCACCAAAACCGCGGGCGACTCGCCTTCTACTACCTCTACGCAAAAATACCACTCGTTCTACGAACAGCGCGCTTCTTCGTCCAGCCTTCCTACTGTCAATCGTCTACCGCCCTCCTCATCGCAGGTACCGATGATCCCGGTGCCGATGCACGGTCAGCAGTTTGTTTACCACCAGGCGTACCCGCAGATGGGCGGCCAGGTCTCTATGGCGTACGGGCCTGGGCAGGGTATGGGGATGGGCCTAGGACAGGCGTTGGGGGTGCCGGTGGGCAACAAGAGATTGTCGAGAATGTCATAAATCAGCTCTTTCTTCCCCTAATCATCCTTCCACCCATTTGTAGATTATAATTCTTTTTCAACTCACGACATATTTTGTCTCTTGTGCCGGACATTTCAAAAGGACATTCCATCTCTCTACACTAGTTCATTTCATCACCTTTCCATACCTTTTTTATCTTGTACATATAATTGTCGCTCTAGCATCTTCCTTCTGACGAGACGTTTTCTGTCTGGTAGATCAAAACATCATATCCATCATTGGAGTACCTTGTAAACATGTAACATGCACCTTTGCACCAATACATCATCGCTATGCATACCAGACTTGTCAGCTCTATGTTTGCGGGACAAATGCTATACTGTGTAACTCCTCAAGAGATTGACAGGGGAGAACGCACAGCGCTCGGGTTACCCAGCGTCCGAAAAGGGGCCCTTAATGGGGTCTTTGGGCTTCCAATGGAACGACCCGCGTTCGCACTTTGGTTCCACTGGCATGCACCTCAATGTGCCCCAGCGCCCGCACCAAATCCATACCACTCCACATACATACCCTCTCAGCGGTCCTCCCCACACACTTCCAGCCCATCGCTCCATCCTCTATCCCCTCCCAATGTCGCTTACTCAGCGAATATCTAGGCCGCTGCCGCTGCCTGTCAGCGCACGCCCTGCTGACGACGACGATGGCGTCGTCAAGGCGATGCGACCTGTCCCAGTTACGCAAAAGCAGCAAACCGAATCAACCTTCCTACCGACGCCTTGGTGAAGGAGGCACAAGAGGCTAGAACAGTACGCCCGTCGAAGAAGCAAAGGAATAATGGGATGGACGCCATGTTCATCGTACTCCGTCGTATCATGTGCCCTTGGTGCATCGAAAACGACGTCACCTACACCCGAGCAGTTCTGCAACGCCAATGTCCGAGTCGACACGGCGTGGAACCTGTACCAGTAGATTGCGGAGGCCAAAAAGGTTCTTGCGCAAGACAGCCGGCGGATTTCGAGATCGAGTCAAACGCGCAGAAGACTCGAAACGCGTCGCGTCGCGTCCGGGCCGAGTAAGACATGAGCAAAAGTCCATACCAGCTTGTAGACACTATTCACGGCCACCTGTCACCGCCACCGTCACACAAAAAATCATAGAATATAGCTCGGAAGTAGGGGTTTCTTCTGATGTAAAACTTATACGAGCATGTGATACCCATGTTTGCTCAAAAAGAAAGGCAAAAAGAATTGGTCCCGTCTGGGGGTCGAACCCAGGCCCACCCCCACTTAGCTGACAAGAAAGTCACCCAAAGAGGGCATGATACCACTACACCAACGAGACCATTTGATGGCTTAATGCCCTTATAAAACACTATGTAGCACAGCATCTCTGGTGTGATTTTTTGCTTCTTCCCTTTCAAGACCATTCAAGCATTGCCCATGGCGATTGAGTCAGCATCAACGCTATCAATTTTGATCTTATTTTGTTCTTGTCATTAATTTGTCTCATCAACCGTGCAATCCTTCGGCCGCTGGTCCGCTCGGCTACTATCTGTACTATCTGAACTGAACTTTGCATGCGACTATTCTTCCTCATCTTCACCCTCAGACAACTCGGTTTCCTCCTCCTCTTCCGCATCCGCTATCCCTTGCGCCTCCCTCGCGACCTTTTCAACATCCTCTTCATCTCCCAAAGTCATCCGCTCGATGTCCTCGAGGATGGACTCTCGACGTGCCTTGATGTTGGCGACGTCGTCTCGGAGGCCCTTCAGGACCTGCGAGTGGACCCCCGCAGTCACCCGGGGGGACGAGAGGAGCACAGATGCCAAGGAGGAGGTAGCCTGAGAGTCGAGCAGGCGGGCCTTGAGGTCCCGCTTGTCCAGACGTAAACGTTCGGACGACAAGCCAACAGCTCTTGCCGAGATGCGAACTGCATTTCGATCAGCTAAGAACATGTGTGTATAGAGAGAGTGGACCGATCTGCCTGCTCGCCCAGAGGCAACCCTTCCAAGATGCCTCGACCCGCCTCCTGCGCACGAAAGGCTGCGAGCTCCTTGGGCGTGTCGTGTCTGATAGTGATCGTCGCCTTCTTGGTGACAGTTGGCTTCTTCTTGGCCGGTGCCGCCTTTTTTACAGGGGCTTGCTTCTGGGGCGACTTGCCTTTGCCCTTACCCTTCTTGGCAGCGGTGGGCTGGTCGTCCTACATGGGTGTCAGAAAGAGACTATGAGTATATGACCTTACTTACATCGCCCGAAAGAATCTCGAAATCATCTTGGCTATCTTCCGGGTCACCGGCAACGCCATTGCTGTTCTCCAGCTAAGAACAAAGAGGTTAATAAGGGCATTGACTCTTACTTGAAAGCTCACGTTAGCAGGGGCCGACTTTCGTGGCTTTTTGGCCGGTGCGGGGTTCTGCGCGTCTGTCAGTGTTTGCATTCCCGGGGCATTGACAAGACGTACGCTGGACACGCTAGCGTTGGCCCCAAGCGACTTTCTTGCTGGGGCGGTCTACATGCATTGAAGTTTGTCAGCTAGATCCGGAGGAGAGAAACGTCGACGGACGTGAGCAGCAGAAGGAGTCTGCGCGGCCCGCTTGCTGGGCCCAGAAGTGGCGTTGGGGGGCATTGTGCTGTTTGTGGGTCGAGACGAGCATCGCGGCGATAAAGCATATATATGAGAGGGGAGATGGGCACAACCAAGTGCACGGAGCCGTGTTGTACCCCTCCTTTCTCGCCTTCACCAGGCACACTACACGGGCTAGTGAAGTAGATTATTGAGGGGGAAAGGTAGCCTTTATTGAGATGGAAAGGTAGTCTACCGTTCGCGGGGAAAGAGCCTATTTGGATGGGGAGATGGGCGCAACCAGGTGCATGGAGCCGTGATGTACCTGTCATGACCTAGCTGGGACGCAGCAGGGAATGAGCTGGAAAAGGTGTCTTGAGAGGGGAAAAGACCTTTTCGGTATTATCGCATGGAAAGAGTAGAACAATGGGATATGAATTGAGTATGTACACCGCACCCAACTCGACGCCACTGCCACCTCAGGGATTTAGTAGATGTGACAAATCTTCCTGCCTCCCTCGCCTTCTCTTGCTACGCTGGCCCGCCTGGGAAGGAGACGAGGGTAGTCGATCATAGCTGGGCTTGTCCGGGTGAGTCTGATAGAACAGCCGGACAAGGGGGTCGGTTGGCGGCAACTGAGAAGCAGGGACCCATGAGCGGTAATCATATCGGAGGTAAATAAGAAAGCCCGGTAGCACGATCCGCGGCAGAGTCCACAATGACAGCGGCTGAGGAGAAAGGGTGGGGTATGGGGGGAGGGAAAACGACGGGGGACGAAGAGGGAGGGAGGGGAGAAGGAGGTGGAAGCGCCGTGGGCAAATGGCGGGAAGGGGGAGGAGGGGACGTAGAAAGCGCAGAAGCACGGGAGCGATTCTAACAGACTGAGACATGAAACACCAAGTGTACACGCGAGAACTCCTCGGACAACCGAAGCTTGTAGGCATTACGGCCGATGATGGACACAATGGGCAAGAGGTCCCAGCATCGCATCCTCGAGTTTGCGAGAAGGGCGGGAGGAAGAGAGGTGCTTACGGTCCAGCATGACGAGAGAGCCGACTTGGAACGACGCCGGGTCAATGGCTTTACGGTGCCGATCTGCGAAACGCGCGTGTCGATCCTTTGCTGCCTTCAAACAACAGGGCACCTTCTCCCGCGTGGCCTGCGGGGCCTGTAACCAAGAAGCGGCCGGGGAAGGGAAGAAGTAGGGGGTGGGGGACCGAGATGATCGCGGGGTGGACGCCTGTGGTCAGCAAAGAAAGGAGTGGACCTGTCGAGCTGTGATACGAGTTATTTGTATGCAAACTCGAGAAAAAGAAGGTACCGCCGCCACCAGGTACACTACACGGGCTAGTGAAGTGGGGTTAATGAAATGGAAAGGTAGCCTTTAATGAAGTGGGAAGGTAGCCTCTAATGAGATGGAAAGGCAGTATACAGTTCGCGGGGATAGAGCATCTATATGAGTGTGCATGGAGCCGTGATGTACCCCCCCTCGTTCCTCGCCGTCACCAGGTACACTACGCGGACCAGAACAGGAGATTTAATGAAGTGGAAAGGTAGCCTTCTAATGAGGTGGAAAGGTAGCCTTTAAAGAGGTGGAAAGGTAGTCTACCGTTCGCGGGGATAGAACCTGTATGAGTGGGGAGATGGGCGCAACCAAGTGCACGGAGCCGTGATGTAACCTCCGTCCTCGCCGCCACCAGGCACACTCGGCCACAAGCTCCATCAAGCCATGCAGCGGCATAAAGATATAAGAGCGGGCTTTTTCCTTGTGCTCTCGTCTCCCATCCAGCGTTTGCGCATCGACCTAGCCCTTGCCAACTTCTACCCGCTCCCCAACCAGCTACACCCACAATCGACATGTCGTCATCCAGCAACTTCTCCCTTCCGTCGTTCTCTTTCTTGGAAGGCGACGCACCACCTGACAACTTGGCTCGTATTACTCGTCTTATTTGCGAGAGTGGCATTGGGGTCATGCGCGTGGAAGACCAGGCTATACAGGATGATCTCGAGGGGATGAAGAGAAGGGAGAGGCTCGTCGAGATTACCGACATTGTTCCCCGAGGCCCACAGATGCGCCACATTCGCATGCAGCGTCGAGTTGCAGACTTTGTCAAGTGGCACAGGGTTCCCAACGGGATCATGAACCGAGCGTTTGCAGGGAAAGAGAGGTCCAGGACGGATTTTGTCCGTAAGTGTGTCGATAACATTCATGCTGTGGCTGATTCATCATTTGCAGAACGCATCAAGCTCTACATGGACATCTGTGTTACCAAGTCTGCCAAGATCAAGCCCAATCTCGGGGACGAGACCCTCCCTGTTGAAGAGCGTTACAAGCGATGGCCCGATGGCAAGATCATCTACATGTCAGTGTCGTCGTTGGACAGCCTGACCACGGAGATGATGTGGTTAGTGAGTAATTTGACGCACCTCTTGGGTATGTGACTGACCAATCAGCTCGACCGCTTCCCTAGACTGGCGTTTACGGCAAAGGAAATGGTGGCGGCCCAGGCTTCAATTCGTTCCGTGGGTACCCTTTCAGCGATCCGGTACCATATCTGACAACAACCTTAGCACGTCCAGGGAATCACCATGTCGTTTCCCGTCCGCTCCCACATCTACCGCAAGACCGCCCTGTTCCCCAGGGACCTGATCAAGATGCTTGAGTGGGTGTTCGACAACTGTGGCGACAAGTACGACGAAGTGAGTCTCGGCCTGAGCGAAGGGATCGCGCTGACGTTATTATAAGGCCCTTCAGTTCGCCGTCATTAACACCCTTTTCATGTACGCAGGCTTGCGACCAGGGTCAGTCCTCGCCACCAAGCACTACCCGACCAAATTTGCCAAGTGGGGCGTGAGTTTCCACGTGTCTTTAGGTTCCATATGCTGATCAGCGCGCAGGACGTGGAGTTTCGACTGAGGCCTGGGAAGGATGGCAAGAACACCGATATCGAGGTCATCTTCCTGGTGAATACTTGGAAGGGATACTGGCTGGACGACAGCAAGCGGTGAGTAGCGCAGCGCCCTTCCAATGCCTCTTCTGATATACTCCTAGCGTCTCGTTCAAGATAAAGCCGGTCCAGACCCTCAAGTTTGCCTACCTCGACTTTGGCACTTACCTCCTCGCATTTGCCCTCGCCCGCGGCGTCCTCGGTGACAGGACGTTTGAAGACCTTCTGGCTGCCCCCGACGTCGTCATCCGTGCCGAAGAAGAGTTCCGCCTTCTCCCGATATTCGTCACCGGATCGCGAACTCGGCTGCACGACCTCCAGACGGCCAAGCCCCTCGTCAGTGACCTCGTCAACCTTCGCCTGAAGGAAGTCCTCCGTGGTGTTGGTGTGGTCACACCAGAGTGTAAGTTGTACAGCTTGACAGACGAGGTAGCTCACGATAACATAGCTGGTCGGGGCGACACCCTATACGCATACCGCAGGACTTTCGCCACCCTCATCAGCAGGAGGATGTCTCTTGATGCTGCTAGATTTTTCATGGGTCATTCTCCCAACAGCACGGCAATCGAGAAGTACTACGACTTTGGGAATTTCCAGGCCAACGTCGTGGGAGGGATTCTGGGAGAGGGGGAGGGGGGGGCGGATGAGATTATCCCGCTGACGGCTCTTGCGTTCGTTCGGTCCTGTCACTCCAGAGTAAGCTGACAAAAACGACAGGCGGCCCAACAACGAGAAGAACTATACTGTCAAGGATGCTCTGCGCGACAGCCCTCGCTTCCGCAACATGCACGAGAAGTGGTCTTTTTTGAGGGATTGTCTGGCGAGTGGGTCGGGGGACTGGACCAAGGTAGAGCCTGTAAGTGGTTGAATGTCGTTGCTGCTGTTGCTGACCCTACAACCAGTTCAAGTCGGACCCCGCCATCCAGACAAGCGGGCATATCGGCATGCTCCCGGCCATCATCGCCGCCTACAAGTCCCAGATGCGCGCCTTCGTTGTCTCGCTGCGTAAGCAACAGTGGGCGTCCGATGCCGAGAAGAACGAGGTCGAGATGGAGGCGGCCCAGTTTGCCCGGCTGCAGCGACCCGTGTCGGAGGAAGAGACAGGGGAGGAGGTCTCGAGGTCCAGTCTACTCCACAGCCTCCAGCAAGCGCTTTGGGAGAAGGAGAGAGCTTTCGTCCGTGAGGCCATCAACCACGACACCGATCAAACCTACGAAATCTCCCCCGATTCTGGGCTCGAACTTGCCGAAGGCGACGACATTGAAAACGACGACAAGAGCAACGCAGGCGATGACGAGGGCTTGGATCTCGAGCAGGGGGGTGCTGAGGATGTGGAACGAGTTGTGGATGGGGAAGACGGAGGGGAGAGCGAATGGGAAGATGTCGAGGAGGGAATGGATGGGGACGACGCAAAGGAAGGCGTAGAGAAGGAAGGGGAGGGCGATGTAGAAGCTGTCGAGCAAGTTGTTCAGCCGTTGGAACTCAGTCGGTCTCTTCTCCCTGAAGCTTGAGCAAAACTGACATGCAATGCAGAGGACTGTCAAACAACAAAACTAGAGCTCTTGCGGTGAGTGACCATGGCCCCCTCTACTTCTCTACTAACAAACAAACTAGGACCCTCGTCCAGCTGTGCGCCAACCAAGCCGACTCCAAGAACCCCCAGCCGTGCGAGGAGTGCCTGGATGATCCACTCGTGCCGGACGAGCAAGCCCCCTTGTTCCGTCCAGGCGAAAAGCTCAAGCGACACCTAATCCAATTCCACAGCCCTCACCTGCGCTGTGACCGTTGGCTGAAGTCTTTGATCGATGAGGGTGAGTAAGCACGTTGACATACTCTGGATACTGATTATCATTGCAGATGGGGCTTACGTCTGTCCTCTGCAAGTCGAAGCCAGCGAGCATTCCTCCGTCGCCGGGAGCGAGGCCGAAGGCCAGCGCGACTTGATTTGCGGGAAATCCCTGTATGTGGTCGACCGGATGATATGACAAGCACTGACCACTTCTTGCAGGAAAAACGAGAAGCACTTCAGGAAGCACCTGTTCGATCTTCACCAAAACCAGCTCCACCCCGACTTCCTCAGGCCTCTCAACCCCTCTACCCGCAATGCTTCCAGGTCTGACGCCAACAAGAAGCACGAGGAGATTACCAACAGACCTCGAGACCGGAAAGTTGGCGTCAAGCGTGGGCCTATGTACGACTTTGGGACGCCAGGGATGTTTCAGCATCAAGACCATACCGAGCTTGGAGAACTTGGCCTGGGGGATAGCCTATTTGAGACTGGGGACATTGCGCCTGTGAAGGAGTGGGGGTTTATGTTGGATGAGGAGGGGCTCTTGAAATTGTAAATATATGGATGAGGAGGGGCTCTTGCAGTTGTAACTATATGGAGGAGGAGGGCTCTTGAAGTTGTAACTATCAGACCCGCTCGACAACTCGCGGGCAAGTTTTTAGACTGTTTACAAGATGCAAAATACTTCTACATGTACGTGAAGACTGGTATACAATCTCTGGCGCTTCACACCTGACACCTGGTAAGATGAAGAAGCAGACATGTACGCCAGCTGTGAAAAAAGTACCCTTGAAGTACCCCGCCCCAGCGATCTCCTCAAGATTAGTTCCGTCACCTTACGTAACCTCGCGCGTCACTCTTCTACTACGTACGCGCGTACGCGCACGTACGATACTACTACTGAACTCCAACTCCAATACTCCTCTTGACGTTCTGTACGCTAAGTGTCTATCCCAAAGAGTCGCTATCACTACTTCCACGTCATCCCTCGTACCCCCATGCTCCTCCCTTCTCGTGCACTCCTCAGCACCGACCTCCCTCTTCCGCTCGCCCTGTCGCCAGCTACTCCGCCCTAATCCGCAACTCTCGCACATCCGCCACATGTAGGATTGGCTCCAGTGCTTTCGTGAGGATATCGGTGATATTGGGCTTCGACATGACGTATGTGAGTCGAATGAGGCCAGCCTCCACATAATCTCGTATCATGTGGATTCGGATGTCGATATGCTTTGTGCGGTGATGAGCACCGGGGTTTGTTGCCAGAGCTAACGTGCCCTGGTTGTCGCAGTTGATTCGTGTGTTTGGAGGTAGCTCGAACCCAAGATCCTCCATCAACCTCCGCAGGTAAGCCGCATGCTTCCCTGCTCCCGACATCGCCACGTACTCAGGCCCGAGCGTAGACGTTGCTGTGACCGCCTGGCGTTTCGACTGCCAGTCAACCACCGACCCATAGGCCTTGAATACGTAGCCTGAGGTGCGACGCCTCGTATCCAAGCACCCCGCCAGATCCGCATCCACCCATCCCTCCAACGCCTCCGCTGTATCGTCGCCATCCAACAACAGCCCTTCGCGCTTCGTCTGCTGCAGATACTCCGTCACCCTCAGCGCTAGCTGCCAGTGGCTCTCCAGGGGTTTCGACGCGAACCGTGCTAGATAGGCCGCAGAGAACGCAATGTCGGCGCGGACCGTGGATGCGATCCACTGCAGTGAACCCACTATCTCCTGGTACGGAGTCAGTGGTGCTGCCGGCGATTCGTCTTCGTTTTGTGCTCGAGCCAGAGAGCGGAGATTCAAGGGAACGTTCTGCTTTCGCAGATTGGTGGGGAATTTCTTGGAAAGTTCGTCGATATTTTTCGGGAGGGAGATGTGGAACGTTTTGGCTGACCGGTTTCTAGCGATCTTGATTCCCAGAACCTGCGTCACCTCCTCCGTCGTCGTAGTATTTCATTCCTTTCCCAGCACATCGAATATCCCATCTATCTCCTCTTTCTCCGGCGCGACGACAATCAAGTCGTCGACGTACGACAAGATGATAGTAGGCTTCCTGGCACCAGACTTATGCCGAACATACAGTCTCCAGTCGCTTCCTACTCGTTGGAACCCAAGGCCTAGCAGAACATCACGAAGTTGTATCCACCAGATCCTTCCCGACTGCTTCAATCCGTAGAGGGAACCATTCAGACGCAGACGTTGCAGCCCTTTGACGGCGTCATTCCCTTAGGGTACCTCATGAAGATGGGTTCGTCCAGACGCCCGTTGAGGTAGGCTCCCTTCACGTCGGCTTGACCTATTTCGAGGCCGTACTTGGCGGCAATGATGAGGATGAATCGGAGACTAGTGAAGCGGGATGTGGGTGACCAAGTCAACTCGTAGTCGACCCCGGGTTGTTGGCTGAATCCTTGGGCAACGAGTCGTGCTCTGTACTCGAGCACGTCTCCGTTGGCGTCTTTCTTCTTCGCCAATACCCATTTCGATCCCACAACCTTTCTTCCCTTCGGCAGCCCGATCTCCTCCCATACGTCCTTCTCCTGAATCGTAGACAACTCTGTCTTCATCGCCTTCCGCCAAGCTTCGCTCTCTTCACCGTTGAGAGTTTCGTTGATAGTAGCAGGGACGTCGTCGGGGGCTTTCGTGATGGCGTTGAGAACATACTCGGACCCGAGGTGGTGCCACCTGGCGTCCTTACCGTAGTAGTTCAATTGATCGCATACGTCGTCGAAGGGGATTGCACCCGTACAGACTTTCGGGGCCGTCGAGGTAAGTGAGATGTTGTCGCTGTCGTCGGAGGAGATTTCTGACCCTAGTTCTAGCACCTCCGTCATCCGAACTTTGGACTTCTCCGTCCTCCCTCATTCTCCATCGCTTCGCCACCACCCCCTATCTCCTCCACTACATCGTCCTCCCCCTTCTCACTCTCTTCGTCGACTTCTTCTATCGTGGCTCGCAGAGGGAATGGCGATGGTGTTCCAATCTCCTCGTCTAACCGGTAGTGTTCGCCGGTCGCCTTCCGAACCTCGCGAGAGTGTACCATTTCGCCACTCGTCTCTACTCGTACCATCCACCCGCTCTTCCCTATATCCAACCCGAGCACCCACCCGAGAACGGCTTTCTTGGTGTTCAGCCTATCCTTCAGACGAGTCTCCTGCGGTATCTGCACGTAGCAGTATTCGCCGAAAGCCCTGATCTCCTTAACGTTCTTATCCCGCCCCGTATACCTCTCCCACGCCGATATTCTATCGTCACCCATTGTTATCTTCATCAAGACACAAGAGGCGTATCGGATGGCGTAATCCCAGTATTGTTTACCGAGTTTGGCCGAGGAGAGCATCGCCGAGGTCGTTTCTTTGAGGGAACGGATGTACCGCTCGCAGACGCCGTTGAGCTCGGGCGTGTACCGTGTGGAACGTTGGTGGATAAGACCGACTCGCTGGTACCAAGCTTGCGCCTCATTGCTGAGGAACTCGGACTCGTTGTCGGAACGGAGGAAGCGGACCCTGGTACCGCACTGTCGTTCGATCCTCGCCACGAAGGCTTGGATGTGCTGGAGTACGTTGTTTTTACCGGGCAAGGGGAGGACGTGAGATATTTTCGAGAAATCTTACATGAGTAGAAGGGCGTAGGCGTCCCCCAACTTGGATTTCGTGTATGGTCCAACAATATCCATATGGATCATTTCGCCAGGCGCTCGTGCTCGACTCGACTGGCGGTTTTTGGGTCCTCGTGCCGCCTTGTGTTCGCTGCAAGCGGGACAGTCCGTCATCCGGAAGTCCTTGACAAGAAGCGGACATGTACGCCAGCTATGGAAAAAAGTACACCTAACGACTCCTAGGCCTCCTCCTCCTCCTCCTCAAGAATAGTTCCGTCACCTTACGTAACCTCTCGCGCCACTCTTGCTACCAACAACAACAACAACTTGCTACGTACTGAACTCCAACTCCAACATACTGTACGTAAGTACCGCCGATATCAGCAGAAAAGTACATGAAGTGATTGTGGCGGAAACGTGAACAATAAAAGCAACAGAGGTTGGCAGACGTCTCTCTAGGTTGCCCTCGATCAACCTCACGCGCTCTGTCCCTGCATCTCCCTCACGCCGCCTTCTCCGCCTCTGCGCCCTCGACAAAACAGATTACCCCCACGGACACACTTGGCACCTCCTTTAGTGTCAGGATCGCCCATGACGACCATCAACGCAGATTCGCGTGGCAACAAACAAGGGAATATATAATTTGACAGCTTTTCATTTTGCCTCTCTACCTTGTCCCCAAAGCCCTCCCCTCAAACAATCCTCTGCCCACCGACTATCGCCACTCACCAATATGCCCCCCAAGCTTGCTGTGAGTCCCCGTCACCATCCACTCTCCAAGACTCACGTCAGCCGTCACCCCATCGCCCTCCTCCCACTTGCCTTGGCGCTGCAGCTGACCCATGACATAGCCCAAGTACGACATCGCCGCGGACTTTGCCATGTCTGGTTCTGCCGACCGAAGGTCCTTCACTTCTGGTGCGTCCTCGTTATACACTCTTTCTAGTGCTGACTTTTAAGGCAAGCGGCTACACACGAAGAAGAAGAAGGTGCAGCAGAGTCCGTCAAGCTTTACAACGTATGTCCTGGTCTCTATAGGAGCTTCTGAGCTGATTTTCGAGCAAAGTACCCAGAAGGACTATGTGGGGTAGCTTGGCTCGAAGAATACAACAAGGTATACAGGGAGTACGCTCATGTATGTCTGTCTCGTGACAAGCAAGCGATATGTTGATCGCTGAAATTGCTTCGCAGATGACGGAGGGTCGATTTGACGCGGTCTGGAAGCCGAAGCGGGCCAACCGAAAGAAGGAAGTGGCCGAGCCAAAGGCGAGTAACAACGAGCGCGAGACTCATGCTAGGCTGATACATCTATAGATCGACCCCGCACTTTCCAAGATTATCATCCAAGTGATGAAAGGCCAAGGCCACCCGAGCAAAGCCTGCATTCCATTCATAAAGGCCGCCCTTGCACAATTCCGATGCTCCATTCGAATGAAAGGGGCGGCTTTGCGCGACCTAAGCGCTAGGGTATCGGAGCTTGAGAAGGATACTCTGGTGGTCCGGAACTCTGTGATGAAGTTGCTCTGGGTGTTTTTACTCGAGGAGTCATTCGAGGAGGATGAGGAAGAGTGGGTTGACGAGTAGGGAGGCCGAGCAGTGACTCTACAGAAACACTGTGGCTGTGGATATATCATGGGTGAGCATTTTGACGCTTTCTTGAGATCGTCGACTGACAATTCCAGTGGTAACGAAAGCCTTTGTGATGGGGTGGCTTCAGAATCTTTTTCAATCGCTTTTGTGTAATATACATACAAGTATGCAGATTCAGTGCTCCAGCCGAGTGCATCTTTATTGGTTCTGTCTTTACATGTTCGAAGGTCGCAGGATCAAGCGCATGTATCGAGACCGTACGTAGACACCCTTTGACCTCTCTAAAGAAGCTGTGATATGCATATAGATGAGTTCAGCTCTACTGATATAAGGCCATGACGATACCATCCAGCTGCCAAACAGTTGGATCCTGATCACTCCTCTTTGCCAACCTATTATTCCGTTTCGTCCTCATCTGCACGGTGTCCAAAATGCTGAATGTTGAGGAGTCGTGCAAGCAAGCGATGTGAAAGGTCGGTTCAATCCCCAGACGGGACCATTTTTTTTTTTTGCTTTTTGTGCGAGCATGGGTATTACACGCATGTATAATTTTTACATCAGCAGAAAGCCCTACTTCTGAACTATATTTTGGCATTTTTTGTTCGACTGTGGCAGTGACAGGTGGCCGTGAAAACCTGTTGGAACATTGGCGTCCCGTCTCGGACGTGCGGCCTGGATGTCGGTCGGTAACTCCAAGGTGCGCTCTGTCATGGGAGCATGGCCAATTCGGTCCCAAATCCGGGTCTCAGGAAGGCATGTATGGAGATATCAAAGCCCCGCACAACATGATAGTGGAACTGTTGAAGGAAATCTCACTCTTGCAAGAGACTTGTATACCCCTGGATCGACGCGACGCGTTTTATTGCAAGCGCGTTTGGCTCGATCTCGAAATCGCAATCCACCCTGTTCCAGTCGACAGAAAATGGACTCGGAATTCGAGCCCTCCGCTCCCAATCGCATCCTCAAGCTCTCCCAGTCTACCATCAACCAAATCGCAGCCGCCGAGATCATCCACCGCCCTTCCAGCGCTATCAAAGAGCTCCTCGAAAACTCTCTCGACGCCGGCGCTTCCCAGATCAAAGTCACCCTCAAAGAAGGCGGTCTCAAGCAGTTGACAATACAAGACAACGGCCATGGGGTTGGGAAGGACGATTTGCCGCTGCTTTGTGAGCGGTATGCGACGAGTAAGCTGAGAGTCTTTGATGACTTGAAGGGGCTGGGAACGTATGGGTTCAGGGGAGAGGCGCTGGCGAGTATAAGTTACTGCAGTCATGTTGAGGTGGTTACCAAGACGAAGGATGGTGGTGTCGCTTGGAAGTAGGTGATTGATCTGCTTCATATGGCCATCGCTGACAGCTAGACAGAGCATTGTACGAAGACGGCAAATTGGTAGCTCCAAAACCTGGTCAATCCGTGGACCCTCGACCGACGGCAGGCAACGATGGCACAACCATCACCGTGCGTCCCTCACCTTGACGATCTTTCATGGACTGACACATGCTGGAAGGCTTCAGATCTGTTCTACAACATTCCCATCCGAAAACGCTCCTTCAAATCACCAACAGAAGAGTACACCCGTACCCTCACCCTCTTGACAAAGTACGCCATACATAATCCCCATGTCTCCTGGACGCTCAAGAAACATGGGACATCACTCCCCGACATTGTCACCCAAGCGGGTACGACGATAAGTAATATCAAGGCTCTCTATGGGCCTTCGGTGGCGGCAGAGCTTTTGGAGGTCGAGGAGAAGGTTTTGGAGCCGGCGGAGACTCTTGGGGCGAGCTGTAAGGGGTGGGTGAGCGGGGCGAACAGTACTTGGACAAAGAAGGGGCAGTGGCTCTTGTTCATAAACAGTACGTCTTGAGCCTGTCCGAGACGAAAGCTAACCCAAGCAGACCGACTCGTCGAATCGTCCAAAATCAAAAAAGCCCTCGAATCCCTCTACACCGCCTACCTCCCCAAAGGCAGCACCCCCTTCATATACCTTGCCCTCTCCATCGACCCCGCCAAGATCGACGTCAACATCCATCCCACAAAATCCGAAGTCAGCTTCTTGAACGAAGATGAGATGGTGGAAGCTATCGTGGCGCAGGTGGGAGAGGTGTTGAAGGGCGGGAATAAGAGTAGGAACTTTACGGTGCAGACGTTGTTGCCTGGGGTGAGAGATTCGGGCAGGGAGAGGCAGGAGGGGGAAGGGTCGTCGTCGTCTCTTGGGAAATCGAAACCTGCGGCCAATTATAAAGTGAGGATGGACCCGACCAACAGAACGCTGGATTCCATGGTTCAGGTCGTCGACCCATCTCAGCTGTCTTCCTTCGTCCCTTCGACAGGCGATGGACAGCGACCGACCAAGCGACGCGCAGTGTCCGGTGTCGATGGACTTGTGACGATGTTGGACGAGGAAGAAGAGGGGCAGGGGCAGGAAGAGGAAGATGCAAGGGAGATGGTGAGGCTGGACGTTGGAGAGGGGAGTAGTAAGGGCAAAGGAAAAGAGATTGAGGAGAGTGTTTGCGAGTTTACGAGTATACAAGCTTTGCGCAAGGCCGTGATCAAGAATGCTAGCTCAGGTGTGTACGCTTGCAAGACATCATTGACAAAGCTGACATTCCCCAGAACTACACGAAATACTTTCACGGCATGCCTTTGTCGGCCAAGTCTCCTCCCAACTTACCCTTTCCCTCGTTCAACACGCCACCAAGCTATTTCTAGTCAATCACGCTGCTCTCGCCGACGAACACTTCTACCAGCTCGCTCTGAGACAATTCGGGGCGTTCAATAGGATCAAGCTGGAACCGCAACCGAATTTGAGAGAGTTGTTGACTCTAGCTGTGGAAGATGAGGAAGGGCTGGGGGATGCTGGGCTTTCAAAAGAAGATGTCGTGGATGTGAGTGTTTGATGATTCTATCTCTGCCCCCGGGAGACTGATATGAGCGCTTAGTATACCACAACTCTCCTTGTCGAGCGCGCCGAAATGCTAGACGAATACTTCTCTCTCTTCCTCAACCCTTCCTCCGACCCAACACCCGACGCAACAATCGAAACCCTCCCACTCATCCTTCGAGGCTACACTCCCAACCTCGACCGCCTACCGCATTTCCTGCTCTGCATAGCAACAAGAGTGAATTGGGACGACGAGCAGGAATGTTTCGAGACGTTTTTGAGGGAGCTGGCGTTCTTTTACTCGCCGAGACCGTTCTCGGACGCAGTTGAGGATCCTGGAGAAGGAGGCGAGGAGGATGCGGGCCCGACGGAGGAAGAGCTGTCGCATCAGACTTGGCAGCTGGAACATGTGCTCTTTCCGAGTTTTAGGAGATATACTGCGTGGCCGAAAAGTTTGGTTGGGGGCGGTGGTCTGGGGAAAGGAGGAGCGGGGGGAGCGATTCAGCAGGTGGCGAATTTGCCCGATTTGTTTAGGATCTTTGAGCGCTGCTAGTCATGACAAGAGAGTCGTACTGAGCTTGAGCTTGAATGCAACAGTGCGATCATCAGCACAAAGCAATCAGGTACATATTATACGAAGGCATATCATACTAGGCGAAACACATTAAGTTGAAATTATACAAACATACAAACAGAAGCTCAGTCACTCTACACATGGCTGATATCTCTCTCAAGATTGTACCCCTTGCCCTCTTTGTCATCCCTCAACAGCTCGGCCACGCCGACCTTCCACCCTCCCCTCCCTTCTCTTTTCGCCTTACTGACAATATTCACCAGTAACACCATCCACACTACCAAAAGCAGAGATTGGATACCACTCTCAACTGCCATGGCGATCATGGTCCGGCAGAAGCGATCCGTGTCCCAGATAATACCACCCGATTGTAGCCAGATTGACTCAACGGGGTAGGTTGGATAAGGGCGCTCACAGGTGGAGCTAGTACGATGGGCGATGGATAGACCCATACTCACTGGAAGACAAGGTCAGTATGAGAACGAGAGGCAACAAGGGAAGGGATTACTCACAAAGCCAGAGGAACAACTGGGCGCCAATGTACCACATCTCTCCCCAAGCCCTGTCAAACACTGTCCTGACGTTGGTCCTTCGGCGGATAATGGGTGATATGAAAGCGGCAGGGATGTACGTGACCCAGATCCCGGCGGAGATGATGTGAGGGATGAATAAGGTGAGGGAGCCGGCGACGACGGAGGAGATGACTGTGATGATTATTATATAGATGGTGTGGGCAACCTGAGGTGCGTCAGTCATGGACGACCTATACGAGTACAAAAACAGCTTACGATGAGACCAAGACGTAGACAGTCAAGTCGCATGGTGATAGTAATACGTTGGGTGTATCCACTTGAGAAATACTGCTTCTATGAGGGAGCGAAAGGCAGACTTGTGTTGACGGTGGCTTGCGATATCCTTGTGACGAGGAGAATCAACTTTGAGTCTCTCTCTCTTTTTATATGTGCAGCTTCTAGATAACGTGCATGCATAGCATATCTTGATCTCCGTCTCTTGGCGCTCGTTATCGTCATTTATGTGCCGCACCTCTCGCCGCCCACCTGCTGTGCCAGGAATCGTGATTGTGGAGACTGCCGCCCGAATAAGCGCTGAGATAGGCATCGCATTCGATCAGATGTTGGAACGGAGACGGGGACGAAGGATAGGTCTGCAGTTTAGCGGCTTGTTATCTTATCCGCAGCTGCAGAACTTTGTTGTCGGGCATATGGGATCGCCACCTCGCACGCTTCGCGGAGCTCCTTTCAGGCTGAGGATCGACTCATGGGAGTGCGTCAAGTTGGGCGACATGCCCGGGCAGAGTGCGCAGGGTGACTACTGGCCCGAAACTAGGCTTTGCGCTTTGCCCATGCTGTCAGAGGCAAACAGGCACCAAGGATCGTCAGCATGTGACACTTTTCGGGCTGAGGATCGATGATGTCATCCCGGCCGCTGCTGATGTTTGATTCCAATTATTGGATCCGTTTGGCTCGGCGGCGACATGCGCCTGCTCCTCTGTAGCTGCATATATATCACATATGATATGAGAGCTAGAGACGCCCCTTACGACTGTTTACAATATGAGGGGCACTAGGTATGTACGTATTAGGTACTGTAGAGTACTAGGCCTACGCCGATTACGTACATATCATATACTGTAATACTGTACCTACTGACTATACCTGTCTTTCTACTACATATATTTTTTAGGAACCACCGTGCTACTGCTCATTGCTGCCGTAATCGGGCAAATCGGGTAGTCTGTGGCAGAACCTTCTCCCAACCTCCTCAATCATTGGCTTGTTCATCTACGTTTTGTCAACATGTTCTGCACACACACGCAATACACGAAGACCCTAAGAAGAGGGATCGCCACGCGCACCACCACTACCACCACTCGTACCCTCCGAACGCTCATCCCTGGAATCTTTCTGCAATTATTCCATGCTTAGACTGGCTGATCTCAGGTGACAAGTAACTCAATGCGATCCCGCCGAAAACGGCCGACAAATTCATGGCCTTACGCAACATGGCTATAAATTTCATGGACTGATATATATACCACACTCTCACCATGTCATTCTTCACATTCCCCTTCGTTTCCCCCTCACCTGCCTGCTTTTCTGCACGCCCCAGCCAGCGTTTTTCTCAACCTTTCCTGAGTGCCTGTCTTGCAGCTCCAGGTGAGCATCTTTTCTACCATTCCAATAACCTTTCTGACGATGTTCTCAAGTCCACCATCTTTCACACCATGAGGTTCATCCTATCTTCCATCCTGGCCGGTCTTGCCACAGTCGGTCTTGCAGCCGCCCAGGCCGGCACAGAGTGGAACATCACCAACGTGCCGTCGTCCGGTCTCAACGACCTCACCTTCCCCTTCTCATTCGCCAAGGCCCCGCACGAGACGGGCTACTACTTTGCCAACCAAATCTGGATCGTTGACAGCCCGGGCGTCATCTACGGTGGCTTCCAACCTCGCCCAGACAATTCGTCGGGAAAGGCTGTCATCCATAGCGTCTTCTCCAGCTTCCTTAATGGCACCACGAGCAGCGACGACAACTGCGGCGACGGGGCTGACGATGGACCGGGTGTTAGCTGCGCCTACGAGTTCGAGGTCTCCTCCTACGACGGTACGTGGAACCTTGTCGTCACAAGGGAAGACTCCACGTCGACTGTCTGGTCTGGTGCGGCTGTTCACGCCGAGACGGGCGACAGCCACCACATCGGTACCTTCACGCTGCCCTCGGGAACAGGTGGCCTTTTCAGCGACCAGTATGGGTTTGTCGAGTACTACCCCTGGAACGGGTACCCAGAGTGGACGTGTAAAGACAACGTCCCTTACACAGAGGTCACCTTCTACCCGCCTACTACAGAAAGTGCTACTGGCGGTAAGCAGACGGGAGCCCTCTATGGTTTCATCAAGGACTCGTGCAAGGGGTATGGGGAGGCCACTACTGCGTCGGATGGCTCGGTTACTTTTAAGATCAAGGAGTGATGTACTGGATGCTTGTCTGTGTTCCTTCATGGATGGACAGACTATCATATACGTCCATAGTTCAAGTCTGGAATTAAGATGTGGAAAAAGATAGGAACTTTCGGGAATGAAAGTGTTAATAACTAGTTTGGTAAAAGAAGTGATAAATGACATGCAACTAGTGACCTTTGGCATACGTTCAGAGATCCATTGCACAGATTCAGCAAGAACCAGCCAAGTAAAGAATCAGCGAGGCCGTTGAGTCAAGCAGTAATTTCAAACCCTGACCTCACGGGGTTCGTTTCGGCTTATTCGGAGACCAAAAGTACCCGACATCTCTAGTGCCATTAGGTATACTGACAGCGAGTGTGCTCAATGCTGGTAGAGGGGAAATATGAGGCAATCTCTGAAAGGAAGGTCCGATGAATAGGGTGTTGCTCTTTAGTGTCCGCATCACCATTCTCAGCAACTGAAGTTTGGTTCCGCTCGACGCGATGTCCATTATCTCTACTGTATGTCTGCGTTATCTTTCAAAGTCATTATTATCGATTCTTTCCCACTTTTGCTTATTCTATAAGCACCGAGAGATGGCCTCCCCTCTCGAGCTTCATTTGCTCTACGTCCTCCTCGACTCCAATCTTCCTACCGGCGGCTTCGTTTCTTCGTCTGGTCTCGAATCCTTTGCGAAACACGGTTTGCTGGGCTCCTCTTACACCTACTCGTCCGACCCTCCTGCTCCCGGTGGTGCTCCAGCAAAAAAGAATATGATGGGTGGTCTAGTGGAGTTTGCGACAGCGGAAGTGAAGAATTATGGGAGCACGACTGGCGGGTTTGTGAGGGATGCTTGGCTGGCTGTGGACCGTGCTCGACAGATCTTTGTCTCAAAGCCCGACGAAAGCTCCGAGGCTTTGGCCAAAGTGCTACAGGATGTTGAGAGACTCGACAATTATCACGAAGCTACACTGCTCTCGCACGTCGGCCGGAGATCGTCTAGGGCACAAGGTGTCGCGATGCTCACCTTGTATGCGAGAGGACTCAGCAGGCCTACCGGAATTTCTGAATACGGAGACTCAAAGGAAGCTAAGGAAGAGAAAGTGGAAGAGCTGGCGGGACAGGTGGTGGATGGGTATAAGAGGCTTGTGAGGCTCGGGAAAGCGCCGGGGCATCTGGCTGTTTGTTGGGGAGTCGTTGCTTCAGCTCTGGGGCTTGGGATCGGTGCGTACTTCAACACGTAAGATTAGGTAGTGCTAATACTTCCTTAGATCGCGCCGTCCACATCCACCTCTTCCTTCATGCCCGATCGCTCCTCTCCTCCGCCGTTCGACTCAACCTCATAGGACCATATGCCTCCTCCCAGCTACTGTTACACCCATTCCGCAAGATCATCGACAAAACAGTGTCAGATCTGTCTGCTAGTACTACTGGGATACTGCACGAGGGCAGGGGCGAGAAGCAGGGTGAGGAAGACTTCTGGGCGTGGACGGAAGAGGCGGAGAGAGGGCCTCAGACGACTTGGCCTTTAGGAGAGGTGTTGACGGGGAGGCATGATCTGCAGCACTCCAGGATCTTCAACTCCTAGGTGTAGTAACACTCGAAGGACTTGTGGGTGTTTTGACGAGGCTTCTTGAAGGAAAGTGCATGTTTAACTTTGCTATACTTATAAGGTGTGCTATTCTACTCCCGAGACGTTTTCAATGGCTTATCTTTTTATCCTCTATCAGACATCCCTTTCCCTCCTTTTCCTCCCCATTCTTGTCCGACTCCGTGACCTCCCCTCTCTATCCTCCTTTCTTTTCATCTTACGCCCCTCCCGCGCATCATCATCCGCCTCACCGCCTTCGGCTCTCTCCCACTTCTTCGTCGCTCGTGTCTTGCACCGGCTGAAAAATGGTAGGCAGAGGCACCCGAGCCAGCCGAGGTCTGCCCTGCGCCGGAGACTCCCTCGAGATATCTCAAGAAAAGCGCAGATGAAGAGAAGAATCCATGAGGCATGCAAGACTACATTGCTTGTAAGCTCTTGTTCCTTCGATCCCGTCAATGGGAGAAGAGACTTACAGATAATCGCCAAACCCACGCTCCCTCCATCACCACTAGCTTTCTGCACCTGCCAACTCGCCGCACAAGCTACACCCAACACAATCCACCCCAAGAAGAACACATACAGCCGGCTCACCCTAAACACAAACCTCTTCCAACCTCTTTTCATTCTGCCCCATCTTGTCTTTGGTTCATCTTCTTCTTCCTCGCCTTGGGTAGGGGGTGGTGGGGGAGGAGAAGTGGAGAAGCGGTAAAATGTGAAGAGGAAGGTGTACGTCATGAGCCAGAAGGAGCAGAGGGCTGCGAGACCGGTGGTCAGGTAAAAGTTGGCGAGGTCGATGGAAGAATCGATGGCGCGGGGTGAGAGTGATCTTCTTGATGCGTCGGAGGAAGAGGAGGAGGAATCTGAGGAGGAGGAGGTGGCGCCTTGCATCCAACCATCACAGCTTGATGCACTGCATTTCTCTGACACCTTCATCAGCTCTCATGTGCCCAGCGATACACTCAGCAAGAACTCACTCAACAGCCCAATATACTCATCGTCACTCTTGATCACCGCCGCCAGCCCTCCATTCGGCTCCAAAAAGCAAACAAAGAAGAGAACGAGCCAAACGAGGAATTCGAGTAGGAGGACGGAGAAGGGTGGATGATAGTTGAAAAAGTCGGATTTGCGAAACTTTGAGGGAGGCAGGCCGCGCTCGGCGTCGGAGGGGTCGCGAGCTTTAGACATGGTAGGGGGAGACCCACGGAGGGTGGCGAGACACGCAGATACTCCTTGATCTTATGACAAGGAGTGTACTGTCGATTGGCGGTAAGGCAAGATGTCTTACTGAGCAGGGGTCATGCTGGCGTGTATGCAGGGAAGCTGTAGGTCTATGTCGTATATAGTCGGTTGTAGGTTGAAGATGGTTATATGCAAAAGATGTGATGCGGTCTCGGACGTCACAGACCATTATGGGATCTCGCATCGCATAGCACGACGATACACGTTGACGATCAAAGGATAGTCGATGCAGCCAGGGACGTTTTGTTAAAGGATCTCACGGCTCTTTCCGCCTCTCTATTATACCTTTCCTCCAATATACTCTTACCCCCCGGCATATCATGACCCTGATGCATATGAGATGACAGTGCATGCTACAACTTCTCTACGCTACATCCTCTCCGCCGAGAGATTTTTCTGCTCTTCGCATCGCCCCCATCAGCTTGGCGACCTTGTTGGCTTTCGTCTCCTTTCTGACCTTCCCCGGCCCACTATCACTCTTCTCTCGCGTCCTCTTCCTTCCCCCAGCTTTATTCTCAAAAAGAGCGCCATTGTCTATTTCTATGGTTACCGGGACGGGCGATGATGGCGCAAGGGACACGAGCTGTTGTATAGCTTGTGATGAATATGTTTCGTACTGGCGCGATACGCTTTCAATGTAAGACTGAAGCCAAGTACGAACGCCGGTTGGTGTGGGGAGGAAGACTCGGGGGAAGAGGGATTTGTGTCGGAGTTCACCAAACACGAAGGATGAGAGTGATCTCAGAATGGCCGCAATGGGAATGGCTGGTAGACTGTTAGCTCGTGTTTGGAATCATTGCGGGGATGACGCACCTGCATCGTTCTGAGAGCAGTACGATGCTTGGGTCAATAGCAGGTTGAGCTCGTCCAGTTCGACCAAGGTGTCGCTTTCCAAGTACTCGGCGAGTGATTCGACAAACTTCGGCGGTCTGTCAAGAGCATCAGTGCTATCCAGATTGCATACAAGCTGAACTCACGAATCAAATGTCTGATCCTGGGGCTTTGGCAGGATGATAGGTTCAAAGTCCGTATCATCAAGCAAGCCAGAAGACCCCGCCGATGATGTAGTAAGCTGGGCAAATTGATTGATAAGATCAATGCCCGAACGCAGACATGTCCAAGCTGCGTCCAAATCTGCGAATCATTAGCGACAAGCCCATCAACAACCAAATAACTCACTTCTGGGCCGCTGAGCCACAACCATACCGGCCACGTCCAAGAACTGATCCCACGAAAAGTGCACGGCTTCGACAACGTCTTGTTCAAGTCAGCCCCGGTCGGTCTCTATCGTCTGTAGAGTATGCTCACCTTGTAGTCTGACAACCACCTGCTCCTTGACATCCACAAACTCGTACAACGCCTCAATGGCCTGGACAAATCGCGTATCCAAGTCATTTGATACTTCAAGCGAGACCAGAGCTTTCGTCTCAAAAGCCGATAATTCATCTTGGATCTCGAGCTGGAAACAGTCAGCTACCTTTCAGGCTATTGCACGGATGAAACATACTCTAGCGGCGAGGTCGGCGAGCGTTTCGTCCTCCCAAGTGAGCACCATCAGGGGAGGGCTATATCGATTCGTAGAGCTGTTCAAAAGCTTGACCAGAGCTCCTATCCTATCTTGAGCGCTAGCGACATTCCTGAAAACAAGTCAGCCATACACTCCAAGTTTTAAGGATCGACTCACTCTTGCGCCTTCTTTGAATCTGACGTCTTGACAGGCGCCTCAAACACCACCAACCCCACCCATCCCTGCCTCCCCACTTTCCCATCCTTCACCACCGTCGAACCAAAATGTACCCCGCCCATCTGTACCCCCTCGTCCCCTGCCGTAAACTTCTTGACAAGCCACTCTTGGACTTGACTATCCGGGGCGGACCCGAAGTGGTCGGTTTCTGCTGGCGGGACAGAGAGGAGGGTGATAAAGTTATATGGGATGTCGGGGGTGAAGGGGCTGGATGGGGAGAGGTGTGGCGAGATGTGCCGGGCGATAGCTTGCAAAAAGGTGGATGGGGCGAAAAAGTTGTCTTTATTCCTCTCCGCCTTCCCTCTGCATGAGCTTTGGTCCCTCACATAAACGAGGGGACGGGGCTTACCTGAGTCATCTCAATATCAATCGTCAAACTATCCCTAGCCGTATCACTCCCCGACCTCAGCTCCAAGCTCCTACTCCAAGTCCGCGTACTAGCCACCATATGCCCCAACTCTGACCCACTCCCTACAGGCTGTACCCCCCAAGCAGCGACCGACCGACTCAACCCCATCGCCCGCAGTTCATCATACATCTCTTCCCTCTTCTTGACCGCCATCTCTCTCCTTTCCCTCCGCTCTTTCGCCCAGGCTTGCCAGTGCTGCACCGCCCGGCGGAGGATGTATCTCCTTCTCAAATCTCTCACCACTGCTTTCCGAGCAACAGCCCGGATTTCGGACGTGATCAGGTCAGTAAAGACGGATTGTGACCACTGCCCTATAGCTTCCTTCCTCCACCTCCTCATCTGTACATGTCTCCTCTCAGCCATCTGCTGATTCACCATCCCCTCCACCTCCACCCCCAGATGGTCTTGGACCATGGCTCGCATGACTTCAACCAAGAGAAGGTCGGTTACGGCTGGTAAAGCGGCTTTGCGCTGAAGACGCTTGGTGTGCAGCTCGGATAGTGGTTTGGAGGTGGATTTGGAGAGACGGGGAGGGGCGGAGGTGGATAACAGCAGATATGGATCTTTCCTCGCATGGGCAATAGGAGCAGGCGGAGGTGAGGGCGCTTTGGCAGCAACTTGAACTTGTCCCAGGCTCGGTCCCGCCGGGGTGCTCGTCGTCGTCGGTGGTGGTGCAGGGGTGGTGAAGCTGAAAGTGGATTTTGTTGCGTCGGCCATACCACCCACAGCAGTGGCATCCGCTTTACTCGACGTTTCGGACGGTTCTGTGGGTTTGGGTGCGCCAAAAGTGAACATGGGTTTCTTCCCTGCAGATTCATCATCTGCTCGCCGTTTGCCTTTCCTATCCTCCCCTTCCCCTTGCTTTACCTCCTTCTCCGCTTCTTTCCCTTCCGAGGCCGGGTTTGGTGGCGGTGGTGGAAGGCCGAATGAGAAAGGCGCTTTCGTGCCCTCGCCTCCGCCTCCCACCCCGTTCTGACCAGAAAAACTGGGAGGTTCTGTCTTGAGTGTGGTGGAAGGCTGGGGCTGAGGGGGTAGGGATGGTGGAGGCGCAGGGGTGGAAGGTTTGGAGAAAAAGTTGGGGATTGCCCGTTCGCCCGACTCTGCTGGGGCTGGGGCAGGTTTTGGAACAGTTGGGACTGGTGCTGGACTTTTTACAGACCCAAAAGCAGGCGCTGCAACTCCAGCTGGTACTGGAGCAGAAACAGAAGGAGGAGCAGAAGGTGGAAGAGCAGGCTTCTTGAAGCTGAATGCCGACTGTCCAGCAGGTGCTGCTCCGAACGCAGACACCGCTGGCGTCGGCGGCTTGGCCCCTGAAGGAGGGGGGGGTTGGAAGTCGAACGCCGACTTTGCTTGTGCTTGTGCTTGTGCTGGTGCGGCTGGCTCCGGTTTTGGCGCAGCAGGTATAGCTTTCGGTCTCGCGAACCCAAAAGTCGGCTTGACTGTGCCACCAGGGACACCAACCTGCGCCGGCGCCTCCGCCGCCCCACCCCCCAACCCCACGCCCTTCCTCCCATTGACAACATCCACAAAATCCGCATCCCCCCTCTTCCCGCTGACCAGCGCCCACCGGCGGGTGTAGGGCGCGTCCTTGTTATCGTTGAATGGGGTCCCGAGGTTGATCAATGCGCCCATCGTGGTGCCGGAGGAGGGGTCGGTGTAGGTGGGGATGTTGAATCTTTCGATTATGGAGATGGATTCGTCGGAGGGGGAAGATGATGTGGGAGGGACGTCGTCCCATGCGGAGGGTGTTTCGTCTTGGGGCTCGCAGCCTAGGAGATGGTTGAGTGTGGATAAGAGGATCATCTTGCGCTCTACGATTTCGCCGGATTCGTTCGTCCTGACAGGTTCCGTCCTCAGGCGGGGGTAAGACCTTACAAGGGAACGCAGGGCCGAGCGCCGTATCTCGCGAAGACGGATCTCCACCAAACAGCCCAGCAGGTACGGTACTTTCGCCTGCTTCAACAACTTGATAAACCTCGTAATCAAATTCGCCCCCAGCTCTGCATTGAGCTTTGATCCTTCCTTCTGCGAATCAAAGTTTCGCTGCGCCGAGCGGCGGATGTCCCACGCGAGTTTGACGAGCGGGTGGTCGAGGATGATGGTGGGCAGCTCGGCAGTGGGAATGGATACGGATTTGCTGGTGAGGTCGTATATGAGCATGTAGGCGCGGAACTCGGGTTCGTTGGCGCATGGGAGATCGAGGCCGGATTCTTCTCTTCTGTCATTGTAGTGTTGTCGAAGACTGACAAAGCCTGTGAAACGTTAGTCCTGATTCAAGAAGAGGAGAGGGATGGACTTACACCTCCCGAGCTCGGCAGAGTCAATATGCATATCATTATTCGTCCCCCCCTCCTCCTGCAGCTCTCTCAGACAGAGGATATGCCACCTCGCAATCCTCTCAAAGCTCGCTATAGCCTCCTCATGTCCCCAACTCGACTGCATCGCAAACTCCTTCCTTATAGCACGCGTCCGATCTCTTATAAAACCGGCCGTGTACCCCAGCGCTTTACGAGCAGAGTCGGCGGGGGATGCTATAGATGTGGTTGGAGGGGGGGTGGGCATGACGGAGGAGAAGAGGTAGTCGAGGGTTTTCATGAGGGTTAGGGGGGTGCGGAGGTCGGAGGGGAGGATGGCGGAGTCGCCGTGGCCTGCACCGGCGTCGGATCTCGAGTACGCTGCTACGGCTTTTGCAGGGTCCATCCTTCTATCCGGCGTCTACCCCTCGTCAGCGTGGCCCCAAGTTGAGAGTGGGGGGCACGTACAGCTTCAAAAGGGTTGACCTCCCTCGTCCATTCCCGAAACTCGCGCTCATAATCACTACACATCCTCTCGCAAGTACCTCTCAAGTCGACGGCATCTTCGAGTTCGGTCTTGCCGACTTTGATGAGCCCTTTTTGTTCAAAGGCTTTGCGCTCGTGTTGGCGGAGTTCTTCGAGCTCTTTGTAGCGGTTTCCGGGGAGGACTTGGGAGAAGCGGGCTGCTCGGGCGGCCCGTTTCTCGTCCGAGGCGAGAGCGGGGTCGGGCGCCATCCTGGGAAGGGTTTGGGAGGAAGGGGGGGAGGGGGTGCAGTGGTAGAACGTCGAGAAGTGGAGACTTGTGCAATACAGGAGGAGCAAGAACCAGAGACGCAAGCGGGACCAATTGTGGCTGATCGTCTGGAAGGTTGATGTATCTTATCTCATGTGTTCCGTCCATGCTTACTCTTGAGTATCGAGTGACCTTGCAGTGCATGGCAGCATACGTCTCTCCATCCCTGCCTGTCCTATGCATTGTCCCACACTGCAAGACTACAGAGGATGACCCTCGAAGCCAGTCGGCGATGTCCGCCATGACATGAGCTGTTCTTCGACGATGACGCTCCATCTCTCTCTCTCCATCCAGCATGCCGGTGACCGTCTCTGAGCCCAGCGGCGTGTCCCACCCCCTCCACCACCGCAAGCGCCACTACACCGTCCGCAAGTCCCCCTACCTCGTCTCTCTTGCATTTCTCCTCGTCGCTACAGCCTTGACACTGCTGAATATCCATGTAAGTCGCCTGTCTGCTGCGAGAGGGAGGGGGAGGGGAAGCTGATGAAGGGGGTAGGTGCCGCAGTTGATCCATGTTGTTGGGCGTTCACCGGGTCCGACGCAGTTTGAGTCTAGGTATGCCCCGTATCTCGGATGATATCGCATGATCACTGATCAGTTCTGTAGGTATGGCCTCTACAGACGGTACGTCTTCCCCCTTCCCAGTTCCCATCTCAACCACCTCCTTTCACCCCAAGCTCCACATCCTAACGCCTTCCAATCACTAGCTGTACCCGCTCCCTAGCCTCCTCCCCAAACACCACCGCCCTCCTCCTCCCCGCCCATCCTCTCCCACAAGATGTAGACCTCCCAATGCCAGCCATCTTTGACAGCCTCTCATCCTCATCCCTCGTAGGAGGAGGAGGCGGAATTGAAGGACCGATCGGCCATCCGGCGGAGGGTGATGGGCATGAATGGGTTTGTCAGGATTTCCCTACCAGGTGCGTTCCTCCCTCTCCTCTGGCTAGATGGGTGGGCTATGGATAACTGATGGAGGGTGAAAGGTCGGAGTGTCAGCAATTCGGCGAAACGTTTTGCGTACTCTGGTCGACTGCAGGTTACGCCGCACAATCATCGCTCGTACCATGCCTTGCTTCCCTCTTTTCTCTTTTGTTCATCTTTCTTCATCGAGGTGCGTCTCCTTCTCCTTCTCCCCCTCCATCTCCTGTTTTGGAAGAAAAGCTAAACGAATGACGACCATAAAAGGCGAGCGCACAGCAAGAGCAAAAGCCCGCAGACAACAATGGAAACTCGTTTCCGTCACCATGCTCATCCACTGCCTCTTACAAGTCCTATCAATCGGTATGATTCTGCATGTGTTTAGGACGGATGAAAGGTTTGAGAGTAAGGGTTCTCATCTTGGTATGTTACCCTTTCTCCCTTCCCCTTCCTTCCCCTTCGAAGAGATAGATCTGACTTTTCGACAAAAGACAAATCCTTCTCCTTCGGCGTCGCCTCCGCCCTAGTATCCCTAACCCACGCCCTCTTCCTAACCCTAACAGCCTACTCTGCCCGTCGCGGGCACTCCTGGGCAGCAGGCAAGTCTGCGAAGAAGTCCAGGCGCCATCGTAGGACGCAGTCGGGGAGGGTTGTGGTGGTACCGGATGGGGTGGAAGTGCCGGAGGGGGAGAGGGTCACTGTTGGGGAGGTGAGGGCTGTTACGGGAGAAGGGGCGGGGGAGAGGACGGGGTTGTTGGAGGGGAATAGTGGGGAGGCGGCGGGGGGTGGGAGGGAGAGGGCTACGGATAGTGCTGTTTAATGTGAAGTCGCTTGTGAGCTGGAGGTGCTTGTTATTAGATAAGATGAAGAAAGGAGTGGTTAGTTGAGTGATTCGGCGTGGTGGAGTGGCGAGTGTTTTTATGATGACGTTAGATCGTTTTCTTTCTGTTTTGTAGCGAAAAATAATTTAATCTTTAGTCGACTTGTTTCATGTATCTACTTCTGATAGTTGATACTGCGAAGAGCAGAGATGATTTTTTCCTCCAAGGTATACATGATTCTCGTTCCGTAAGAGAGAAAGAGAGATGATGTTACCCGACCTATAAAAGGAAAAGACAAGCGAATCGAAAGAACAAGACCCAGAGATCAACACCAAGACCAAAGAAAGAGTTTCAACACAACACAAAACAAGAGGGGGTATAGAGAAGATCGTTTAGGGGCGTTTGGGAGCATGAAGAAAGGCCGTTCAGAATCATTTTCGGTGATAAACCAAGAGAAATGGTGGTACAATTATACGACTAGTGTAGGACCCGACCCTCAGCTCTTAGTCTCAGTCTCAAGCTATCATCAACCCATTTAGAGCTTAGAGCAAAGCAAGGACCGCACCCGCCACAGCGAGCACACCGCCCACGGCAGGGGAGACCATGCCAGCCCCAGAAGAAGAGCTGGAAGAAGAGGAAGAAGACGCAGAGTCGCTGCTAGAGGCGGTAGAGGAACCGGAGGTGCTCTTAGTAGAAGACGCGCGGGCGGAGCCGGAGGAGGTCTTGGTGGAGCTGGAGCCGGCGGCGGTGGAGGAAGCGCTGTCTTCGGAGGAGGAGGAGTCGGAGGAAGAGTCATCGGAGGAGGAGGAAGAGTCGGCGGCGGCGGCGGTGGAGGAAGCGGTAGACTCAGAGTCAGAGTCGGCGGAGGCGGAGGCGGTGGCATCGGCACTGACGGTACCGACACTCGTCGCGCCCACACCGACGGCGGCAGTGTCGGAAGCGGCGGAACCGCCGCCGGTCGCGGTCAGAGTAGGGGCAGAGTAGCCGTCTATCGTACTATAAGCCTTATCCTCCAAAACAAGAGAGGAGAGGGGAGGGGGGGAAGGGGGGGGGGGGGGGGGAGACGGTACGCAGTGTTGATAGTGGGCAAAGCCTTGGTGGTAAAAGTACCGTCGGCATCGGTATAGTTCTGGTTGGAACAGGATTCTTGGAGAGAGTTAAAGTCGGAGATTTGGGTGGCGGCGGTGTTGCCGTTGGCAGTGTTGCAAGAGGCACAGTTGTAAATGTTCTCGAGGTAGTCGGCACCGCCTTCAATCCACCATCAGCTTCTTGTTTCAAGGGATGATGGGAGAGGGGGAGGGGGAGGGGGGGACGTACACTGGCAAGAAATGTCGCTAGAATCACAAGTGTCAAAAGCACACTCAAACGAGCACTGGCTAATAGCAGTAGGACAAGCAGTCTGGGTAGACGTCAAGAGGGAGGCGAGGGCGGCGGCGTCGTTGGAAGTGAGGCAGGTGGCGCAGTCTGACGCGTCGGTGGGGTAGTTGTTGCAGAAACAGCCGTAGACGTCGGTGTTGCTGGTGTAGGTGGTCTGGATATGGTTGTTAACTCGTGAGTGTAGGGAGTAGGATGGGAGGGCTTACTTCACAGAGGTAGGCGGACTCGACGGTCTTGGAGCAAGTGTCGGCGCAAGCAGAGGGGATCTACTTTACCGTCAGCGCGCGGCCCAGCAAGAGGGAGGTAAAAGACGACGCACGTATTGCCAGTTGGGAGCAGATTGGCCCTTGACGACGACGGCAAAGGCGGCAGTAGCGGCGATAAAGAGGATCTTGGACATTATCAATGAGATTGTGGGCGTGTGGGCGTGAGGTGAAAAGAGTGTGGGCGAGTTTGACTAGAGAAGAGAGCAAGTGAGTTGAACAAAGAAAGAAGAAGAAGAGGAAAGAGATGTGGAATTGCATGTTTGTTATATATCGATTTCAGCTCGAGGCGGAGGGGTCAGGTGAGGGGCGGAAATTGACGGATTGTGGCTTGATTTGCCCTTGACAGGGAAGCGAAGAGAGGAAAGAGCGCATGGACCAAACAACAGCGCGACAAACACCCCGAGAACAAGCTTCAGGTAACAGGCACAGTAGGCACCGCCCTAGAATAACAGCAAGGCACGTTCCGATTACCTGGAATCCGTGAGGGGCCCAACGTAAGGAGGGGCGTGTTTGGTGCATGATTTCTCTTCTTGAAAGAGGATCTGTTCGCGAGGGATGTCTGGCAGCAGAGGCAGGTAGGTGACTGAGATGATTTGCTTATAGCATGAGCGTATATCTGCCACACTCCATGTGCTGAAGCCCGAACCCGTCTGTCGACCCGTGCACGATCCGATACCGGACATCTGATCCATCTGATCGATCGATCCAGAGTCCGGCCGCTAGCATCGCAAGCACGACAAGAAATCAGTCGCTCCTCAATGCCAATAGTGCCTTCATTTGAACCCGCCTCCATTGGAAGTGTAGGCGGTGTTGGTGGCGCGACTCTGACTTTGATTGACTTTTGACTTTTGACTCGCTCCTTGACGAGCATGACGACGATGTTCAAATAGCAACGATCACTATAACAGAGCCCGGTACATCCTGTGCAAAGGGGATGACTCAATTGGGACTCAGATCACAACATGGAGCGACCGTGGTCTCGCCAATCCTATCGGCCATCATCGAAAGCAGCGAGCCGACATTTTTCAACAAGACGAGTGCATAGATATGTCCGCATGGATGTCACGATCCATGCTGCCCGTCAATACCCAACCTCCAATCTTGTTATGCCTTGCTTTCGCTTTTTCGTTTACTGTGCAATCTTCGCTCTTCTTGGGTTTCTATGATATGAACGACTTGCCCGGAAGCTCGCACATGCCCATATTGTGGCTTCGTTCAATTCAAGGGACGCGACAAAGTACTTTGCGGATGAAGCAAGAGCGTAGAGCGGCGCCGAGTCGTGTACTGAGTCTATGTGTTGTCTTTGTATTGTACAGTCGTAACGGACGTGCTTGGGTCTCGTTCAGCCTAAAAGTCCTCGATCTTTCCGGTTGAAGACTCACAGAATATACACAATTATCACCGCTCCCCTGACACGGTTGACCCTCACACATACCAGTGCTCATCATCCCCGATCAACACGTGCTTGACAAGATCCATCTCATCCTCCACCATCATCCTCGCCTTTCTCCCATCCCCCTTCATCCTCACCTTGCCAGTATGCGTCGGCAAGACGGTGGCAGAGTCGAAATCGATGATACGGATCCCGCCGTCGGGGTGGTATCGCCAATGGCGCGGGTCGGGATCGCCGTGTAAGATGCCGGAGTCGTGAAGGGCGGTGTAGTGGGAGAGGATTTGTTTTCTACAACGAGTGTCAGGGCAGTCGGGAGGAAGAGAGGAGGGGACGTACTTGTCGGATTCGGATAACCGCGCAACGTCGACAGGCATTCCGCAATTCTCCAAAATCATTACCCAAACCTCACAATCCCCTCCCCCTCCGCCTTCCTCTTCCTCCTCATCGTCATCATCCGCATCAAACTTTAGCCGTCCGCCCCAAAGACCATACGACCCCGGCACTACGCTCCCCTGCAGATTCCCCAGAAAATCGGTGTATATCTTGCTCTCGTGAAAGATTGCCCGTCGGGCTTCGGTTTCGGTGAACATGCCTGGCATGTGGGGTTTGGGCGGGAAGCGAGAAGGGTCGGTGGTTTTGACAATGACAGGTTCTTCGAATATCAGATTCTTTGATTGATAGACTTGTAATCTCCCTTTGAACGCGTCCCATACTTGTCCATGACTCAGCGCTTCATCGAGATAAAGCTTTCTCAAGCCTTGGATGTACTTGTCGCCCTTCCTCTTCGGGAGTGCCGGGGCCCCGTGCCAGGAGGGGTCGGAGGGGGAGATGATGTGTGGGAGGGAAGATTCGGAGGGGTGGGCGACGAAGGGACCGTGCAGGGAGCCATCTTGGAGGAGGCCGTGCATGAATGTGTGTGGGGAAGAGAGGGCCAGAGGGGTGGTTGTTGAAGAGAAGGAAAAGTAGATTGGGAGGGTGCTGGGTCCGAGCTGAGTCTTGTCCGTTACGATCCAGGCGCTTTCTGAGCGTTAATTTGAGAGAGTGGACTCACGTCGTCCTCTTTAATCGGGTGAGAAGAAGCCTCAGGTTTGCCCCTCTCTGCACGCTCGTGAGGGACCGATGCTACACTCGAGCTGGTGGTTGACAGCGGTCTCGCCAACGGTGGCTGTAGGTCGCTCGACGCCGTACTCGCCGAGTCGGACATGCTGGAGGACATAGATCTTGGTTTCGAGGAGCGTGCCATGATGAGAAGAGGGTTGTGGACTCCCGAATATGGAGCACACGAATGAAAACAGGTTGGGACGGACAGACAGAGAAGAGTGGATATGTCGTGCCATCATCACTTTCTTACCGGAGATCGCCGCAGTTCCATCCTCCACCAAGAAGTCAAGATCGCGCTCCTCTCTTTCCCCTTCCCCAAGGATCCACCATGCCCGTCATTGAATCCATCAAGAACAAGCTCCATCACGACAAACAGTCCCCCGAGACTACCACAGCCCAGCAAACCCCACCCACCCCCGTCTCTCCCGAAACTACCACCGGCGCGAGCGCGTCCGAGCAGGCGGCTCCTGCAGCGACGGCGGAGCTTAGTGATAAGCCTGTGTTTGATGCGAATAAGGTGACTGTTATCTTTGTCCTTGGTGGTCCTGGTGCTGGTGAGTCTTCTTCTCTTCTAAATTCGTTCACCTGGAAGAGTGCTGATAAAGTTGCTAGGTAAGGGTACGCAGTGTGAGAAGCTCGTTGCCGAGTATGGCTTTGCGCACCTTTCCGGTATGTCCCTATTGAGTGATCAGGTCTGATGGAGAGGAAAAGCTGATAGGGGGTGTAGCTGGTGATCTTCTTAGGGCTGAGAGGAACCGAGCAGGATCCACTTATGGCGCTATGATAACAGAGTATATCACTGAGGGCAAGATTGTCCCTATGGAAGTCACCATCAAGGTCTGTACCCTTCCCTCTCTTATGCCTAATCACTTCTAACTCTCAGGCAGCTCCTCGAAAACGCCATGTCCGACATCCTATCTACCCCGCCCACCACCCCCGGCTGGTCCAACGGCCACGGCCGGTTCCTTATCGACGGTTTCCCTCGCAAGATGGACCAGGCCGTCAAGTTTGACGAGTCGGTTTGCAAGTCGTCTTTCGTCTTGTTTTTCAAGACGAGCGAGGAGATCTTGTTGGAGAGGTTGATGGAGAGGGGCAAGACTAGTGGGAGGGAGGATGATAACAAGGAGAGTATCGTCAAGCGATTCCGTGAGTACCGCTCTTGCCTGACTGTCTTTGTCTTTCTCGGAGAGTGATTTGTGAGACTGACTGGCTGTGGTATAGGCACATTCGTCGAAACGTCCATGCCCGTCGTCGACTACTACCGCGCCCGAAACAAGGTCATCGAGATCGACTCTTCCCCTCCTATCGACCAGGTTTACGCTGAAGTGAAGGTGGCGCTGGATGAGAGGATACCAAAGAAGGGCGCGGCTTATGGGGATGTTGCGGAGTAGATTTAGAGTCGGCGGAGGGGGTTATATACTGGGGTCTAGATGTCATGGATTTTGTCGTCTTGAAATACATGCTGGGCGATTGGCTCTACGGAATCAAGCAGATTATTGGCACAAAGCCGTGACGAAGTGCGCGACTCTTACGACCGAGAAGGGTTTGTTGTGCATGCTATGTACTAATGCACTGACCAAACAGTGCTAATTTGGGGGCTAAATCGACCGAACTCGTTTGGAAAGAACAAAGCTGTGGTGGTGACATCCAACTTTCGGGTACCCGATCATGGCCACACACCGACAACTTTATGCTCAATGCATGCCTAAAACAATATCCGTCTTGCATTCCCTATGCACATGCATTATGACACGATTCACCCTTGCCTCGATGCAAGCATATGCATACGAAACAACCCACGAAAAGACGAGGACAGAACCAACCGCCACTGTGACAAACGCCGCGATCCGCCGCCACGTGGGTCCGTTGCCGCTAAAAAACTGCCATAAAAGAGCACTCCCCTTTAAGAAGCAAGGTCCCAAAAAGGACGACCCCCCCGCGCCGCGACTTTTTTGGTGCTACCCACGCTTACATAACACTTCCCAGGCACAGGTGGAGGTTGACCACCCAGCAATGTCGTTTCGGTGCGTTCTTGTGGTCTGACGAGAGGGCATGAAAGCTGACAGTAGGGGTACAGTCAGGACAAGCTCATCCTTCTGCTGGACAGCGGTACATCTCAGCAAGTACGCCAGACGGCCGCCAAGCAAATTGCGCGTATTGCCGGCAAGTCGTTCGAATCCGCCGTTTCGCACCCTACCGAACACAAACCCGAGCTCGATGGCGAGGGCAGTATAACGCTGCAAGCTGGCGGAGCGGGCGAAGATGAAGCTTGGAACGACGCGTTGGAGACGATTGGCAAGATCTTGGCCTTGCTCAAGTCGAACTCGTCCGAAACGCGGCATGCTGCGGCTCATGCTCTTGGGCTTTTGGCTGAAACGCTGCCCGAGTCTATCCCCGTAGCCTCGCCGTCGTCTGATCCTCTCACAACATATCCCATCGACCTTCAATCCCTGCTTCAAGGTGGGCAGATGCTGCTCGCCTCCGCCGGCCGAGAGTATGCCGCCAAACCGAACGCTGGTGACAAGGCCAAACGGCGGAAAGCCATGATGGCCACCGTGGGCTTGGGAGATACCGTGGGGTGGGGCGATGATACGGACAAGGTGCTGGACGATGACGATGACGATTTGGCTGTGGATGTGAAGCGCGCTGGGACGGCAGGGAGTGCCGAGCCGAGTCAGCCGCCTGCGGATGTCTTTGAAGGGCTGAGCGCGAGACAGATCACAATGTTGAAGAGAAAGAAGGGGAATATGGTTGAAGAAGCCAACAAGTAAGTCATCCCACGATTACTCTGAGTCTGGGCTAATAGGTGCAGAATGCGGAGACTGAACGAAAAAGTCGCTGGCTCAGCAGCCCCTTCCGCCGCCCCCTCTCGCGCCCCATCACCCACTCCCGACGCTCCTTCAGACGTCAAGACCGAACCCAAAACCGAAGTCGTCACAATTGACCCCGGAGCCAAAGCTCGCGCGGCCAAAGGCGGTCAAGTCGAGCCTTCCCTCGATATGGATGGTAACCCCATAGCATCCTCTCGTACGCTGTCTTTCGTCAGGGGGCAGTCGCCTTGGACGACGGTCATTCTGGAGGTGGTGGGTGATTTGGGAGATGCGACGTGGCAGGTGAGGCATGGTACTGCCCTGGCTTTGATGGAAATACTTCGCTCGACGGGTGCGTCATTTGCACAGCACCAGCCCAGTATCCTCCTGTCGCTCGCACGACAGCTACTCTCATTACTCGTGCTCGACCGATTTGGCGATTTCGTAGGCGACACAGTGGTCGCCCCTGTCCGAGAAACCGCCGCCCAGACCCTTGGTCTCCTCATTAAACACATTCCTCTCTCATACTTGCCCGAGATCCACCACACCCTCATGCAGATGGTCCAGCAACCATGGGCCAAGCGCGGGAAAGAGGCGGAGAAGGCAAAGAAGGGTGAAAAGTTTGCTTGGGAAGTACGCCATGCAGGGTTGTTGGGGCTCAAGTATGAGGTTGCGGTGAGGGGTGATCTGTTGGGGGTGAAGAAGGAAGAGGATGTGGATATGGAGGCGCCGAATTTGTTGGAGGATGTTGTGAATGCTGCCATTCTAGCGTGAGTCTTGTACGACTGGGAAGGGTTGGAGCTGACGCGAATGCAGACTCGGTGATTCTGACGACGACGTCCGGACAGTAGCAGCTTCCGCCCTCATCCCCATCACCTCCATCCTCGCCTCCCAACTCCCCACTACCGACCTCTCTCACCTCCTCCAGACTCTATGGGACTGTCTCGCCGAAGGCGGCGATGAGCTTGGAAGCAGCACGGGTGCAGTGATGGACCTTTTGGGTTCGCTCATAGCGTATCCCGAGGTGATCGCGCTGCTGACGGCGGACGATAAGAATCTCATTGCGAGAGTGTACAACTTTTTGCGGCATCCTATTGGGGCTGTCCGTTTGGCTGTCGCCAATATCCTACTCGCTTTCGCCAGATTACCAGATATTCCGAGAAGATGGGAGTCTGATGGCTTTTTCCCATTCATCTTCCAGAACCTGGTCCTGGAGGAACGTCTCGACATTCGACAGGTTTCCTTCCTCGCCTTTTCCACCGCACTCACCCTTGCGGCCTCTTCAACAGGTCTCGACAGCGTCCTCGGTGCCGACGTCGAAGATTGGTATTCTATCGTAATGACGCCAGTCGGTGTGCCTCTAGATGAGAAACTGTTTAGACGACCGGTACAAGGAGCGGGCACTGGGCAGGGGACGGGGCAGACGCATAATGTGGATAAGGCGATGATGAAGGGTGATATGAGTCTTGTGGGGGTTGATACGGTGTTGGAGACGAGGATTGAAGGGGCAAAGGCTTTGGCGCTTCTGAGGCAATATCAGTTGGACGAGGTGAGTCTTTCATTCATGGCAATTGGCGGGCAACGCTGACATGGATGCAGGTAAATGACGTGAACCTCTGCAGACAATACCTGTCTTCGTCGAGCGCACACCAAACCTTCATTGCTTCAGTTATTGTTCAAGAATGGGCCATCGACTGCGAATCGCGCATCACCGACGCATCTTCCTTCTCCCTCGCTTCGACCAACCCCGACGCCCAATCACTTTCTGCCATCATCATCGATCGCGTCAGCGCGCCACCGCCATCCACATACCACGAGATGACAATCATCCTCCACCGGATCCACTCCGAATGTGTGGCCATGTTTAGTGCTTTCAACATTGAGGGCAAGCTGGGCAAGGACAAGGTGCCGGTCCTGCCAAAGAGGATCGACCCGACGAGCGATGCGCCGGATGTGTTTTCTATCGAGACTGCTCAAGAAGCTATCACGTCCACCTTCGACGAGACGGTCACCAAGCTTTCCAAGACCGCTCAGAAGAGGGTCCTCCCAGCTCTCGAAGAGCGCCGGAACAAGGTCATGGCTTCCATCGGCTACTTTTCCATTCAAAAAGTCAAGTATGACTATCAAGTCTCGGCAGCTCTCGCCGGCGCCCTTGTCGCCCTCAAGATCATGCCTCCCAAATTCGGGCCCGTCATCAAGAGTCTTATGGACGGCGTTAGATATGAGGAGAATGAGGTGCTGCAGAAGAGGTCAGCGTTCTGGGTGAGCGCATTTGTGGCGTTTACGGCTGGACCGTTGTTCCAGGGAAAGATGAACCCGTCCGACAAGGTCATCAAGAATCTCTTTGTTTTCCTCTGTATGGACAACTCTATCGTGCCCATCTTCAATACTGCACCCGACGCTGCTGCTGGTATCCTTACCCTCAGGGAGGATCAGGCTGCCGCTGCGGCTAGTGTGGGGAAGAAGAAGGATGTGGTGGAGGAGACGGAGGATCAGATCAATAACAGGATTGCGAGGCGGGGTGCTTTGGAGGGGTTCAAGGCGCTGGCTAAGAGGTTCGGAGCTGGGCTGTTTGGCGGTGTGCCCAAGTTCTGGGAGGGAATCAGTGGAGCTTTATTGAAGGTCTTTGGTGAAAGTGAGTCAATCCCATCAGTCGAAGACTAGATGAATAACGGGTCTTAGATACCGACATTGAAAAGATCGACACAGACCTCGCCAGTATCCCACAAATGGGTCAAGACCTGGTGGACGCCCTGGTCTCTCTCCGCCTCATCACTCCCGAACTCGACCCCATCCTCTACTCACAACTCTTTCCTCTCTTTTCGCCCATCATCCTTGCGCTTCAAAGCTCATACTCGGTGGTCCGCTACACAGCGGCTCACTGCCTGGCGGCGATGTGCAATGTGATGACGGACGAGGGCATGAAGAGGGTTGTGGACGATGTTGTGCCGCTAGTGGGAGATGCGGCGAGAGTACACTCTAGACAGGGTGCTGTGGAAGCTATTCATCGTGAGTAAACTCACCTAATGTATCGGGCAACACTGACGCATGCGCAGGCATTATCAAGCTTCTGGATATCAAGGCTTTGCCTTATGTTCTTTTCCTCATCGTCCCCATTCTCGGCCGTATGTCCGATCCAGACGAATCCACCCGACTTCTCTCCACCTCCACATTCGCTTCCCTCGTCAAGATGGTGCCTCTCGAAGCAGGTCTTCCCGACCCGCCCGGCTTCTCCTCAGAGCTCTTGGCGAAGCGAGATGACGAGCGCAAGTTCTTGATGCAGCTGCTGGACGGAAGCAAAGCTGAGCAGTATGAGATTCCGGTCAAGGTCGAGGCAGAGTTGAGGCAGTACCAGAAGGACGGTGTGAGCTGGATGGCTTTCCTGGCCAAGTACCAGCTCCATGGTATTCTGTGCGACGGTATGTCTTTCTTTCTTCATTCTTTTTTCGCAAGCGTGCTGACCGAAAGCCAGATATGGGTCTCGGAAAGAGTCTGCAGAGTATCTGCATTGTCGCGAGCAAACACCACGAACGGGCCGAACGCCACAAAGCCACGCAGTCTGTCGACTCTGCCCATCTTCCCTCCCTTTTCGTCTGCCCGCCGACTCTTACGGGACATTGGTATCATGAGTTCCTCAAGTTCACCCCTCATATCAAAGCCCTTCAATACGTCGGATCGTCTTTCGACCGAACTTCTTTGCGACGTCGTTTCAACGACTACGACGTCATCATCACCTCGTACGAATCTATCCGATCCGACATCGCCGATCTGCAAAAAGTCAACTTTCTGTATTGCGTCCTCGACGAAGGGCATATCATCAAGAATACCAAGACCAAACTCGCGGTAGCTGTCAAGCAAATCAAGGCGCAGCATCGCCTGTTGCTGAGTGGTACACCCATCCAGAACAACGTGTTGGAGCTTTGGAGCTTGTTTGACTTTTTGATGCCGGGATTCTTGGGTAACGAGAGAATGTTCAACGAGAGGTTTTCGAAGCCTATTTTGGCGGATAGAGAAGGAAAAGCGACACCCAAAGAGCGAGAAGCCGGTAAGTGCTTGGGGTCTTCCAAGGTGATCGATGCTAATCGTTCTCTAGCTGCCAACGCGCTGGAAGCGCTACACAAGCAAGTCCTCCCATTCCTGCTTCGTCGACTCAAAGAAGACGTCCTCGACGACCTACCTCCCAAGATCATCCAGGACTATTACTGCGAGCTTTCCCCCGTCCAGCAGCAACTTTACGACGAATTTTCCAAGTCGAAGGCTGCCGAGGACGCTGGCGTGGAGATTGGATCCACCGGGGCTTCCAAAGAGAGTCAAACACACGTTTTCCAGAGCCTACAGTATCTGCGAAAGTTGTGCAATCACCCGGCTTTGGTGCTGGACCAGGAGCCGCAGAAGTTCAAGGAGATACAAGGGAAGATCGGAAGTGGTCCGGGGTTGCACGACTTATCTCATGCGCCCAAGATGGAAGCTCTACGGTACGTCCATCTTGCGCTTCATACATTTCAGCCCTGACGCTATACGCAGACAATTACTGCAAGATTGCGGTATAGGTCTCCCGCCCGACAAGCTCGCCGACGATGTGTCCACCCATCGAGTTCTCATCTTCTGTCAACTTCGCCCCATGCTCGACCTTATTGAGAAAGATCTTTTCGGCACTCACATGCCCTCAGTCTCTTACATGCGGTTAGATGGTCAGACAGACCCGCGCAGGCGACACGACATTGTCCAAACGTTCAATGCCGACCCAAGAATCGACGTCTTGCTGTTGACGACGAGCGTGGGTGGTCTGGGATTGAACCTGACGGGTGCCGATACAGTCATCTTTGTCGACCATGATTGGAACCCGATGAAGGATTTGCAGGCAATGGATAGAGCGCATAGGTTGGGGCAGAGGAAGGTTGTGAATGTGTATCGGTTGATTACGCGAGGGACTTTGGAAGAGAAGATCATGGGGTAAGTCACATCTGGGTCTTCAATACCTGTTTGTATGCTGACGTGTGGTGTCAGTCTGCAACGTTTCAAACTGAATATTGCATCGTCTGTGGTCACTCAACAGAACGCTGGACTGGGGTCAATGAATACGGGAGAAGTGTTGGATCTGTTCAGTGTGAGCGCAGAGGGACAACCGGCAAAGACAAAGGCAGCCAACCCGGGGTCGGTCTCGATGAGCAAGATGTTGGAAGAGTACGTCGTCACGAAGCCGGGACCAGAACAAGCTGACTCTTCACCCACAGATTGGACGATTTACCACCTGAAGACGAATACGCCGAATTATCATTAACAAACTTCATGAGCAAGGTATAATAAATACAATATATAGATCTTGTACCCTTATAGCTTAACAACACATCTTACTCGCATACTTATCAGCATACATGCATTGTCGTTGGTCATAGGTAGACCTGGCCAGCAACGCACACACTGTCGGCGAGTGCCGAATGTGGCTGATGACCGATGCCATCATCATTCATATCGCATCATCGATATCGCATAGTACCAATGAGCTTGTAAATTGGTAGTTTGTTAGTAGTATATGGCTCATGACACAGGCTGGCTTTTGTGGGCGCCTATAGTTGATTTTGGGTCGGGGCGCTGGTCTGCTTCATTACCATCAGATCATCCAGCGACCACCATCGGAGTACTTCTCGTCGTGCAAAGCAAGCAGGCCTGGCACATGTCTTCTTGAAGGATTTGCAGCAAAAAACACAACATTTGACTGCGAGATATAGAAGTGCCGACCGACGAGAGAGGAAATGGCATCAGAACACCAGTTGCTGGAAGAGTCTACATGTCACTAGCGAAAACCGCGTTATGCTTCCTCCTGCTGACATATTGTGATGTGGAGCTGTAGGCTTGGCCTTTCAAAATACTTCAACAGCTACAGTGTCGTGAAAACGATCATATCATATACAACTAGACGCTCCAACGACATCTTCCCTCAACGACGTCACATCCCAATGATCACCCCCATGGCCGACCGTGTATCGGCATCACCAAGTAGTAGAGGCGGTAACTCCAGCGTACAAAGAGGGCAGATCGGCTAAGCCATCAATTGTCAGTATACCATATGGTAGGCTGATGGATAGAATGACTCACGCTGATCGCCAGCCATTTCTCCAGACACGTCATATGCCAAACATGCCCGCATGGACCCACTGCCCAGTCGTCTGCAGCCGGTGCTTCTCCAGATTCGTGCAAAGTAACCACTTCTTCTTTACCTTCCTCTTCAGACCTGGCAATCTCTGGCAGCAAATGATCCTCATCGTCGCCGACGACTTCTTCGGCTTGATTGTTGATGCCCGTCTCGCATTTCTCGGCATTGTCGAGGTCAAGGGGAGGTTGAGGGAAACGAATAGCCTCGTAACAGATGTGACACGTCGGGCTGTCGCACAAGTTCAGAGCGGCGCGCAGCTCGGTCGTAAAAGGAGGTTGGTACGAGGAGGCATAGAACTTGGGAGCCAACTGAGGGCAAAGTCAGTTTCCTGATTCAAATCTCGATACTCGATGAATGTGTGACTGACAAAGGGAGGAAGACTGTGAAGAAGGCTTGGTCAGCAAGGTAATTTGATACGATCCGCAAGTAGGATGGCGATCTTACTATCTTGAGTTGGGGCTGTACATGGATTGCGCAAATAAGATGGAGATTTGGACCACTTGCCATGCTACTATCCCATAAGGCCAGCTCCTATACTCAATCATCGTCAAGTCTGCAAAGATGAATGTGCCTGCGCAAACCCTCGTCAGCGTACACGCTCAATCTACCGCTTAATACCCGATCGTGATCTTTGCGCACCAGCTAAACTCACAAAGAAATAGCACAGTAGGGGCTGTACTCTGGAGCATGATAGCAATCCAGCCTAAACTGAATCGAGACCCTTCGTATGTGTTTCGGATGATTTGAGGGACCCAGAATGAGTAGAGAATGAATGCCGTGATAGGGAGAATTGCCGTTCGAAGGAGGACTGGAAGCGAGAAGAAGGCGATACATCCGAGAAGTGCTGATACTAGCAACGTCACATATCAGCTGATCGGTTGTCAATTGAGAGGAGCGACTCGGAGACTTACAGCAGCTAGATGACCCAATGAACCATCTTTGCATCTCCTCCAACATATAAGTCACTTTGACTGGGAGGATATTCCTAGTTGGGGGCGAATATGTCAAGGCGAAGATGGCAGGAGAGGAATGGAAAGAGCGCGAGTTTTCACTTGTTGTTCGTGCTTCTGTGATGTCCCTGGTATGCGGCTGTAGTCGTTAAAGGTCAGCCATGTACACGGGAATATGAAAGGACAAGGGTCCGTACAATGAGGTCAGCCGTCCTGAAGAAGATAGCGCACACGAAAGGCACGAGTATACCTACCATGGACCAATCGTCGTCGAAGAATCCCAGCACGGTCGTTATTACCAGCAAAAAGCAGTCGACCAGCATCATCATACTGATCATTCCCCGCGAAGTGTTTTTAGTGAGCTTCCGGTCAAAACTGTGCCCCAAGAGAGGGAAGAATGGTTGCCGCATCCCAAGGGCCGCATATGTCGCTATCGCAGAAAGAACATCGTAAGTTCATGTTTGGAGTCGTGTCGACAGGAGTCACTCACATTGCATCTTTCTCTCGCGCCAATCGCTTAGAGTCTCCCTTGCCATGGTCCCTTCTAGCCCCATTGCCCACCCACACCCATCTGCTACCGCGACCCCTCGAAAACCTAGAGATGCCGCTTTTCCGGTGGTGAGGTTGTGTAGGTTAAGATCATGTACGGTCAAAGGTTGAGCGTGCGGTTCTGGCGGGGATAACAGTGGTGGGAGAGTGAAGTGAGCCAGGAGCGCGCAGTCCGGGGTGGTTTCTTGAGGCAATGAGCGACGGGATGTGCAGGAAAGAAGGTTGAAGATGAAAGCTCACCTTGTAATCGGCTCATCAACCACGTCGCAGGTAGCTCACTAGCCTTGATCTTTGATAATGTGATGACTTCTTCCTTGCCCATATCGTAGTCTTCAAGAGAACGCTCCAAGAACCTTTGGGCATGCTGTAAATTAGGAGTCCGCCCTTGAGGAAACCCGTAGATGCGACACGTCCCGTCTCGCTCGTTGTGCAGGCCGACAAGGTCGTACTGAATCTTTCTTCCCAAGCTCAGCGCCCCCGAAGCGCCAAACATCAGGCGCATCCTCCCAGCAATTCTGTTCCAACCTTCAAACGGCGGAGAATCATTGGATTGGATCTTCGCCCTCTGCACATACTCTCCTCGCCTTTCCTTACCCTCCCAAAGCATCTTATCGAAAGGGTCATACGCCAACACCATATCCATCTGTTCCATCCCTGCCCAGATAGATCCATCCTCCTTCCCGGTCAAGTTCTTATCCAAGGAGTTTCCAGGCCAGAAGGGGGCTCCGGACGAGGGCGAGTGGGACCGGCTTTGCGCAATGGCGAGCTCGAGGGGAAGCGGGTGTACTCGATAGCCAATGTGTCGTCCATCGAGGAAGGGGTACGGTGCATTCGCGTCAAGGTCATATCGGTATTCGGTTGGGACCAGTGAAGAGGGGAGAGTCATGAATTGAGGGATCTATGCGAGCTTTAGAGTGAGAGAGGGGCTGGAGCTGCACTGTACATACGGATGTGCCTTCTTCGCTGGACTGCCAGGCGTTAACAACACTTTGCATTGTCCTCCATGCCCTGTCATATCCCCAAATGTGATATAGGGAAACAGCAATTACACCGAAACTGGTGAGTAGAGCGTAGTGGAGGACGCGAACCATCGTGGCGTCGGCGGTTGACGTCGTTGCTTGCGCTCGTCGGTAGCCGTATATACTATCGGCGTGTGGTGGGCAGGGTGGCGCTTGGAGCGATACGAGGAAAGTGTCTGACGATACTGAGGTAAATAAAGGTTGTAATGGAAGATCAATGTAAGAGACGGTGCCAAAAGCGCGTACAAACGAACAAACACACAACAACAGTCTATATTCGGCGAGGACCGAATGTGGCAGACGACGGCTATCGTCATCCTCGATATCGCGCGATGTCAATGTGCATGCTCGTGGAAACTTGTAAAAGTACTGTGGATACTAATGGTCTTTGACTACGCGCAGTATCGCGATGCTCAGATCCTCCCAGGCTAGTTGCTCATCTTCAATCTTTCTCCTCGCCCTTCTTCAGTACATTCCAATCATCCAACTTAGGCAGCCTTCGCACACAAACTGTACAGGTACCCTGTCCTTTACATCAGCGCTGTTCAGCAATCGAGACTTGACTCACATTCTCGAGTAGGTATACTTTCAAGCACGATAGATGATAAAGATGTCCACAAGGTCCCATAGCGTAATCCGTGGCCCATAGGTTTCTTGTTCTATCGCCCTGTTCATCTTCTCCGAGGAGGTTGGCGAGCTCGGAGGGACTGAAGAGATTACTGTCTTCTCGGTCGGCGTGGATAGGGGGAACGAGTGGAGGCTCAGCGTCGGACGGGTTTGGAGGCTCTGTTTTTAGGATGGCTTCGACTTCGTCGACTTTGGCGACGTTACCTCCGCTGTTGACAGGAGGTACCTTGATGTCATCTCCCTTCTCCTTCACCCCATCCCCTCCCACCCCATCATGCTCTTCCAAGACCTGGTTCCTCTCTTTCGCTTCAAGCTCTTTCTCTTCCAAACTTTTCGCTTTCTCTCTCAAACTTCTCGCTTTCTCTCTCAATCTTTCCGCTTTCTCTTTCAATTTTTCCGAATGCTCTTTCAACCTTTTCCCTTCCTCTTTAACATAAGTGTCGTACGACGTGTAGAAAGGGTGATCCAAGGGGATAATCGGGAAATGCACACTTTCCGAGCAGATCCGACACGGAGCCGTGCCCTCGCTGTCGACTCCGAGCATGGATGCTATCGGTGGAGAGAGGATCGGCTGGTAGAAGTGGAATTTTGGTGCAAGCTATATTGCGGTCTTATCAGCCAACGCTCTCAAGCATAGTGACTTGATGCGGGAAATGTGAAACAGACCCAGTGAGGAAGGCTAAGAATTTTCAAGTGAAGGTCAGAAGGCGTTAGCTGCCGCTTCTCATCGTTCCTGTCACAGAACAGCAATGACTCACTATCGAGATCTCGGACCATAACTGTCCTGAGCGTAAAGGATACCAATCTGAAGGAGCTGCCAAGCTACGGTGACGAGCGGCCATTTGGGGTATGCGCCTACTTCCGTCGGGCTGGCCGTGATAGCGTAGAAATTGACTACGCCGAATCAGCATGCTTCCCCGCCGTCGATATCAATTGAAAGGGGAAAGAAGAAGAGATGAGAAACTTACCCAACAACGTGGTACAAGATATGGATACGCTTTGATTCACGATGAAGAACCAGTGGAAAAGAAAGACGCTCCCTATCTGGGCATAACGTAGGATTTGAGGTACCCAATAGGAGTAAAGGATGAAGAAGGTGGTTGGAAGGAGGAATGATTCGTGGAGAAGTGGGGTTCTGAGGATGAATGGCGTGCCGAGGATTATAATCGCTCAAAGGAGATCGTTAGAAGGAATTTTGTTTCCGAAAACTGAGTGGTTTACTGATGACGTTGCTTAGTCTAAAGTTTGTAGCCAACTTGGAAATCGCCGCTTCGAGTATGTTGTGGGGCCGAGTAAGAGGGATGAATGACGCAGGTGGGATGGGCGAGGCATTCGGGCCTACTATATCTTCCTTCCTCCATATTTCATCGATATAAAAGACAGCCACCTGCAGACATTGTAAGCTTTGAGCTAGAACACGAAGAGGGGAGAGAAGCTGCTCACAAAGCAGATGATGAGATTGGCCACCGCGGTTAGGAAGAACGGCATCAACACCCCGATCATCACCCCGTCACCGTCGAAGAACCCTCTTGCCAGCATTATGATAAACGTATACCAGTCCGCCAATGTAAGGAGGTAGAGTGTGCCCCGTGAAAGATGCTTGGAGATAGACTTGTCTTGGCCAAAGGTTATATAGAGGCGTAAAGCGAAAGAGGTCAAGCCTTGGCCAGAGGATAGTAGAACATCTGATATGGCAGTCAGCATCCCGTCATTGGTGGAATGGAGAGTGGACTTACCGAAGGAACGCCAGCTCCAGAACCACATATTTGAATGTGCAATCTCCTCCGCATCAACGCCCCCCGAAAATCCCAGGACCCAACCACATCCATCCGCCACGGCAACACCGGCCAAGCCTGGCGGTGCATTGTAGTAGTCTACATTCGTCCACTCTGGATCGATGGTCTGTGGGTTGGAGGAGAGGTTGACGAGGGGAGGGAGGGTGAGTTGGATGAAGAGAGGACAGTGGGGGTTGCGTGCTGTACTGACGTCAGCGCCTGCTTTGCTTTCCTACATGAAGGCAGATGGACAGACCTTGGAGCTTTTGCATCAGCCACGTCGTCGGAAGGTCATCGTCTGTCACATTCGCCAAAATCGAGGACACCTTCCTCTCCAACCCCTCCTCACCCAAAGCCTTGCTCAACATCTCTGTGGCATTGCCAAGGCTCGGCGGCGAGCCTTGAGGAAAACCGTAGATATGATAAACCCCTCTCCGGCGGTCTTGCACCCCCACGAGACTGTAGTGAACTCTATAAAGCTTTGTGAACAATGCGGTACGAAAAGAGGTCAAGCTCATCCGGCCTGTGACTTTATTCCAGTCGTTGTAAGGTTTACGGATACCTCGCTCGAGACCCAAGCGCGTGGTATCCCAATACGTCGTTTGGGGCTTCCCGTTATTCCAGAGCAAACGATCGAATCGTTCGTGCTTCACAGACATGTCCATTCTTGTGACACTCGCCCAGTCAAAGCCAATAGCCGCTGCGTTCTCGTAGCTAGGGGCAGTGTAGGCGACTTGTTTGCCCCAAAATTGGTCATGTGTGGAAGAGTACTCTGGGTACTCTGGGGTGTCGGAAGAGGAAGTGCGATTGAGGGCGAGGAGAGTGGGAATTGGGTGGACGGTAGCGTTGATATGACGTCCGGTGATGAAGGGGTAAGGGACGTGGGCGGAGATGTCGTGTTTGTATTTGGCGGGGAGCACGATGGAGGGGAGTACCAAAGCAGGGATCTACATGACCTTGAGCTTCTCCGTGTCCTTCGCTGGGCAAATGGGACAATACATACCTCTGGCAGAGTGTTGCTCCTTTCCTGGACAGCGCTTGAAATATCTAGGTCCGGAGGGGACCAAATCTTGAAGCCGAGCATCCCCACTGCTATGATAAACCCCGCAGCGAAAGCGGCTATGGTCCAACCCCGGCGAGTCATAGCGTGTCGAGTACCAGGTTGAGGATTGAGAAAGTCGAGAAAGAGGTGATGGGGTGCGAATAACAACAACAGAGCAGCGTGATGCGCCCGTCGTCCAGCAGGAACACACGACGGACACCGCCGACCTTGTGTATGTGCTCTAGTAAGCCGCCTCTCGACCACCGTGTCTCACGAGTTCACGCCCCGCCGGTATAGATACTGCGACCAAAGACATTCCTTGCATTATGATCTCTCAGGGGACATCCGTAATCATTCGCTACGACAACTCCATCCGGTGTTGGTAGCTCAAAAGAGATGGTACTCTTCCGCGTCATCACCGACGTTGATCGTGCTCGGCTTCACGCAGTGGTGTTCACATGTGCTGGGAGACTTGATGGTTCATTCGAAGAGAATATATGTACTATGTTGCTCCGATCTACGACTGTGCGAGCTTGCAATTAGCTTGTGAACATCGCACGGTTTTCACATGACAATGATTTTTAGAACGTCCTTTCATCATCAGCGACGGCATTGATGCACAGCTCGGAAAAGGGTACTCCGCCAGATGTACCTGTACAGTAATGTACTATATAACATGGAACAAACAGTGCTGTTGCAATATCTCTCACTTTATCAACATCAAAACATGGAGAACTACAACAACGGTACCGATATGTCGCTTTACAGCAACAATGTCGATGGACAAGGCTATGACTTCACCTACGACGACCAAGCGGGGGGCTCTTCTTTTGCTTTCGATGGTTTCTCGTATATGACCGGGGTCGGTACCTTCCGCTCCATCAGACGCAATCATTGACAACTATCATGTTATCTGCATCTTAGGAGGCCAGCAATGTGATCGATCTGTATAGCCAACAACAACAATCCTCTCTCGGCGCTGCTAGTGGTAGTAGTGGTTCCAAATCAGTATGTCGTGAATCTTTCTTCTCTTATGACAGCCTACCCAGGCTGCCTGGCGTCGGGCAACTGATGATGCACTTGCACTGCTACTGACACAACGTAATCTGTTTGCAGACCAAGGACATTGCAAGGATAAACAAGAGCAAAGGAAGGGCTATTGTCTCCGAGGAAGAGAAAAAAGGTGGGTTACCATCACGTCGTTTACCCCGATTCTTCCATACACTAAGAGAAAACCCCACTGTACTGATACTGATACCATTTCACGTGATGCTTAATAGCCAGAAAGAAAGCACTACGAGAAGCGTCATTAGACAAAAGCCCTGAAGCTCGAAGACGAAGGAGAAGGGCTAATGGTGCGTTATGACAGCTTTTTGCCGATTGCTGACATCGTCGACGTTGCTTATCACACAGTTGCGAGATACACTACAAAGAAAGTCGCATTAGAAAAAACGAGACTGGCGAACCTCGAATCGGCCGTGCGGGATGCCGAGGCAAAGTTGAACGATACAGAGGCAGAAAAGCAGCATTTACTTGCATTGTATGCCCAGGTTCAAGAGGAAAACACGAGACTGAAGAGCGAAGCCGAATCTTTAACCGATGTCATGTCCTGGGCTGATGTCGAATTTGAATAGGAAGACCCGGAAGAGATGGGCGGGCTATGATGGATAGATGTTGGTAATGTGGAAAGATGAAGTGACGATATAGTCACGGCCAATAAGGGAATGCTAGGAGGAGATGCAGTGGCTGGGTGCCGGCAAGATTTAGTGATTGGAAACTCGCGAGATGATGTATGGCTCCATCAGTGGGAGAGCGTTATTGGGATCCTCGATGTTGCGTGGGGTGTTCATGTGTATGCTGCCAAAGATCTACATGTAGTTCGCATATAATACTGGTCTCTGACTACTTACCTTATTGCCATGTTACGCTATGTCCCGAGTGGGTGGACAATGTCCGACAAGTGATTATATGATAGTACAGTCGCTTCAATCCGGCATGTCGCAATTCATCTTTCTCATTCGACAACCGGGCTACTGACGTGGTGTGGACTGTTTGCAGACTATGAACACTATGAACGAGGGCAAACGAAGTACTGTTGTTGTGGAGAGCTAAAAAAAAGGTAGGCTATCATCACGCTGTTATTCCAGACTGTTGCGGTCACAGAAAGAAGTACAGTTGCTCTCATGACGTTAGTAGTCAGGGTCGAAGGAGAACGAAAGAAAGCATCATGGCGCAACCCAGAAGCTCGCAAAGGAGACTGGAGATTAGTGCGTCAGCACCAGAACACCTCACTCTTCACTTTTTCCTCAGATGTTGACAGAGACTAGTTTTCTCCTTACACCGATCAAAGGAGTGACAAAAAGAAGAAGAGACTTGAAAGCGAGAGGCTGAAAGATCTTGAATTGCGTGTGCGTGACGCAGAGGCAGCTCTAAACGATACAGAAGCAGAACAACACGAGTTGCGGGGTGCGTTGTCCACGGCTTGAAAGGAAAATACTGAGCTACTGAATAGTCTAGACGGTGGCTAAACTTGGGAAGATGGCTAATTGTCGGAAGACCAGCAGTTGCTCTAATGCAGGTAATGATCAAGGATGCATCGATCAATCATAACAATCATGATGCAATGCTAAAAGATGAAGGGCTGCTAAGTGCTATCGATCAGAGGTTCCCCAGGCAATACAACTCATGCATGGCATGCGCATAAGTACCCTCAACCTCCTTCATCCAGCCTCCCATCCGTCCGTCGGCGTTGAGTTGAACGTCGGCGAGTGCCGAAGACGACGGGATCAAATGCAAGCGGACTTCCGGCGGGCGGCGACATCTCGCTTTTCGTCACTCTTTTACGTCCTCTATCCTATCCGCCATGGTCCGCCTCCCCCCCTCCTCCCTCCTCCGCTCCTCCCTCCGCGCCCAGTCACGCTATGCCTCCTCCTCAGCACACGTACGCCCCCTCCCCCCTCTCTTGCTGCACAATTGCTAATCCTTCTCGGCAGACTCTGCGGCCAGCTGGGACCGTCACAACGCTACCAAACAAGCTCAGAGTAGCCACCGAGGGTGTACCGGGGCATTTCCATGCTGTGGGAGTGTACATTGATGCGGGCAGTCGGTATGAGAGTCCGAGGAACAGCGGCATGTCGCATTTGCTGGATAGATTAGCTTTCAAAGTGCGTCACCCTCTTCCCTCTTGCTTTATCTCGAGCTGATTGCGTTTGAAGAGCACAAACAAACATACAGACGCTGAAATGACGACCCTCATCGACTCTCTCGGCTCCCAAGTCACATGCGCCTCATCCAGGGAGACGATCATGTACCAATCCACCGTCTTTCCCCAATCCCTCCCCCTCGCCCTCGAACTTATCTCCTCCACCATCCGTCACCCCTTATTACTACCCGAAGAACTAGAAGCCCAAAAAGATGCGGCGGCCTATGAGATCAGGGAGATTTGGGCGAAACCAGAATTGATCCTGCCTGAAGTCGTGCACACTGTCGCTTTCAAAGACAATACCCTCGGTATGCCGCTTTTGTGCCCCGAGTCCCAGCTGGACGTGTTGGGGGAGAAGGAAGTAAGGAGGTTTATGAGGGATTGGTATAGGCCGGAGAGGATGGTCGTTGCTGGTGTTGGTATGCCGCATGAGGAGCTTGTCATGCTGGCTGAGAGGTTCTTTGGCGATATGCCTTCTTCCACTGGTGCTGGTGCTGGTGCGTCGGCGGGTGTGCTGCACCCTGCGACGGGCGGGCAAATACCAGCGGGAAGCAAGTCGTTTGCGACAGCTTCGGCTTTGCCCGTCTCGGACGACTTTGCAGAGCTCGCGCACGCCAGGGCAGAGTACACTGGCGGAGAGCTTTTCATCGACAAGCCGGAAGACGAGTTTGTGCAGCTTCATATCGGCTTTGAGGGACTTGGGATCCATGACCCGGACATCGTACGTCACCCCCCCTCTTCATCTCAATTTACTCTTTTGACTTTAGTAGTACGCTCTGGCGACACTGCAAACCCTCCTCGGCGGCGGCGGCTCCTTCTCCGCCGGCGGCCCCGGCAAAGGCATGTACACCCGCCTCTACACCAAAGTCCTCAACCAATACCACTCTGTCGACTTTTGCTCCGCCTTCCACCACTGCTACGCCGACTCGGGCCTCTTTGGCATCTCTGCCAGCGTCTATCCCCAGTTTGCGGGGCGGATTGTGGATGTGATTGGGGGGCAGCTGCATGCGTTGACGGGGAGCATGTTTGGGGGAATTGATGAGAGGGAAGTGAGGAGGGCGAAGAATATGTTGAAGAGTACGTTGGTGATGGCGTTGGAGAGTCGGTTGACTGCTGTTGAAGGTGAGCCTTCCCCTCCTTTCTTTTTGCCCGCGAGTCTTTGCTGATGTGTTACCAGACCTCGGCCGTCAAGTGCAAATACACGGACACAAAGTCCCCGTCGAAGACATGTGCGAAAAGATCGACGCTCTTACCATGGACGACCTCTACCGCACCGCCAACCGCGTCCTCCGACCGGCTTCTGCATCTTCCCGCTTGAATTACGGATTGGGGTCGGGCAAGGCGACGATTGTGGCACAGGGACCGAACCTTGGGGCTTTGGGGGATGTGAAGGGTGTGCTGAGGGATAGGTGGGCGCTGGGTCTGTGAAGTGGTGGAAGAGTGATCAGAAGGGGGAGGGCGAGAGTATACTTTCAGAAAGTGAGATATTGTATCACTAGTCGTCGAGGTCATATCATGCATTCTAGCAGCTCATCCATCGACCAAACAGCCAGGTGTTCTCTCGATTTAGACACCTCCCATCCACTCTTGTCCATTGCCTACAGCGAATAAGAAGAAGAGAAGAAGAAGAGGGCGGAAGAACTGAGAGAAGCGATGGCAAGCTCGCTCTTATGCTGCCGTCATTCCAACGCTTCGCTCCCTTCCCTCCCTCACAAAACCGAACCCCTCTCTACACACTCCCTTTGCCTTTCCCCAGCGCCAAGCCCGCCAACCCACCTGCGTCAGGGCCCAGTCGTGCGGTGCCAAGCGCCCCATGGTCGGGCAGGGGCAGCAGGGCGAAGAGGAAAAGCGGCGCAAGGTGGAAGAGGACGAAGACGTCAAGATGGTCGTTGAAGAAGCCGTCGATAACGGGGCTATACTCTCTCCCCCCGAGAGCGAAAAAGCGTCTGTTTCGGCGGCGGTGCAGGGTGGGCGGATGTCTGCTTCTGTGCCCGACTTGTCCAAAGCCCATGCCCATGCCCACGCCCACGCCCACGCCCACGCGCAAAACCCTACGCCGGCCGCGGTATTCGGCATGGTCGTCAAAACGTCCGAATCGCACCCCATCATCGTTTCCCCATTCTTCCCCTCTGAATTGCTCGAGATCTTGTCGAGGAATGTGGTAGGGCAGGTGGAAGAAGGGAAGAGGATGATGCTGGGTTCGAGACTCGATGTGCCGAGTCTGCTTCTCGGCTTTGCGCCGCCCTCGTCATCGGCGCCTATCCTTTCTCCCCTCCAATCCAGCTTTAGAGACCTCCACCCCTCCCCTCCCTCCCCTTCCCCCTCCGTCTGCTCAACCCCAACCCAAACCAAAACCCCCGGCAAGCTCCTCCTCTCTTCCTGCCCCGGCAAACTTTTCCGCATGGACGCCCCTTCCATAGACCGCGGCCCTGTCTGCCGTGATCTCGCGACAGATCCGAGGAGGATCAAAGGAGAAGGGGTGGGGGCGTTGGTTTGTTTGGATGATGAAGAGCTGGCTTTGTTGGGGGTGCCGTGGGAGACGTATAGGAATGTGGCGGTGGGGACGGGGTTGGATATTATTCGGTGAGTCTTTCTTCTTTCTTCCTTCCATATTTGCCGACTGGGATCGACTGGGATGGGCGAGGTGGACAGGGTATTGATGAGTTGATTTAGGTTGCAGATGTCGGATGGGTTTACGATTGCTTCGATCAAATTGGGGGCCAAACCTTCTACTCCAGCATCAGCAATAAACACTCGCCCTTCATATTTTACCGCTACATACCCAACAATCGCCTGGAGCCGCTTTATTCCTTGGAATTCAGATCGCCGATGCCTTGGGAATCACGAATTACCCGTAAGTCAAAACGTCTTACCCGTGTCTTACGACCTCTCCCAACGCTAACCAATACTTGCAGATTCCGCGACTGCACCTAAAGTATGTGAAGCCTGGGCGACCGCCACGAACGGCTCGATCCTCATGAGATGGATCAAAGCCCACTGTACATATGCCGCCTCTGACCCTTACGGCTATCTCTATAAGGACATGGATGACTTCATCGTGCGAGTCAGTCGTTGCCTTCTTATATTGCTGGCGCTGGGGGTACTGAGCTGCCTCCACTTCCAATGTTATCAGCATGGGTAAAGCCCGTTGTGGAAGAGAAGTAATGGTATACCGGACTTGTTAAAGAGGAGCTAGGCCTCGCAATGGAGATGCTCTTCGATTGGGAAGCCGCACACCACGTACCCAGAATTTGGGATGCCATCGGGGACGCAAGGACCCACACCTTCAACAACAAACACCGTCTCAAACCAAGCACCAGCCCGCGATATCCGCCAAGCCCCTCTCCTCTGTTCATCTACACCGTCAAAGATCAGTCCGGATTCATCTCTCACCTACAGACGGAACCGCTGATGGAAATGTTCGGGGATATAGTGCCGGATTGTGAGTATCATGCGTTTCCCCGGGTTTCCGATAAAAGATTCGGAGACGCGATTGTTCAATGTGGAAAAAAAAATGAGGTGAGTTTGGCGTTCATTTGCCTTGGGTTTGATCTTGAGACAAGAACGATACTTATCACCTTGGAACAGGGAGAAAAGGGAGCAGCGGGTATCGCAAACAGTGTGCCGAGAGTACCGACAGATCCTCCGAGGTCGAAAACCATATCTGTGCTGCGAGCAATGTTCAATATGGCAGGTGGCTGACTTTGACCGAGGACCGGATGTTTATCCATGCTGACATCGAGTATTCATGTAGAACCGACAAGTCACACTTTAGCACAGCGGCGCTGTCCTAGATACCACACCATTTCAGGAGAGGACGTAAATGAGAACCGAGTCGTGTCATTCAGTCGGCTGGTCTTGATTTCAGTGAGCCTTCGAGAAATACTTCTGCAGCGTGACTCTGATCTTGTCTTTGCCTGTCTTGAGAGTTTACTGCACACAAGAGTCCATTATATACATGCATCCTGCGGTCCCTTCCCTCACCCCGGCCACTTTCTTCGCCCACCTCTCTTCACCTCCCTCCCACCCCCTTCCCGGCGCCTTCTCCCTCCCTCCCAACTCCTCTCCAGCTCCTTCGCCCTCCCATCACCCCCAAGCACCACCCCGGCCCTCAAAATCTCCCGGTCACCTGCGAAACGAGGTCCGCGACGACAGGCAGATCTTAAGTGGAGTCGTTAGTACTCATTCCATAACCACCATGAAACCATCCACCCGCTCGACGACATACTTGGACGAGGAGGAGCACCAGAGCTAGGTTGACTTGTGCCAGTATATCACGGAACCAAAGACAACACCAGCGAACGAAGGGTGGGACAGTGGAAGCGGCCACGAGCATGGCTTCATTCTGTCCAGCTGGGCCTGGACCTCAGGCGGCAGTTGGGCGGTGGCGGGGGCGGGGAGTCCGTCGTCGATGGCCCTAGAGGCGAGAGCGGTGGCGAGAGCGGCGACGAGAGCGGTGGGAGGAGGGCCAGCGTTGGTGCGGGCAGCGTCGGCGGGGGCAGCGGCGAACGGTGTCGTGCACCACCTCCACCGCATGAGCACATACGGCAAAACTGCCAAGCCCCCGGGCCGTTTCCTGAGAAAAGTGTCAGCCACCTTGAGGAAGAAGTCACTCCCACAGCGCAAAGTCCCTCTCAAACTCTCATGACTCACTCCGGGCTCGCACGCATCCCAACCCACCAGGCGATCAAACCCCCCAGCAACAGCAGGTCCAGCAAGACTGTTTTCTCGAATCAGCTATGCATCTTCTCAAGATAAAAGCAGACAAAACAGTGGCAAAACGTACCCCCAACGACTTCCCTGCCTTTATTAAATCGTGCTTTGGGAAGAGAGGAAGCGCCCAACCAACCCCAGGGGCCGAGAAGGTAGGGGCCGAGGAGGGAGGGGCCGAGGAGGGAGGGGCCGAGAAAGGAGGGGCCGAGGAGGGAGGGGATGCCGGGGGGAGGGGCGAGGGAGAGCCGGAGGGGGGGCTGAGGGTGAAGGGCGCGGTATGGAGAGTATGGAGGTATGCGGGATGTGAAGGTTGGGTGATAGATTGTATAAAGGAGGATGAGAATGGAGTTACAAATTGCGCTGTATCAAGGCTGTATCGGGTGGGGGAGGGCGCAATCACACGGATTGATCCCGATCTCATTGTTTGGTTCCACCGCCGAGCTTTTGAACCGTGTTGAAAGCTCCCAATCGCCGTTCTGCTCTTCTTCGGGAATCTCTTCCCTCGGACGGGTGCTTTTCCTCAAACTCCTATCATTGTCTGTAAATGGCTTACCACTGTCGCCTGATGAATCTCGATTTAGACACCTCCCATCCACTCTTGTCCATTGCCCACAGCGAATCCGTCTTCGACTTTCTTGGCATGGCAACATCACCCTTCATCCCTCTCACTGACCGCAAACTCATCAGAACGTCCACCTGACCAAAGCTCGTTCGTCGGGCCAATCATCAGACCTCGACCCAGCTTGTCTCATTCCAATGAGCGAACAAGGATAGGAAGGTTCCTGCTCAATGAGCGTCGCGAACGGGCCGCTGCCTTTGTAGCGCGCTCCCGTCCTAAGCTAGGAATGATCCAGACAGAAACGAACACCGCAGGTGGGAGATGGACCTCCCAGTCCATCGCGAAACTTTGGCATGGCCTCGAAGGAGGCGCGATCAACAACAAGGACCGAGCGCATACAGAACGCGTCTCTCGCGCCTATCTGTCTGTGGCAGTTGACTCACTGCCTAGATAGTTTTCTACAATTGCAACCGTCTTGATCTCCCTGACTCAATGTGACGTTCAGTATGGCATTGCATCACATTCTACCGAAAACTACGGACGACATACTAGTACATTTTGCTGCCCGTTCTTCCTTCTCGCTTCTTCCTTCCCCGTAAGTCACCACTCTACTCCACGCCCTGCAACCTCTCCCACTCTACCAACGCATGCATAGCCAGAGCCTGACCATACGGCATCGGCGTAATAGGAATATCCTTGTAAAACTGTAGGTCCGGGCCCATGCCCGTGCCGAAGGAGACATTGTCGACTTGGCCGTCGGGCTGGATCTGGGCGATGATGCCGGAGAGGGCGGTGTCGGCTGTTTGGCGGTATGAGGGGTCGGTGATGAGGCCCTGGGGGGGCTTGTCAGCCATGTGGGAGGGAGGAAAGAAGGGAGGAGAAAGGGGAGGGAGGGAGAAGGAACGTACTTGTCTTATACCCATGTAGATCCCAGCTGCGAACCCCGCACTCGCGCTCGTTTCCACATAACTAGTAGGGTCCACCAGCAACGTATGCCACAGCCCCGTCTTTCCATCCTGGAGTTTGACCAGAGCGTCGACTTGGCGCTTCCACACGCTCACGAGGTACTTGTACGTCGGGTGAGAAGCCGGGAGGCGGTCGCCGAGGATATCGAGCAGCATGGGGATAGCGACGGTGATCCAGCAGTTGCCCCGTGCCCAGAGAGCGTTGGCAAAGTTGTGGCCGTTGGAGGAGGAGTTAGGGGTGAATTCCCAGCCGTGGTACCAGAGCCCGGATTTGGGGTCGGCGAGGTATCGGATGTGGAGGAGGAATTGGTAGAGCGCTTCGTCGATGTAGTCTTGGCGGTTGTAGAGGACACCGATTTTGGCGAGGGGGATGGCGGACATCATGAGGGTGTCGTCCCACATTTGCTGGGGGTGGTCGGCTATATACGTCACTGCACAAAGTCAGCTTCGGCACACCGAGCAAGAAGAGGAGGGGCGTACCGTGCTGGAACCCGTTGTCTTCCGTCCTCTTCAATCCACCATTTGCGATCCACTCAGCCCACTCGTGGATCTGCCCATCCCACTTGTTGTCCGCCATCCTGCCGTCTTCGACGAAACAGGCGAGAGAGTAGAAAGGGGACATGGTGTTGATGTTTTTGGGCGCGCCTTTGCCGTCGGTGCGTTTCCATTGAGTTTCGAACCAGTCGAGGGCGACTTGGAGGGATTTCTTGGATGCGGGGGAGGAGGCGTCGATGGCCGAGTGCTGGATGGTGCTGTTAGCATAGCTCGTGGAGGGGGGAGAGGAGGTCTTACGTGGCATAGGGCGGTGAGGGCGATACCGTGCGTCCACTCCCACGAAAAAGCAACAGGATGCTCCCAGCCCTTCGTATCAATCAGAGTACCATCCTCCACTACCCCATTCCCATCAGGCACCCGGTAAAGCACATGGAGAAAGAAGACGTACGCTTGAACAGAAATGTGCCATCGACGTCCCTGATACTCACCAGCCCATCTGTAAGCAGGCCAATGAGCTCTGTAGCTTCCTTGGTGTTGAGGTCGAGGGCAGGTGGGTGGGACATGATGGGAACTGGTGGGAAATGGGATGGGGGTACTGTGCAGAGGAAGTGATGTAGGATGCAGCTGTAATATAGAGCGAGAAAGTGGGCGGGCATGCGGCGCGGGCGGGGTTCTCGGTCCGCCGGGGCCGGCACCGGTCGGCATAACGAAGAGCCGACATCTCGCGCGTGATTTTTCCGTTACTTTTCCAGTCGTACACTACGAGTAAGCTGAACCAGCCATTATGGACTCTTTCTCCACCGACTCTAAACAAGAGCACGATGGTCTGACCTCGGACTCGGGCGTGAGTCCTTCATGTTCTTCATCATTCCGTCCCTTCTGTGGTATACGAAGTGCTGATACAGAACTGGATTCACAGGCTCCACCACTCACAGATGATTTGGATACACACCAACCTTCATTGCTGACGCAAGAAGAGGAAGCAGCTGAAGAGGCGAGTCGTTGTATTGAGCCTATGCCCAGTGGTATGTCATACTGCTAGCGCCAAGGGTGTGATACCAAAACTGGCTGACACTATCGTGCTCCTTTCGTTTATCAGATCGTAGTGATGTTCGCAAGATGTATCGTAAGTGACGATTCAATGTCGTAAAAAAGCAGCGCGTACTAACATGATGGCGGCTTGATGTCATGCCAGTCAAGGTACGACAGCGAAAGCACCGAGAGAAGAAAAGGGAGCTGCAGTCCAAGATCAACGGGCTCACGGGGCAGAGTCAGACTCACAATTTTACCAAACTACGATTAATAAGCATTGCAGATCTTCAGAGAGAGCTGGAGGATCTGCAGTCGCATCGCGAACAACAGGATCCCGGAGAAGGGGGTAGCAGAGATTCGACTATGGAAAAAATAGATGCGGCAGGAGGCGAAGAAGGTGCAGGCGAAGAAGGTGAAGGTGAAGATGAAGGTGATCACGACGATGTTGCCGGTGAATATGAGAGGACGAAGTCGGAAAGCCGCTTTGAGATCGTGTAGACTGGGGGGGCTTGCAGGACGATTTGGATGATATGTTCCAGTCTGCGTGGGACGATATAATCCGATCCTAATCATGAGATTAGTAACTACAATGAAAAAATGATGGGCTTAAAGTACTACGTGGTTGCCCACTTCTATGTATTCTCTATCTTCGCTGGATTCTACATTATTACTGGGCTCCAAAGATCTTCGGTAAGATGTACAACGAACGTCTTGCTCAATTGCATTTCTGCACTCTATTCATCGGTGTAGATACTACATTCATGCCACGAAGAAGTTAGAATCTTGTCCTAAAGAGATGCATAGAATCTGGGAGAGCCTATATGTTTCCAAAGCAATCTAGTCTATGTTCCTCCGACGTCTCGCGCGTGCTTTTTCCGTTGACCTTTCCATCTGCAAGTAGTGTTACTTTTCCAGTTGTACACGAGGTTGAAGTTGCACTGGCTCATTGGATACGTACAGCATGGTATGGTGGAGATAGGGTGCCCACGCGACTGATTCAAAAAGCGGTTCAGATATCATTTCTGCAGGACTAGTTACAGAGGAGGGTGATGTTGAGATGCGTACCCGTCGTTGGCGCGCTGATATCAGCGTCCTTTAATACGATGTTATGGCGGAATAGTATCTTCCAACATCAGCCGTCAAAAGAGGGGACTCGGCATCTCAGAACTGATATTCACACTGCGAAATGCACAAAAGAAGAACGATAAATGCCGCGCTCTGAATCCCGATATAGCACCCATTGGCGGCCGTCTATGCGTCCTCGTGCAGTGACCGATTCTTACTTGCAAATGCATATAAACATCATTCCCATTATAGAGCACAGAAAACAAGCTGAACCAGCCATTATGGACTCTTTCTCCACTGACTCTCAACAAGAGCACGATCGTTTGACGTCGGACTCGGGCGTGAGTCCTTCATGTTCATCAACCCGTCTCTGTGGTATACGAAGTGCTGATGCAAAGCTGGTCTTATAGGTTGCATCTTTCACAGAGACGCAAGTAATGGAAGCAGCTGCAGGAGAGGTGGTAGATACTCGAGAAGAGGTGGAAGTCACACTGCCAGGTGGCTCGATCATCATGATTACGGACACGACCATGAGTCGTTGTACTGAGCCTTTGTCCCGGCATAAAAAAGCCGTTGAGGTGGATTTGAGTAGTATGTCATACTGCTAGCGCTCCAAAGGTGTGATAAAAAGGCTCGCTGACACTAACGTGCTCATTCCGTTTTTCAGATCCGAGTCAGGCTCGCAAGATGAATCGTAAGTGATGATTCAATGTCGTAAAAAAGCGGCGCGCACTAACAGGATGGGGGCTTGATATAATGCAGTCAGGGAACGACAGCGAGCTCACCGAGAGAAGAAAAGGGAGCTGCAGTCCAAGATTAACGAGCTCAGTGGGCAAAGTCAGAATTACAATTTCACCAAACTACGAGCGATAAGTATTAAAGAGCTTCAGAAACAACTGGAGAGTTTACAGTCGCATGGCCAACAACCCGGAGAAGGGGGTAGCAGAGATTCGACTATGGAAGGAAGAGATACGGAAGGAGGCGAAGAAGTTGAAGGCGAAGAAGGTGAAGGTGAAGGTGACGACGACGACGAAGGTAAGCGCTTTGATGGCGACCATATGGCCTGGGAGGGATTACAGAACGACTTGGATGATATGTTCCCGCCTTCGTGCTTCCAAGAAGGTAACGCCTTGCCTTAGAGATATGTATAGAATTTGGAAAAGCCTCGATGTCTTGAAGACTGTCTAGTCTACGCATCGCCCGAGATCTCGCGCGTACTGTTGACGTTGGCCTTTCCAATCGTATACTTGACACATTGGTTCACGATGTGAAATGAAGCATGACGTACTTGGGCTATCCCTGTCAATGACTCAAAGCATGGTTCAGATCTTCTTTTTGCCGGACTGATATAAATGTAGACGGTATTGTCGAAGGGTGCCCGTTCGACGCTGGGTGCCCTTTGATAGAAGACGGAGTAGTATCTTTTGCCATCGGTCGATCGACGGTGTATCAAACCTCAAAAGTGATTGCTCAATAGTGAGTCACAACAAAAGAACACAAAGACAATGCTTCACTCTAGGTTTCGGTATAGCACCTATGCATGGGCTATTATTACATCGGTGAATCGTTCATATTCTTCAATTCTCTCCTCCCAAGATCAACAACCCAACGACAGGAAACCAGACAACCAATATGGACCCATCGCACAATTACTCTCAATATTGGCACGATTATTTGACGACTTTGGGCTCGGACGTGAGTTCTTCATGAGCACGTTACCCCGATGACCGTCTCTGGCACGGGGTACAAAGTGCTGATACATTAGCCGTCATATAGGTCACATTCATCGTAGATGATTTGGATACACACCAGCCCTCGCAATCGACGCATGGATTAGAAACAGCTGAAGAGGATGAAGGCCCTCTTCAATATAGCTAGATGATTGATGACACGCACAACACGAGCCATGATACTCGGCTAATGCGCAGGTATAGGGAAGGCGATTCAGTGAATTTGAGTGGTATGTCATTCTTCTGGCGCGCCAAGGGTGTGAGACCAAGGCTGTCTTTCACTGTACTAAAGTATTGTGCTCATCTCATTCCTCAGACTCTGATGATGTCCGCAAGCTTGGAGGCAAGTGGCAAACAGAGTCGTACGAGAGCAACGCATCCTGACAAAATCATGCGCGCTTGCATTATGCAGATAGGACAAGACAGCAGAAACTTCGTGAGAAGAAAAAGGGGCTGCAATCTATGATCAACAAGCTCAGTGGGCAAAGCGAGACTCATGATTTTAACAAACTACGAGTGACAGGTGTCAAAGAGCTTCAGAACACGCTAAGTTCCCTACTGTCACGTGGCTCACAGGGTCCCGGAGAAGAAGGTAGCAGAGACTCGACTATAGAAGAAAGAGATATGGAAGAGGAAGAAGAGGAAGAAGAGGAAGAAAAAGCAGAAGGTCAATACGACAATGTCGAGGGAGGATCTCGTGAAGAAATGGCAATGCCGAAGAGATACCAGTTCGTGTACTGGGAGCCAACACAGAATAATGATTCTAGATGACCTCATCCAATCTGCGTGGGAGGAAGAAGTCAATAGTGCTGCCTCGCCCTAGAAAAGAGATGAATCAAATCTATGTATGTGCGGTGAGTCGTAAATGCTTCAGAGACCGCGCTCTTGCTTTCGGTCGATGAGTTGGCGTCCACTCGCGGCCTCACATGGCACGAAGTAAAGAATGATATCCCTACCATATACATCTTGTTATTGTATGTGGATCAAGTCACATGTTGTCCATTTATTGTCACAAAGGACTTAAGCGATGAGAATGATCAGTCCTGATTCTCAAGCAATGTCTCTCACAATGGAAAGTCGCCATTCGGAGTTCTGGCTCTTGAGATGCATCCCCCTTTTAGCATGTGCACGTCAACCACCATGAACAGAGTCATACCGACGCAGATCATCAGAAAGAGACAGATTATCTGAGTTCGATTTTAGCGCCCTCTGCTCGTCTGGCCGTACTAACACCGTGTCACGTCTCCTTGATATATCAGCAGCTCTTATGATCATCATCACATTACCGGTGTCTGATCTAGCCTGATCTTCTTCTTTTCCGTTCATGTATATAGCGTCTACATCATGATGACATGCTTGTCGGGTCTAGGGGGCGCCATCAGCAAATGTTCGGTACTTCAATAACTTTGTTCCGGCGATCCTGTTGGTATGAGGAGTTTGATTCGCGTTGGAATGTTCCCACATCCCCAAAGGGAAAGTAGAAGGGAAACACGGGCTCTCCTTTGATTGAGCTGTTGTAGGTCGGAGCTCGTGTGTTTGGGATCTATCGGCGGTCCCAAGGGCCAGTGAAATACTATGAAAGTTATCACAGCCGCGTTGCACACTCGCGGAAGAACGGGAAACGAACAGCAGCTTCCTCGGTACTTTCATACGTAGCTCGCATATACATATAGAAGGAAGACAATTCAGCATATACGGACGAAACATGAGCTCATTGGCTGGCTCTTCGCAAGACGAACAAGAAGCTACATGGAATTCTTCTCAGGCGTTTTGGCCCGACTCGGATGTGAGTTTTCTTCATCACATCTCATACATGGCGGGCATCAGCACTGCTAGTTTGTTGGCATTGACAAGTGAGTATTGTTAGGTTCCTCGTCTGACCAATGATCGGATCAACGACTGGTACACACATCAATGTTACAAAGCTGCCTTTGGCATAGGAGAAGAGGAAGAAGGAGAAGGTCATGCGTACGACGATTCCTTGGCTGTAGCAAATCAAGATAATGGTGGAAGTTCGCAGCCAAGCCAGCAAGGGACTCGAAAAGGACAAACTGCTGAGAAAAGCGGCATGTGATTACTGTCAAGTGAAAAACTCTTCTGAATTTTTGGCTGACTCCATCATTGTGCGGTTCTCATGTGTTGCAGATCCTAGAGTTAAGACTATTATGAGTAGTGAGTCAAGTTACAGGGAATGTAAATGGCCATATACATGATTATCAGGGAAGGATGACTAACAAAAAGCAGACAACAAGGCGAGACAGCAGGCCCACCGTAACAAGAAGAAGGCACTGCAGACTGAGATCAACAGATTAAGTGGGGCAGATCCCAATTCCAATTTTGGTCATACTTTGCGAGATAGAAGTATCGCAGATCTTGAGGAGAGTCTACGGCAGCTTCAAGTAGCTCACAGTCAGAATAGTACTCAAATAGAAGGGAATGGAGATGCGAACAATCAAGGCATGGAACTGGACGACGACGGTGCCGCTAGCCAGAGAGCCGCGATGTCACCCAGCGCCGGGAGTGAATTCGGCATCTGGACGAGCTTCCAGCATGACTTGGACTTTATGCTCCAGCATGAGAGTACAGGAGAAGTTGCTTATGATCCTGATGAGCTGCAAGGTTGGGGCTACGAAGACCATGATGACCCTTATTACCCTTGACCCATGGGCACCCCAATGGTGTTGTTCGTCGTCCGTGTCGAATTTTGCCGCGCATTCACGTCAATCTTGCCAGTGATATACAAACGGTGGACCGATGTGATGATTGCGAGGTAATGGGCGTATGCATATACAGAGACTGGGTCAATATGTATATTTCTACAACAGTTTTCAAAACCAAACTTCGCGCAATATGAATATACAAATTTCTATGAGGTTCCTTCGTTAGAGTGGGAGATATCGTTACTAGTAGACATTGCCAGTGAAATGAATATACTGATTCTCCTGTAATAAGAGCAGGAGACAAGACCATGAACGAAAGCCCAAGCACGAAAGATGATCCGCGTGTCTTCATGCCGAACAAGCCCCGGCGGTTCCTTGCAGCCACCTCTCGAGATCCTACACATCGTCGTCAGCCATAAGCCCCCCTATTTCACGAACGGAATCACAACGTACGCTCCTAGGCAATCCACTCTTCCCCGGCCTCTTTCCATCCACCCCCATCCCAGGCGTCAAATCAATCCCACCCACCACCCTCTTCATCCCCTTCCCGCCCGGCGGTGGCGCGTGCCGACTGCCCATAGCTTCCATCTTGAACTTTTGCGCGGGTGTAAGGCCGGTACTACAAGAGGAGGAGGAGGAGGAGGGGAGGCGCGAAGAAGAGGGGGCGGAGGAAGGGACGGTAGGTTGGGCGAAGCGGGGTTGGAGGGCGCGAGAAGCTGGCGCTGCAGAAGTCGACGCGGCGGGCTTCTTGAGAGGATAGACCACTGCTGTCGACCCCTTTTCCGATCCCGAGAATGACCCAGATGCACCCAGTGAAGTAGGAGCGGGGACAGACCTTGAAGGAAAGGTTCGCTGCGTAGGGGTGCCGCTTTCCCAAAGTCTCGGGATGGTGTCTTTCCGGGGAGGCGTAGGAGCGAGGGGAGAGTCTTGTTTACCGAATGTGTAGGGATGACCGGCAGTCACAGGGGTGACCGGGAGCTCCTCGCTTTCTCGGATGTCGCCCAGTTCGGAGAAGGAAGTCTTCCCCACCGGGGCTGACGATGCCAACGCACTAGCCACCGGCGCCGACAGCATGGCCTCATTCCACCCCAAATTCTCCATAGGGGCGCTCAAAATGTACGCTGTAGCTGGGGAGTAAGGAGTTGGAGGTGAAGAAGGAGAAGCAGGAGAAAGACCGGTGGAGGAAAGAGGCGTATGGGGCTCGTCGATCACAGCCGTATGAGAGTCGGTCTCGGTGGGAAGAGAGAGTGATGGAAGAGGAGAGATGGTAGGGTTTGGTGACGTTGCCGCAGACGCTGAGGGCGAAGCAGAGAACGACGTAGAAAGGGAAGGAATTGACAACGCCGGTGAGATGGCGCGCTTGAGAGGTTCATGTTGAGTGACGGAACCTGATTTGGAGAAAAATCCAGTCAGCTTCTGCCACAGTGCGCACGGTCGTTCAACTCACCTTCCGCATCCTTCTCTTCCACCTCTGACTTTGGCTTTTCCAACTGAAACACATACAACTCTTTCTCGTCACCTTCCTTTGCCTCTGCGATCCTCCGGCCGGCGCCTTCCAATGCAAGCAGGGTGCTGGCGGCTACGGAGAGTTGCCTTTCTCGCTCGCCCTCGCCATCCCCCTCTTCCGCGTGCTCGTCGTTCTCCTTTACCGACACACTATTCGGCACACTAGCCTGCCTATCCCTCCCCTCCGGTACATGAAGGTAGTGGCCGAGAGTCTCGAACGACTTGCGGCCCTGGATGGACTTGGCCACGGACCTATTCTGAACGGCGGATGGGAAGGGCGTGAGGGAGTCGTTAGACGAAGGAGACGGGTTGACCGAAGAGAGAGGCGTGGGAAGTGCTGCTGCGGTAGTAGGCGGAGAGGTGTCTGGTCTTGCGCCGAGAGGACGGGGTACAGCCATCTTGCCGGGCGTGTTGGTCCTCCTCGGCGGTACCGGTCCACCCCTCGCCAGCGGACTCGACTTGGCCCGCTCCTTACTAGGACTGTTCCCCGGCCCGAGCCCAGAAGACAGCGCTGCCACCTTTGCTCGCCATTCCCGTTCGGCCCGACGAGCAGACTTGACGCTACCGCGCGAGGAAGAGTGTACGGAAGAAGAGGTAGAGTTTCGGCGGTGAAGTGTTGGGCGGAGATGGGGTGGGGTCGATTTGAGAGCGGTGGTGGAGAGGGAGGCAGCGGGGGTATGGTGGGAGAAGACGGAGGGAACAGTGGTGCTCCTGGAGTGCCGCCTCATCGACCGAGCTTGGGGTTGGGCTATACCAGCCCTCGCCTCAGCCTGCAGGACCAATGCCTCAAACGCCTTCAACTCTTCGTCCACGCCCAGCCTTTTCAGCATCTTCAATGACTTTCCGTTACTCCCTATCTCTGATACCGAAGGCACCGAAGGCAAAGCTTGGTCGTGGTCTTTCGACTTGGGCGGCGTGACGCGTCGGCTCTTGGATAGACTCCGATGAAGAGCTTTCGGCCTGGTGGAGAATGCGTTGGTGGAGAGGATAGGGGCAGAGTGGGGAGCGTGGTGGAACTGGGGGTGTTCTGGCATAGGCGTGGGAGGGAGGGAAGTGACAGGACTAGCCTGGAGAGCTGCTTCGGAGTCGGTCATACGACCATTCGCTTGACCCATGGCGAGAGATGATGTCGAGGAGGAAAGGTTGTAGAAGGGTGGTCTGGACTTCTGGTCTCGAGAAGATGGCGAAGATGGGCTCTGTGGAGAGGAAGGCGGGGGCTGGGAGTGTTTGCGAAAGAAGGAAGCTGGGGAGTAAGACTTCATTGTTATATCTCTTGCGCGGGGTTGAGGGTTTGTTGAAGGGGATCTACGTCTACGTCAGCGCCAGCCCTTACAGTCAACTCGGAACACAAGACTCACCCTTTCTGAGTGGATCTCGGGGGGTGTGACAGGGGTTTGAAAGGAAAAAAAAGAAGAGAAGCTGTGGTGTGTTGGTGTATGGCGGGGATCTGTTGTTTGCGGTGAGTATATAAAAGCGAGGGGACGATCGGCAAGCTGACTGATAAAATAAGCAGGCAGCTGTGCCTCGTGTGCTGCGTCACATCGATCACCCCCGTTTTGCGCAAAGGGGGTGGGGACAGGGTCGGCATCCAGTCAAACAGCGACATTCTGCGACGCGCATACGAATGCCGGGTCACAGTCGGGGTGGGCCGGTGGGGTGAGTGGTGGCGCCAGCTGATGCTTGTGGGATGAGCTTGCCATGCCCAGCAGATCGTCTCTCTCGCATACATGGAGGTATCTTCTTCCGACCACCCTTTCCGTGACTCAAGGCCGTGCGGTGTTTGGCTCGCTGTGTATTGCGTTGGCGTACCTGTCCCTGCCCTTTCCGTCTGCGCCGGGCTCGACTATCCCAGAAACACCCTCTTGGCAGATAGAACTTGTGGCATTCGCTTTTGGTCGTCTCGCTAACTTTTGGTGCAGATGAAAGCTCTAAAGACAAACCAGTGTCAGTTGTCAAGCATATGAAGCAACGAACGGACAGTGCGATGTAACGCCTCGAGGCAACAGGCAGCAAGACGCCGCTGGCCGCTGGACAACTCCCGAGGCTTCCGGGTGGTCCCGGCCTACAAACCATGCGAGGCTGCATCCCACTTCTACGACTGGCAAGGCTAGTCTGAGAACACTTGAAACACTGGACATGGAACAGGGAACAAGAAGGAGAAGAGCAGGCACTCGCCGAGTAGTCCGATCTGGTCGGGGATTTGTCGCGACCGAACCACACCTTCCACCCGAGGCGTGAAGTAGCCTCACCCAGCTCGCTCAACCTGATAGACGCCCAGGAAGGAATGAGAGTATCAAACTCACGACTCGACGCGTTCTCACTTCTCCGGAAGATCCAGGCCTGATCTTCCCATTGCCCGTTGGAGTACAAGCGCCCGCAACGAAATTCCGAATGTTTCGGATCTTTGCCCCCATTCCTCTCATCTCCCATCTCCAGAGGAACATTCTCCGTCAAATCACGCTGCACACTCCAGGCCACGAGTCACAACCACGCGCCAGGGGCGTGCTTCTCTAGCCTTCTTTTTGCCGGCCCATGCGCTCAAATGTCGGTATATTTATAGACGAATATGCCGAGGACCGAGTGGCAGCTCGTGATGGAAGATTGGCGAGGGGAAGGCTAAGCGGGCTGATGGATGGGGCAAGATGGAGGAGCTGGTGATGTGGGAATTGATATGTTCGTAGGTGGATGGATGAGTGGGTGGTGGCTTGTGAAAAGGCCGAGGTTGCCGGAAAGATGGTCGTCAATGTCGTTACCGGCGATGTGTGTCGTTCAAGCTCGAGAGGAGGACTGAGGATGGATCTACAGTATTATATACATGGATGTAGTAGATAGGGGAAAGAGCCAGTCTGCAAGCATCTCCTCTTTGATAGCTCACGCGTTCTTCGTTCGGCAATCGGCTCATTAGCTCAGGTGGTCGGCGGTCAGCGCCGCTGGTGCTTGCCGCTCGTTGAATCAACGTTGAATGAACTTACGCAGGTTCTCGGGACATGTCTGTAAAGCAAGCAGAGGGTAGTGGTCTTCTCGGATGGTTTATATAGATGACAGCCGACAATCCATCTGATATCTCCCACGCTGGACTTCTGTACTTGCATACACTTTTCCATATCATTCAACTGCGAGGTTCAGAGGAGGATGACACACATCAGACGCACATCATGAAAGCAGCTGTTGTAAGGTTGAAGGTTTGAAGCAATCTAAGCTCTAGTGTAATTTGCTCTCATTGGCAGAGCCCCACTGGGAGGGCTGCGCATGTGCATAATCTCGTAATCGTGATACAAATACGACGATCTGCCCTACCTGTACGTTGCTTCAACGTTCTCCCCATCTTTGCTTTCGGGAAGCTATCGCTATCATTGTAGAGTCTTCAACGAAGTCCTCGTAAGTCTCAAGCTCGTCCCCATTGTCAGCAGCAGAAGAGACAGCGGCAGAAGCTCCCTCCCCTGCTGCCTGAGACTCTACTGCTCGGAACATGGAGTAATCATCTTCCCAGCACCCAGTCATATTTGTAACCTGAGAGCGATGTAATCAGTACCAGTCACTCTTTTACAGATAGCGTTAAGCTATGCAACCCAGACCAACCTGGGAACCTGGGTAGGTGGCATAGTCGGTGGGTGGGGTTATGAAGATGTCTAACATCTTGTGCTGTGTACAATGAGAATGCTGAGCACAATGTTTGTCAGATAGCTGAGTATATGCAGACAGCTAATTCATTGTGCAAACAAAGGGGGAGTATTCACAGGGAATGTGAAAGTCCAGTGCAAGTTCAAGTGCAGCCGAGATGCTGACAATTATATTTCACATAATTCACGTCCCTATGAGGGAAGATTCTGATAGTATTGCCGTAGTGAAAAGTCTCAATTCACATCAAGACACAAAACATTGTGAGAATGGAACAGCATAATACAGCCATTGCTACTTCCGTAAGAGCTCGTATTGAATGAGTGCAGCTTCGATGACGAAACTCGAATTACGGTCAATAGAGATTACGATATATGGCCAATAGGGTAGTTCGTGGGCTCAAAAATGAGTAAAGCGGCTGGTGACAGCTGTGCGATGATGAGATAGGGAAGTGATATGGTGAAAGGAGAGGGAGGTAAGGAGCGCGGCGAGGAGATATAGTCTTCCCCCGCCGAGCCTTTCATGCATCACAAACGCTATCGAATACGGGTGATGCCATCGCACTCCATATTTATGTATACGAACAGTACAGCACGCCATACAAACCATGGAGAAAAAGCAATGAAAGATATCACACGGAAGACAGAGACGGATAGCGACGAAGAAGAACAAAAGGAAAAGGAACTGTTCTCGGAAGAGGGAGAGGCTCGAGCGTTGAAGGTGTTCGGCAAGTGGGGGTGAGGTGAAGGTTGACTTGCCGAAGCCGGATCTAGAATTCAAAGTCCCAGAGTGGGGGAGAGATCTCCATAGCAAAGGAGAGGGTTCAGTAACGAAGAACTTCCATAGCCGGGCTAACAAAGGGTTGCTTATAAAGAGGACGTGTCAGCCCCGACATCCAGAAATCTTCGCGCCATTTATAGAATGTAGAGTGATGCTACTTGGTCTCCTACTCAATGGTTTCCTTTATAAGGATGTCATAAAAGGCTGACATCGACTTCGTCTCTCCGCATGCAATGTATACAATCACTATGCATACCCTCAAGTCGGTGGATAATAATGCTCATTATTTAGAAGATCCCAATGGAATTCGTCAAGATTAGTCGCAACGCTGGCCTGGGGCTGCAACATAGCAAAGTCGTCATCCTGTAACCCTGTCCAGCTTACAGCAGTGCCACCAAAGCTCTGTGACCACCAAGCTAAAGCCTCGTCAACCTCATCCTTACCCCAAACCGGATCATGTTCTCGCCCCACTCCTTCGTCTAGCATTCCCGTATCTCCCTTTTGTTGTTCCTCCTCCGGTTCAAAAGTCGTACCAATGTTACTGCTCCCATTTAGGAGAGGGTATTGGGACTGTTGCGCCTCCTCTAGAGGTTGTAGGCGTTTCCGGAGCACTTTGATGCCTGTGCTTCGTAGCTTATTGAAATTGTATTCCGGTTCTTCCCCAGTAAGTTCGTTGATCCTGCTCTGTATCGTCTTTTTCTTCTCGCTCTGTACCTGCTGCTTCGCCCTATCTGCATGAAGCCTTCTGTCAGCTTGATGATACATATACTCGGGCTTGTCAGAGTGCTACTCACTTTGCATTCTGGCCACAGCTTTGGGGTCTATAGGATAGGAAACAAGCGACGAAGATGATGTCAGCCTCCCGGTACACTCTTCAATATTGATAGCAGTCTCGCTCACCGTCCATATCGACCGTATCGCCTGCCTTGAAATGCCTCCGCCTTGTTCTTTTCCCACTCCTGTTTGTATCCACCGTCGTCAATGGTGCACTGCATGTTGCCTCCTCTTCGTGCACGTTTGTGCTATCTGAAGTTTGTCTACGTTTGTTTATTGTATTGTCGACTGTCTCTTCGTCGTGATCGGAATGAATACGAGAGGCCTAAGAGACTTCAGGTCAGGGCTCTGTATTGTAAATGGGGTGAGGGATGACTCACCTCGAAATCGAACCAAAAGCTTTCTGACGCCCCAGAATCGTCCTCTCGAAACTCGGAACCAGAAGAGCTCATGCTTGTCATTTTGATGGATTGTTCGTCGTCGTCGTAGTGCTGCGGAGGAGGGACTATATAGTAGATTGTAGTTGAAAGAATTTCACAAGATGTCCCGTGAGAACACCAACGGACTCTCAATACGGGCATTCCATGAAAGGACAGCACGAGTAGTCGTCGTGTCGCGACCGTGTACTTTTACGGGTACGTCCCTTTTATGGTCTACGAGAGTCGAGAAAGGAGAGAGGCAGGATAGGGAGGCGAATACGTATCATACCGTGCTCTTCCCGACGGTACCAGTCTAGTCTGAGATTGAGAGTGCAGTGGTTCATGTACCCACTATCATGCCAATTGTAGATAGTCCGTATTGATCAACTAGAGAAATCGTGCCATGGATGAAGAAAAGAATAGATACCTATGAGTGAATGCTAGAACGTAAAATCGTAATCGTCAAACGGAAAGCAACCTCAAACACAAGAAGAAAAAGCAAAGAGCATAATATACAACCATATCCAGACCCGCCCACCCAATCTCGGCTCTTTCTCCCAGCCAGCCCAGGCAGAAGAGTAGAAAAGATCAAAGTATTTCAATACCCCCCCGGGCCATTCTGGTCCGCCTCCCTACTCCTCCCCGGTCCAACCCCACCATTACTCATAAAACTAAGCCCACTGGCCGTCCTCTCCCGCTCCCGCGCTCGTTCTCGCCTCTGCGTCCTCCCCAGCGGTGGACTCATCCCTTCACTTCCGACCCCGCTCTGATGCTCAAAGAAAGAAGTCAAAGAATAATATTGCCGTGGCCGCCGAGAACGACGCATGAAGGCGAGATATCGCGCGAACCCGTGTTGCGTCGGTGGTTCTTCGCCTCCTGCTCCTGATATCGAGTCTGGAAGGGTGGGGATGGGGTTGGAGATGGGGAAAGAAGGTGTGGTGGGTGTTGGTGTACCGGAGGGCGATGAGGGGTGGTTGAAATCTACCAAAAGTGATTAGCTTTGTCAAGAAACGTGAAGAGAGAGGAAGGAGAGGGTTGACGCACCTTTTCGACATAGCGGACAGCTCGCTGATACTCGCAACAGCCTGCCTTATCATCAGCAATCATGCCTCACATTCGTAACACGAAAAATAACAAAAAGGAAGGTAAAGAGGGAAGGTGAGAGAAATATAGGGAGAGAGAGATCAAGACGGCACAACAGAAAGAGAGAAAGAAAGAAACGCACCAAGGATCAATACACCCCCTATGATACATATGCGTCCTCTCACACGGTAAGACCCGCAGATCATCGCCATCTTCAAACTCCACCAGGCAGATCGGGCAGTGCTGCTCTTCCTCCTCCTTTTCACCCTTTCCACCCGTTTCGCCCTTTCCCTCTCCTACCGCCAACGCCGACGGGGAGTCCAAGATGGAGGTAGAGGTAGAAGTTTCGTGCGTTGTTTGGAAACCTGTGGTGCTTGATGAGGCTGCTATCGGGATCGGAAGAGTGGAGAGGGATATATTGTCGGTAGTGTGGAGAGAATTGTCGTGCTCGATTCTCGATTCTGCCGGGGGATGGTGATACTGTTCCGCGACGACTCCGACTTTCGAATCGTCTCTATCCACCTGGGTCATAGCCAACGACTCTTCATCATCCACCTTTTTCCTCCCTCTCCCTTCTCCGCCTCCTGCGCCTTCTTCCCTGCCTCCAGCGCCTCCGCCGCCGCCGCCAGCACGATGAAACTGGATAACAGGAAACGTATCCAAAATCGCCTGCGCCAGCCCTGCAGCCTTCCCTTGCCCTCCCCCTCCCGTTTCACCTCCCTCCCCCCAACCCTCACCGACAGGCCCGCCCCGCCTCCCCTGCCTCAAAGCCCGCCTCGCCCCCATGACGAGCATCATCAAAAACATACTCGCCACCACCCCCGTTATAGCGTAGAGCACGATCATGCCTGCTGATGTCTTTTTTTTGCCCCCCGACGACGAGCTTGAGGTGGAAGAAGGGGAGTTGGGGATGGAGGATGAGGTGGCTTGGCCGGTGGAGTTTCGGGCGGTGAGGGTGGCTGTTAGGTATGTTTTTGAGGAGGCGGAGTTGCCGGAGAGGGAGTTGTTGACGTCTGTTGCGCTTTGTAGAACATCAACGTTAGCTTTATAGCCACAATTTTTTTTCTGGGGGGGAGGGGAGGACGTACGAGTCGTTCAAGAGGGTACTGTTAAAGTTTTGAAAAGAGTCGTTGGTGTGGACGAATTGGTTGTTGATGACTCTGCCAAACCAAAGTCAGCGAATACCGTTCGAATCCACATTGGGATTGGGAAGAAGACGAAGACAGGAGACAGGAGATGGAGATGGAGACAGGAGAAGAAGACGACTTGCCTAGCGACTTGCACCGTCCTCGTAGCAAACACGTCTAGCGGCTTTTCGAAATCGGTTATATACTCGGTGTTCAATAGACATGATTTTGAGTTGATCGTGTATAGTAGCTAATCCGCCGAATCAGCATAGGAAAGAGAAGTAAGGATGTGGGGTAAAGGCTTACGGCTGATACGGCGCCTCTATCTCTTGCCAACGTAAATACATCTACCCCATCATCAGCCCCCCGTCCTCAAACCTTTTGAAGAAGCCAAAGAAGAGGCAAGAAGAGGGACTCACCCCACTCATCACTAGCAACACTCTCATTCCTATCACAGCTGATGAACGCAATCCACGGCGTCGTAGTTGACACGTTGCTGCCCATTGTGGATTCTGCGAAATGCACGAGCGCGCCGGAGGTGGTGCCGCCTGTGAGGACGTCTGCTTGGAGTTGGAATGACCTGTTTGACACATTAGCTAGGGCATTTTGGGGGTAAGGAGGGACTTGCACTTGACCGCTGTACACGCCCGAAGGGTCCGTCCATGCGATATCGATAGTGGATGAATCTGTCAAATTCAGGCCGTCTGTATCGTTGATCGCTACCGCCGGGATATACGCCGCACATCTCAAAGCTAGAGAGGCTAGCAGCAGGCCGTACAGTTGTATCTTGAAAGTGCCCGGGAACATGGTGCAAGCGCAGTAGACAGCGAAGGCGGTGAATAAGCAAGGCGGCTTCTTGGCGGGATGGACCCTTTGAACCTTGAAGCTTTCTAATCGTCGGGAGATGGATAGGTGACTCTTCAGAGAGTGAGAGTCGCAAATGACCAGTCGATTTGATGATTTTCGATATAGATGCCGAAAAGATAGCAGACCAGTGCGCAGGGCTCGGGGCCGACAAAGGAGCAAAGGCCGGAAGAAGGATGTTGGTAAGCCGTGTGTATGTTGTATGTCGGTCTGACTCTGGAGGTGGGTGGGAGGGGTTGACCCTGGCTATGGGCTCATGGGATAGAATGATAGAGGAAATAGATCCCGTCGAAAGAGAGAGATAGCGCGGAGGCCGGTGGGAAGCGCGTGCCTGGGCCAAAAGTAAACATCCTCCATCTCGTTTCTTCGAGATAATCTGCCGTCCTTGCCACACTCAACACGCCTCGGATATCCCACGCCCCACGCAATGCTCCCCGCTGCATCGCTCCCGACAGTTAGACTCGCCAAATCCACCCTCCATCGCGGCACCCGCGCATCCTCATGGCGTCTATTCTCCGCCTCCTGCGCCAGCCGTAAAGAAGAACCATTCCGTATCTTGTTCTGCGGCTCGGACGACTTTTCCGTCGCTTCCCTCGAAGCTATCCACAACGCTAAAGGCAAGTCTGTCTCTTGGTGCGGAGTGGAAGAGGGAGAGAGCTGATGAAGTGTAGATCTGTGGTCGAGTATTGATGTCGTCGTGCCCGCAGAGAGGCAAGTCGGGAGGGGCGGACGACATGCGCAGCACCATACCTACACCCGTACGCTCTCCATCTTGTCCTGGAAGGGTATACTAAACTGCACGGAAAGCGGCACTACGCCAATACGCCGAGAAACACAATCTACCCCTCTCCACCGTCCCATCACCAGGTCTCAAATCATGGTCCCCCCCATCCCACTTTCTCCCCTCTCCCTCCTCCCCTACGCCGGAGCCTGTGAAGAAGAACGTCCTCCTAACAGCCTCCTTCGGGCACATCATCCCCTCCCCCTTACTCGCCCTCTTCGCCCCGACACACCGCTTGAACGTGCACCCTTCGCTCCTCCCGCGCTGGCGTGGAGCCGCGCCGGTGCAGTGGACCATTGCTAAGGGGGATGAGAAGACTGGGGTGAGCGTGCAAGGATTGGTTGAGTATAGCCGGGGGGTGGACGCGGGGGATATCGTAGGACGAGTCTATGGCGTTGTGAGTATTCCCCTTCTTCTTTCTTCTCTTTGCAGGCTTGCTTCTTTGCAGGCCTTGCTTTCCTTGCCTTAGAGATGCTTACAGAGACATGGGGTGAATGTAGCCAGTCCCAAAAAACGCGACATACAACTCCCTCCTACCCCACCTCGCGCTTATAGGCGGTGATCTCCTCGTCGACGTCCTCCGTCAACTCAAAGCCGGTACCGTACGTCTCCCTTATCTTCTCCCCCTTTTCCGTCTTTCTCCTCATTTCACCCCCCGCTGATCACTGATCACCAATCACTAATCTACCTTAGGCAACATTCACCCCCCAAAACCCGTCGCACATAACCCAAGCCCCCAAAATCACGTCCCTCACCGCCCACCTCCGTTTCCCGGACCAAACGGCTGTGGAGATTGATAGGCTGCATAGAGGGGTTGGGGGGCAGGTTCCCCTCTGGACGACTTTGGGCGGCGAGGGCGGGACGAGTGTGCAGCTGTTATCTGTTGCCCCTGTTGCCCCTGTTGGTGCGCCAGTTCTTTCTCTGCCATTAGACCCCACCCCCGGCATAGCTGTCCTCCACAAAGAAAAGAAAGAGAGGAAGCTCTTCGTAGCATGCAAATCCGGCACATGGCTCCAAGTACACACGCTCAAGACGGCGGGGAAGAAGGCGTTAAGCGTTGGGGAGTGGTGGAATGGGTTGCCCAGGGATGTGAGGGAGGGTGGGGGGTTGAGGTTTGGGTAGATGAGATATTTTCTTTTTGGTGTTTGGTTAGTGGGGGGCGAAGGAGAGATGGAAGGGGAAGGGGGAGGAGAAGGAGAAGGAAAAAGAGAAAGAGGATGGTTGATGCATGAAAATCAGTGATGACACGTCTGCTCTTCTTGCGCATCACTCATTCCCAAATTTGCCCTCACCCGACAAACCCTCATCACATATCAAGATCCCCTTCTCCCCACTGCAATTCAACACTGGGCTGGTCGAGGACGGACCGAGCATAGGCGTTTACGGCGAGCACCGCCTATGCATCACTCTTGCGGTTGCCACATCTTTCTCATCAAAAGCCAAGTCATTCACCTCTATCACTTTCGCAAACTCTACTCGTAGTGTACCAAAGGATCAGGCCATAGACCATGGGACAGCACACAAAGTATATATATATATTGTTCATTTCATCATCTCATCAACTTTGTATTAAAAAAAGGTAATAGTCAGTGCTGAGGTCAGGTAGAGTAACTTGTCGTTGGATGCGCTGCAATGCACTAAATATCTTCTTTTTGGTTTCAGTTTCAAAAGCAAGACATGAATGACTCCATCTTTCTCTCCTATCTATCGACGCATACGATGTGCAGTCTGCGAACACCCTCCATATGCCCGAAGCGCTACCGCTATTCAGTGTTACCATAGGGTACGAACCGGAAGCAACGATTTCTATAGACGTTGGATACCAAACTTGACGAACAACAACCTCCCGAGGTTAGGACCAGATGATGAGAATGACCGACGACGGTCGAGTGTCAAAGACTTTTGTCTCGTATGACCTAGCCCTTCTGTCGTCGCTGACCGAGTAGAGTATCCGGCTTTCACTCCCAACACATCCACGGCCCTCGGTCTTGCTATTCTCAGCCGGCATCAGCAGCCATGCCCGCTGGTAGGCCGCGGAAGGACAAAGGATCCGGTGGAGGCAAAAGGTGGGTTCTGTCAGAGATCGACATACGTACCCTTTGAGAGCGAGCCTGTGTCGAGGAGGGAGTCGATCAACATGTCAGGCGAGTCGTGACTCGGAGCCGACGCCGCACGACTGACCCTCGTCAGCGAGTCCTCGGAGTCATCCCGCAAACCAACTCGAGTAGCTATAAAACCCCCACCCTCATTCTCTTCTCCCTCTTTCCCATCAACAGCTTGGAATAACCAATGAACCTAGACACACATACAACGATGCCTGCCTCTGAAAACCAGTCCACCGCCTCTATCCGAGACGAAATCTTTGACGAGGACCCTGCTATCTTGACGCAGGATGAGAAGGACGCCATCGCTGGCGCATTTGGCAATGGTCCTGCCGAGGGAACCGAGGCAGACGATGGCACCCAGAACGGTGGAACTGAAGCGTCTCAGAGCGGTGGCCAGTGAGCTACCCGAGTAGCTGCGTTCCTGCGCTATCGGCGACAAGATGGGAGGGATGTTGGTGAGATATGACGGCGAGGGTATACAAAGAGATGCAGATCATTTCCGTCTATATCGTGAAATACATCATGGTCGGACAATTCTATTCTTCTATATCCAAAGCTACAAACAACTTCTATCATCCTCCATCTCTTCCTTCCTCCTCCTCCCCTCCTCTCCATCCTCCCGCTGCTTTCCCAACATCCTCGTAGGCTCCCTCTTAACCAACCGCACATACAACCTCCTCCCCCCCTTCCCTCTCTCTCTCTCCCTCTCTCCACAATCCACATTCCCACACTTTCCCCTCCCCCGTCAAGCCATTATCGCTCCGATCAAAATAACAGCGCCCACAAGTCCCGCTCGGCGTCTTGGGGTGGAAGGAGGCGGCCTTCCTTCGTCTTCGTCTTTAGATCTAGCATCATCTTCATCTTCACCTTCATCATCAGTGAGGGACTGTCCACCATGCCCATGCCAATAAATCTTCCTGACGGAGGGGCGGCCGGAGCGCCGAGTAAAGGCGAGTACGGCGAGCACCGCCTATGACTCTTGCCACATCCCAAGTCATTCACCTCCATCACTTTTGCAAACCCTAGTATACCAAATCTCAAACAGTCGAGTTTCAACGCACATGGGTCGAGGGCTGGTCGAGGGCGGAGCGACGAGCGCCGAGCACCGCCTATGACTCTTGCCACATCTTTCCCAAAACCAAGTCATCTCACCTCTGCCACTTTGCAACTCTACTTTACCAAGGGCCAGAACATGGGATAGCACACAAAGTATTGTTTGTTCATTTCATCATCAACTTATCAAGAGATCTTAGATCAGAAACAAGAGTCAGAGAACACTCGGAATCAGAACAAAATGCTATGAAACAAGACATGATACTACGAGACTAGAAAACGATGCAATAAAAGTAAGAAGAGGCCATAAACAAGAGTCCATCATTTCATGATAAATGTAGATAAAGTAAGACCACGAACAAAAGGTGGGGAAAAGTCGTCGCATTAAGAAAGAAAAGTGTCCATTCTTTGTTTTTTCGTTGTTTTTCTCCTTTTTCCCTCCTTCTCCTTCTCCTTCGCCCTAGTGCTATAGCCGTATATATATATATAAAAGGTAAAAAGGTAAAAAAGGGGTGGAATGGGTGAATGGAATGGTAGGATACGATACAGTTCTGATGATAAGAAGAGGTAATATATATACTTGTTAAAGGTGTATAGCACAGATGAAAAGAAAGAAGGGTTGGAAAGAAGGATTAAACAACTCAATGTCCGTTTTGAAAAAAGATTGACAAGATAAACAATGCGAGGGGGTTTTGTCGTTAATCGGGGTGGGGTGGGTGGGGTGTGAACAATGCGAAGGTTGAGTTTTGTCGTTGAAATGTAGATTCTATAAACTGCTCTTTTTCTCCCTTTTCTCCTCTCTCCTCTCTTATCCATGCCAAGCCAAGCGTCAAGGTTCAGCGCTTATAAAAGCAAAACCAAAGCACTCAACCCCACAACGCCCATCGACCCCATCACCCCCACAGCCACCGACCGAACACTGGCAGCAGCGCCCGAAGTAGAGTTGTTGGACGAACCGCCCGTAGCGGCGGATGACGAGTCGGCGTCGGTGCCGGAGGCAGAGGCGGAGGCGGAGACGGCGAGGACGGTGGAGGAGGGGAGGGCGGCGTTGGTGGTTGTCGTTTGGTCGCCGAGTTGACCGTTACCGACCATCAAAAACTAGCCCCTTCATCAGCATGACGTCAAAAAGAAAAGAAGGAGGGGGGAGGCTCACCTCGCCAGTGGAAGGAACACCGTTAACGACGATAAAGATCATAGCCGGCCCGGGCTGGAAGATGGTCGGTCCAGGGTCGCCGGGGAGCTGCGAGACGTGGATGGTGGTGTTGCCTGTACTCTTGTCGACCGTGTACGACGTCTCGAGCTCGAGCATGCGCTGGCCGAAACCCATGCCGTGGGTGTTGAACCCGCCCCTGATAATCACCGCCTTGGTATTCTGCGCAGCCGCCTCGTCCGTGCCCGCCAACGTCACATTGAACGGGTCGCCGCCATACGTCAAGTTGGCAGGCAGGCCCGAGGGGGCGGGACGCTCTTCGTTGTAGTACCAGGGGTACCACTTTTCAGAGTCGGTCCGGGTGCGCCATTGGAGGTCGGTGTAGTCCTTGTTGGGGTTGGAGCCTGCGATGAGGATGGACGAGTCGGGGAGGAGGATGGCGGTGGAGTGGTACATGCGTTCGTTCTCTGAAGCAGAAAGGCCGGTGCGGTTCCAGCGTTGGCCAGAGGGGGCGGAGGCGTTGTAGACGGCGGGCATGTAGACGGGGTCTTGGCCGTAGGATTCTGTTCAATGTCAGCGTGGTATAGATGAGAAGAAGGGGGGACGTACGACCGAGAGAATAACCCTCGTTTCCGTAACCAGCAGTTCCCATGGCGACACCGTTACCCATCCACATTGTCCCATCCGGCAACAACACAAACTGCCCCATACTCCTGCCCTCGGGCATGTTATCCTCGTCCTCATACTGCGGGTCGTCGTCCTCGGGGCTGATGCGGACACACGTCTGGTCGGCAGGGACGGCAGTGACATTGTACCCGGCGGTACCGTCGTTACCCCACTGGGTGGTGTTGGATCCACCGCAGAAGAGGAGGGTGGCGGTGTAGTTGTTGGCCGGGGTGAGGGGGAGCATGACGGTAGCCGCCGACGCGGGGTAGACGCGCACGGCGTAGGGCATGGTGGGCAGGTTGGTCGTCTCCTTGGTCTTGTAGTCGTACAAGATGGTGGTGTTGTACGCCTGCATGAAGAGCTTGCCCGAGGGCATGAGCCACACGAGGGGGAACAGGTTCAAAGGCAGGGTGTCGGAGAGGAACTGGAGGTCGACGGGGTCGCCGTCCTGGGGAGGGAAGAACTCGTAGGTGGGGTTGTCTTGCGCTGCGGTGTTGACGTAGCCGCCGTTCTTGTCGCCGCCGATGATGATCAGCGTTCCGTCCGGCAGGGCCTCGACGGTGGGGTACCATCTCTTGCCTGTCATCTGCAGCCATCCGCCGGTGCCCTCCGACTTGTTGTAAGACTGGGCGCCTTGGATGTACTCGCATTGCTCGTCGGTGCAGGGGGTGATCATGCGGATGGCGGAACCGCCGTCGTTGTCGTCGTAGACGCCGGCGTCGGTGACGGCTGTACCGTTTGTCGTTACGGCTAGTAGATGTCAGTACGTGCCAAGAAAGGCAATGGAACACTCACGCTGGTTACCGCCAAAGATGACCCAGGTTCCGTTCCCCATCACATTGCCACCCGCACAGAATGTATTCGAGTAGACGTCCATCGCCCGGTCTGCCCCACCATCAGCATTTCCATCGCCACCATGCCAAAAAAGCACTCACACTCGTTCGTCTCGATATCATACTCGGTGGCCCAAGCGGGATGCGACCCATACTCGCCGTCGATCGTCACGGGGTTGTTTTCCGTCTTGTCGATGACATACGCCTTCTTGTCGTTCCCCAAAAACATCTGCTGGGACGAGACGCCGGTATCGCCTGCAGCCTGGAAGCTGAGTGGCGTCACGCCGTCGTCCCTTCGTAGTAATGATGGGCGAGCGGCGGGGGCGAATGCGCTGGCAAGGAGGGGGGTGAGGGTGAGGAGGGAGAGCAAGTTTATGGAAGTCATTGTGGACTGTGTGGTTTGCGCTCTGGGGGGGGAGGG